TATGGTGTCACCAACACCCCGCGGCCCAGTTGCCTTTGTCTCTCTGAGTGCTGACGTTCCTAACCGCTAGCGCACATCAGAATTCCAAGTGGCAAGCGTGCGCTTATTGGCGAGAAGGCAACTGGTCTTTCGGTTGCAGTGGGAATGTGGAACGTCCACCACTGACTCAGGATGCCTACGACAAAACGCGCCACAGGAGTGTCCACCTGATCAGGTCATGGAGTCACTCAAACTTGACTCAAGAACTCTGTAGGTTTGTTTCGCCACCGTACGTAGCCAACCGTGCTAATCAGAGGTGTGGGGGAAGGACAACAAATTGAATGCGAAAAGCAGTTATAAAGAAATGAGTTTTCCCATCTAGATTTAAAAGTGCGTAGCTCCATTGGTTTCCTAATATCGCGTCTGAAAGCTTTTTTTCTGTCGGGTGACTTTTTCCTTTTTTACCGGAAAGCCATCATCGGCACATGATGTCTGATGACTCCCCCAGACCCGGACAGAGCGCGTGCCAGGGACCGAGTGTGCGCACGCGTCGAGGGCGCGCCACCCTTTGGATGGGGTTCAATAATCTTTCCAAAACCTCAATTCGTCATCCTTTCTGGGCTGCCCATACCCCCCCCACCCCCTGATCGCTGTTAAATATTTTACGAAAGAAAAGTTTGCGTCCCGGTGTCCCGCTTATCAAACCGCCTTTCAAGTTGATATCGGCGGTCGAATCGTAGTTTTGCAGAATCGAGAGTGACGGGGGGGGGGGGGGGTGCGATTTCTGGATAAATAATGACACGTCGCCAATTATGAAATGATGGGGTGGAGCGGTGGCGACGTGGTTAGCACACAGCACTATGAATCTGGAAACCTGAGCTTGATTCCTGCATGCGGCTAACATGTGACGAGTGATTTCTGAGTCTGTCCTGATTACCCCCTTTCACAAATCTGCACTGATTCCAAGGCTTGGCGAAGTATGGTAAAATAAACTATGTATGGTAAAAAAACTCGAATGACTGTCCTTAGTTCCTATAAAGTCACTTATTTGAAAGAAAAAAACACATGTTTGAGCTTCCACTATGACTGACACTTCGTGGGGAGGCCTTCGTCATGCAGTGCATTGACAAAGGGTTATAAACATGAGTAATAATGATTAAGCTATAGAATAGTGATCTGTTAGTTTCTGCTATATATCCATAAGTTAAATTGTTTATCTCAAGAATACTGGTTGGAGATCAACGCTACCCATTTTCCATTTGGAGTCGATTAAATCAGGTACCACTTTGTGAAACATTCAACTGCGGTTGCCGTCCCAAGCGACTTGCCTTCTTCACCACCACCACCACAGCAACGTGGAATGTCCACCACTGACTCATGGGCGGTTTAATGGAGATGTCGGTGCAAGCTTTGCAATAACGAAACGAACATTTTTGTTCGACGCTATGACATGCTGGATGTATGCCGCTGGGGCGTCAGATTTTGACCGAAACCGGCGCTTCCAATCCACGTGGCCGACCGCGGCGTGTGTGTGTGTTTTTGAACGCCATCCAGCTTGACACGCAAGCGGCGCGCGTGCGCGACTGAGTGCTGAGTGTGTGTAACGGGAGACTCGTGACCGTTGACTCGGAGGGTCAGGCTCCCGGAGCTGATCGGGGCTTGGTGGCCGATGGCTTTGCGTATCGCCGCTCCCTTTCCGTTCGTCAAATTGGCCGCGCGAGCTCATTTCGCGAATCGGATCGATGTTCCTCGTCATCTCGTGGACTTCTTGTGACTCGGGGATGATTTGATTTTTTTCTTGCTTCAGTTTTATCGGGGAAGTTTGATGTCTTCTGATTTGCTAACCTCAACCGTTTTTGTTCAGCCTCTAGCAATAAAACATAAAACCGCCACGCAAATCATACGTTGTGTTGCGCCATAAAAGCGTGGTAAATTTTACACACCTTTTGTCACAGGGGTCAGAAAAACACACCCACCAAATGAAATGGAACAAACTGTGCACGCATCCACTCAACGTTCTTCCTTTAACCGTGGCACAACTGCCCACGTGAGCACATCAACATTTGAAAGCCCCCCGATGTTTGTGAGTTATTGGGTTGTCCCGCACACTGGGTGCTTCGTGAGGAATTCCCGAAGAAGTTCAAAACGAGTTCCCAGCTCGGCAGTGTTGGTTCTGCTGCACGCGGCTTGTAATCCAGCATCGTGGAGGCAGCAGCAGCGTGGGTTGGCGGATGACCGCACGAATGTTGTGGAACTCTCTTCCCGTGGGCGGCGTCGAGGAGGAGCCGTACCACTGGCTCAGCAGCAGAAGGTAGTACAGCAAGTGTGGACTAACCGCCATCCATTCCATTTCTCCGGTAGCACCCGGTCTGCTCCCACACGTATGATAAACAACTCATCATTAATTGGCTGGAAAAAAAAGTCTTCAAATAAAAACCCAATGTAACAGCAGAAGCAGCAGAAGCAGCAACAGCAGTACCCTCCTCAAAACGAGTGCCACGACTCGGTGTGGCTGTCCTGGACATCTAAGCAAGCTAAACGTGTTGCGATTAATCGAAATATTACTTACGTGGAGCGAAACGTCGGATCTCGTGCCGAACAAAGCGCAGTACGACCCGAAAACTCACCGGAAAGCCGTAAGGGCACAACCGCGAACAACAACAAAAAACCTTCACAGAAGTATTTTGCCGTTCGTGCTTTTACTCCGTCAACCGGGTGCGTTGAAGCCAGCGTGGTGGTAATGCGCCAGGGAGGAATCAAACGCCGCGTCGACCGTGGACAATGGAAATGAAACCGCGCCACACCGCTTTGAATAGCTGTTGGATGACGGCTGACTGTTGTTTCTCATGCCAGCTCAAGTCTGCGTGGCAATGCTCCGTGTGCGTATTTCCTGTCGGGGCTGGCACGCCGTTCGCTCCGGCCGCGATGGCTGGAGGTTTTATCTCCACGTGTTGTGAGATCTTCACCAGCTAGTCTCCGTGGCAACTGCCCGCAGCCACTCACGGTGGAGTTACTGTTGGGGTGGAGAGGAGCCCAGCCAGCAGCCAGTCAGGATATTCTAGGCATAGGTTATTTATTTTAAAAAATACATATTTACTTTCTAAGCCTATTCATTTACTTAATAACTGCTATAAATACGGATTATCCCTTGATGTGATTATGCATATACAGTAATTTTTGTACGGCATGAGTGACGAGATATAAAACTAAAATAATTGTTATTATAATACGAGCATGCATATTATTAGTACAGCTCTGGGACACAATTGCGAAAACCTCTGCCGTAGAAATGATGGAACTGAAAGCTCGGACGATGCCTGTGAATTTCCCGCTGAGTCTTGCCTTTGTTTGCGTGTCGTTTTATTTTCCCTTCCGTACATTTTTGGCCATGACCCCGTCGCTGCTGGAACGCTTCTTGCCCGTGTGCGTGCGTGACGCACCGCCCCCTAGCTGGCCATTCTCTAGCTCAATGGTTCTCATAACCTTTAGTGCAGCCTTGCACCACTTTGGCTCACAATCGTTAAAAAACGTTTAATTTTAATAAATACATAGGGTTTGATGAAATAAAGTAAATCTGGCCATGTCTCGCATGCCCAGAAAGGGCATCTCGCACCCCCAAGGGCTGCGTGCACCCATGGTCAAGAACCACTGCGGCCTCGCCATAGGCTGGCTTCAATCCCATCAAAAGGTTTTGTTAAAAATCGGCAGGAATTCATTTACTTATGCAATTCGTACTTATTTGCTTTTATAATGATAATTTCGTGACTTTCTTAGCTTTCCTATACTTGCTCCCGAACTGGACATCTGTAAAAAAGAGCTTCTTAGCTCATCGGATTCTTCCAGTCTAAATAAAGATTCTGATTCTGAGTTGCTGGCCAAGTCCGGTCAATAGCACGCGTCTGAACTTTCAGGCTGTCTGTGCGCAGCCGTGGATAATAGTGGGTGGGGTGGGGGGTTCGTTAGTGGGCAAGTGGAAACGAGCGCGTTCTCTTCTGGTGTTGCCATTGCAGACACGAGCGGTCGCGGCTATTTCTCTCCCTCTCTGTGCTCACTGGACCTCTTGGTTATGTGCTGGATCTGCAGGCACCTCCTCAGTGATATCAAGCCAATTTCAACGGCTCTCCGGCGCGTTTGTGCGATTTCATTTATACGCGAGTAAGCGACCTTCGCATAATCATGCCCGGAATGCGCCGCGCAAAATGTTTCCGATCTTTATTTTGTCTTCGTGTCGGCTTGAGCCACTGCTGTTATAAACCAAACATTGCAGCTGGGTAAATGAAGAGCCCGGTAGCGTTTGGCAAGCTCCGTGTGTCGGATTCCGGCGACTAAGTTTGGCCATGTAAGGGAGGGGCGTCGGATCGAGTGCAGCCGCCGTGCGTCCGCGGTAAGCGGAAACCCCACGGCAGGCGCCGCGTTCGTGCCAAACGGTGCCCGGTTCCGCCGACTCCAGCCAGGCTGCGTTGCCCTCTGTGGTGAGCACAGCTGCACAGAGACGTGAAACTTGCCAACTGCTGCTGCTGTTGCTGCTGCTGTAGTGCAGTTGTTTTTTCCCTCCCGGGCGTCGTGTGCCGTTGTAGAGCTCTTCGATGCGTTTTCTGGGTTGAACCCGCGCGTTTGTTCAGCGCGACGCCTTGACGTTTCACTTCACTGGCCGGGTGGCTTCCTTGAAGCATTTCTGAAGAAGCCTCCCCAGCGCGCGGAGCGAAACGTCGGGCCGCGTGACGCCAAACGGCGACGCGGTACGACGCGGCACGACGCGGTACGACGCGGTACGACGCGGTACGACGCGGCACGACGCGGTACGACGCGGTACGACGCGGTACGACGCGGTACGACGCGGTACGACGCGGTACGACTCGGAACGTGCTTGGGACAGAGCCGCGCGAGGCGACCCCAATAACCTACGAAGTGAAGTTGCCTCTGACACCGATGCTGTTGTTTGTAAAATATTTTTGCTTACGCTGCATGTTGCCTCTCCTCCTCTTCCCCCCCCCCCGTACTCCTCCCCCCTTCCCGCGCAGTGCGTTCACAACGTCCGTAGCGAGTTTCTCCGAGAGAGTGCGGAGTCTTCTCCGCGCGTCCACTCCCCGCGAGCAGCCATGGGGTTCTGGACACAGCTCTACCTGCTCCTGTGGAAGAACTTCACTCTCCTCCGGCGACAGAAGGTACGAGGGCGTTTGTACGCACGCACGCGGAAGGGGCGGCGACACGGCCGATCGCTCCCGCGTGTCTGCTGCCGTGGGGATGTTGTCATCCAGCAGCAGATTGACAACGGGCTGTGCATTCTTATTATTGTTATTTGTATGGCAAGAGTCAGTCTATTATTTACGACCACCGCTGTTGATTTCGCACAAAGTGGTACCAAATACACTTACCCCAGATGGATGATGATTGTCCGGGTCAGATACTTGACCGTAATTTCAAGGCGCAGCCTCTTCCGATCGTGAGTTCCGTGCCCCAAGCGCAGGGCACCACACAATGATCCGCCGCTGCCTTGCCGTCAGTGGAGAAAGATCGGCAGATCTCAAAACCGGCGCTGGAGGTGAGGCACGAGGAACCTGGAGTCGGGAGAGAGCTGCCGCTGCGATTAAAACTGAGAGCACATCCGTGGAACTGCAACCGGCGCTCCCACAATGAAAGCCTGTGTGCCAGACTTCCCGTCACACACGCCAAACAAAGTCACAAACAACAGCTCCAGGATCCAGTTTCAGAGCCCTAAAAAGATCCAGCCTGGGTTTGCTTTGGGAATATGTGCCCGTCTGTAATGATTCTATTATCAAAATACTAAAAAAAGGTAAAGGTGCAGCCCTGCATGTGCTTGCTCGCGAAATTGCTCGAGGCAGCTCTAGAGAGGATGTTTGGCCTACTCTTCCACACTGGGCCAGACGTCTTGGATGAGGAGGGAATACCCACACTTTACCCCACCACACGTTACCTGCCAATCGACTAGCTATGGTGCGTACATTTGTGCTGCGGGGTGGATGTAAGCCTGGGGATTTAAGAAACTGGCACCGTTATGTCAAATGCCACGCCAGGTGATGGAATCAAACTGGCGACTTCTGGATTGTGAGGCCAGTGTACTGACCCACTGACGCAACGTCTCCAATTGTAAATATATATTCAGCCCTTTTTTCAATGCCATGTCAATCCTGGGGCTTGATTGACCATACTTCACCATGCTGGTCAGTGCAGGTTGGAGCAGGGGGCGCCAAGGTCTGGTTCTGTTTAGCCGTGGCCTCTAATTAAACTCGGCTCGCTGGGTTCATGGGGTAGTACACTAACCACTGCACCGCTCCACCCCGTGCCCATCTAGTCCAGGGAACGGTAATAGGGCTGAGCGATTTGGGGAACATATCTATTTGCGATTTTTCTGACAGATATTGCGATTGCGATTTGATTCGCGATTACATTTTTTAAAGTCAAGCTTAAGTTCAATATTCACTGTGTAATAGATTTAAAACATGTGATGGAGCATTACCACATGATACCATCATGAACTGCTCTATATATTCTAATGCAAGGATGAGAACTTAAAAGATATGAATTGCTTCCAACATGTATTTATTAAAATGTTTTCATTGAAATAAAACAATCAAACATAGTCCAATTGTAAAGTTAAATAAATAAAGTTATAATATTACAAAATAAAACAATTATTAAGAGAGTAACAGGACTTTTCAAATCGCAAAAAATCGCAGCCTTTACGATTTGCTAATCGCATTGTTTAAAATTGCGATTTCGAATTGAAATCGATTAATCGTTCAGCCCTAGTCGGTAATCAAAATAACAAGAAGAGCCATTCGGTAGATAAACAAGAAGATCCGAATTCGGTAGATAAACTCACTATTTCAAGAGCCGCAGTGCAAAGGCGGTGGTCCCTTATAAATAACGAGTCACGAAGCTGTCTTTAAAGAGCCACCGCATCGCTCTGGAGCCGCATGTTGCCAGCCCCTGGTCTAGTGCATCCAGATACCGCTCAGAGTTCACGCACGTTGCCTTGGTTAAATCCAGCGTTGATTTTGTAACATAAACAAGACGCACATGGCGCAGGCTTTAATTACATCCATTGGGCACGTGTTTGCACGTTATTTGGATATGTTTGCTCTCTGTGCCATTCCTATTTTCCCAGAAAAGTCAGACAGGCAGGACATCACGCCGGAATTAATAACAGTACTAATGCCCCGTCAAAGCCTCATTGACTTTTTCCAGAGGAGCGCTGCATTGGGATGTTTGGCCAATTCCATTATTCATGTGTGAGGAAACCGGAGCACTTGCTGTACTGCCTTCTCATAGCGGGCCAGGGTATGGCACCCACCTCCTCAACGCCTACCGGGTCGTGCGGTGATCCACCAACCCTCGCTGCTGCTGCTGCCTCCGTGGTGCTGGATTACAGGCCACGTGCATAGCCACCACCGCCTGCTTAAAGTTTGACAGTTTTCAATACCTTCGTCGTTGTCGTTCATACAAATAGCATTTTGCCCGCGGAGGATCTTGGCAGACAAAATAAAATAAAGAAGGCGGCTACAGCAGCGTATTATTCGTAACATTGTAGAACGCAGTCTCCCGGCCGAGTACAAACCAGGCTCGAGGCTGCTGAGCTTGCGAGATGGGGTGCACTCCGGGTGCTTGAGTCCTATGAAGTCGTCCCATGTGGCGCACGCGTTTGTGGAGGCTGGCGTACGCACATCACGTGCAGCCCCGTTTGTCAGTCCGCTGCTGGATGAAGGCCTCCCCACCCGCCACGCTCGACCAGGCCAGTTAAACGCGGGTCACTCAATTCGGGGAAGCATAGACGTACGTGGGAGCCCACGAGTACAGTACAAAACCCTGGATTTTTCTCCGGGTCACTCCGAGTTTGCCCTCCACATTTAGAAACAACGTGGGATTAGAGTATTTGGCTGCTATAAATGTCCACATGATGAAAAGCCGCTTTGTTGAGCTATCATTTGTGACAGCCAGGTCGCTTCTGAAAGAAAAAGAGCTGTATAGCTCATTGGGCTTTTTCTGGTGGTAATTATAAAAAACCTATATTATGAATAAAAAAGTAGTTTAGAAGTTTTAGTTTAGATTGTGACCGCTGTGCCCACGGTCCTCCCCGTGCCCTGGTGCCCTCGCTCGCACCACAGCGCTCGGTAATTGTATTCGGTGTAAACATGGGGGAATAAGCGGCATCGCCACGGGAGGGATATCTGCGTTGTTGTTGTCCTCTGCTGCCGATGCTGGTTCACTCAGCGGGGGAAGAGATTTACACGCGCTGGTTAATCTCTGGGGGTGGTGCGCGGGTCACGCAGTGCATAGAAATTATATTACACTGTGTCACAACCGTCACCCTTTGTTTGTTAGCTTCACTGCCCAGAGTTTGCCAGGAAGGTCACACTTTTTCTACATTGTTAAAATCTCTGGTTAGGTAAAAGGTCAAGGCGCAACCCTGCAATGGCTGGCTCAGGCCACCGTTGGTAGAAGGGCCTCCACAAGGAGGAGTTCTAGAGAGCCTATTTGGAGGGTGTTTTGGCCTACTCTTTCACGCCGGCCAGACGTGTTGGAGTAGGTTAAAGTACCCACACTTTACCCCACCACATCCCACCTGCCGACTGACCAACCGTGGCTTATCCACTTCCACTGCCGTGGGTGCAAAGGTCAGCACACCGAACTTGCAATCCAGAAGTCACCAGTTGAATTCACGTTTATTATTTTATTCATTGCTTATGCAATACAATTAGCATTCACTCTGCAATATTTTTGGGTGGAGTGGTGGTTTAGTGGCTAGGGCACTGCACCATAGACCCGGCCACCTGAGTTTGATTACCTGCCACGGCTAACATCAGTGGTAAAGCACGGTCAAACAACCCTTAGGGCTGACATAGCATGGGATAGTTCTTCATCCAGCTGTGGAAAGAGCACAGTGCACAAACCACTGGTGCCACTGCTTTCCCCCATGACACGATTTCTTTGTATCTTTATCCTCATCCCAACAACCGAATGCCCTGGTTGTCATGGTATACACGTGATTAATCCTTTACCGTTCCAATGATGTCTTCGAGTCACTGGGTAGGGTGTCCCGTTCACCGCTGAATCGTGGAGCGCGCAAGCGGATTGGCGTTAATTTGATATAGAGAGGCGTAGCGCCGTTCTCTTTTAAAATACATTATACCGTGCTCAACGGAGAGAACCTGAGCGATACGACCACACTCTATGACAGCTGGCGCCAAACTGTGCCACGCCCTCCCAGCATGACGTTGTGGGAGCACTTGGTACATCATCCGACCTGCAGAATCACGGATAAAGTTGTTTATTTTAGATTTTCTTCAGATTCCAATCTGACGACATACATACACCTATGTAACACAGGGCTTCCGTAAGTTTAATGAGATGAGAGCAGAACTGCGACGAACCGTGCACAGATGGGGAAAGTGAAACGTTCTAATTGTGAATTTATGGTGATGTCATTTCTCGCGCAGCTGCGGCTCTTAATGGAGGTGTTGTGGCCGCTGATGATCTTCTTCATCCTGATCTCCGTGCGGTCATCGTACCCTCCCCACGAGCAGCACGAGTGTGAGTCTCCTGCACCCAGCACGAATTTAAACCTTCCGCTCGCTCCGGGAGCTTTTCCAGCTCCTCAAGAAGCTCCCCGGCGCGTGGAGCGAAAGGTCGGACGTTGCGCCGCCCCGCTGATCGAGCTGCGCGGCAAAAGAAAAAAACCTGCGCAGCGCGAGTCGCGTAACGCGTTCTGATCTTTTCTGCCGTTCCCCTCCTCCCACTCGCGTGCAGGCCATTTCCCAAACAAGGCGATGCCATCGGCGGGGCTGGTTCCCTGGCTGCAGAGCCTCGTGTGCAACATGAACAACCCGTGCTTCCGGCACGCAACCCCCGGGGAGGCTCCTGGCACCGTCTCCAACTTCGAAAACTCGCTGTGCGTCCGTCCGTCTGGCCCTTTCTCTCTCTCCGCCGCCGCCACTCGCATGCCCAACATACGCTCCGCAACCCCGCAGTGTGGACCGCATTTCAAGAAGGGGGTGGGGGGGGGTGGTTAGGAGGGGACGATACAAAATACCGCAGGGAAGGCACAACACGGACAGCACGAAACAAACCGTAAACAAATGTTTAACGCCAAACAGGAATGAGAACACGATACGGTCCGGGTTTCGTCTTATCGTGCGTTCTGTTGTAAGCGCTCGCCCCCTGTGTAAATAAGCAAATTATACTCAGTTTTGCAATTTTGTCCATCGTGCCAGCGAGCTGGTGGGGCTCAGCCCCCCGTAGCCCACCTACTCCATGCTGTGGGGCTGGCCCTGTCTAACATCATCATCATCATCGCGAGGACCTCAGTACCCCTGTTACAGTGCCTTGGCCACAGTCCAGACGTAATGTAGACACGAGGTTGGATGACGAATGAAAACGAGCCCAGTGCACATGCGAGACTCCTCTGAACGTCGTCACGTAGTTAAACATTCGTTACATTAGGGGGGGCCCGGTCATTACAAGGCCCCAGTCTTTTCTCTCCAAGCTCTGGGAAGTATTCCATGCATTTTATTTTTTGCCACAGCAGCGGTGTGAGCCTCTCTTGCCCAGGCCCATCGCCGGCCACGCACCGTGACCATCTTAACAACTCGGGCCCGTTTGACCTGGCCGTCTCTTCCGCTTCTCCCCTGCCGCCGCCGCCGCCACAGGCTCTCCCGTCTCTTTGAGGAGCTGCAAGAGGGCTTCGTGAACCTGACGCAGAAGGGCAGCGTCGAGGAGCTCCGTGGCTACGAGCGGCTGCTCAGCCTCATCAAGGACCGCGACGTCCGTCGAATATTGCCAGGTGGGACGCGTGGCCCGGGGTTGGTGGATCGCGTGAGGATGGGAGCGGGTGTGGATTAAGGTTCGAGAATAAAAATTTCGGGAAATAACAAATATGCAAGAGTCTAACCGGCCCTCGTCAGTCAATCAATCAGCCATTGTTTTACGTGCCAATATCACCCTCAATGAAGCAGGCATCGGTGTATGTACGTACGTTGAACTTCTTTCGCGCCGTACATATCCATCCGTGCCAATCGGAGGTGCGGGGAAGGACATCGGTGGCACATTACAACAGAAGGGGAACGGTTACAGGGGTCACGACCTCGGCGGCTACCACCGACTTGAGCAAAGTAAATTGCAACCGCGCGCAACGAATCGCCCGAACAAAAGTCAGTAGTAAATCAAATAAACAAATCAAATAAGAGCTCATTGGGGTTGCTGGCAGAAGTCACATTTCACATCCCTGTGGCAGGAGCTGTCTTGCCCAGAGGATGTCCACAAAGAGGAACTAATGTGGTTGATGGGTTGTGTCAACGACCTCTCACGGTGATTTAAACTCACAAACTTGTACATTGTTAGTTGAGCTATCTGGCATTAAGTATAATACTGGGAACAAAGTATTAGTGTCAATGCCATGTATGCATGCCTATCTATTTCTCTCTGTCTGTATGTATGTCTGGCTGCTTTGTTATCCCACATCCTTACATCTTTCCATCTTTCCATCTGTCTATCCTTCCATCCTTTCGTTTATATTTTTGCCTATCCATCTGTCACTGAGTCTATCTGCCTGTCCAGCTATCTCTCTATCCATATGACCACCGTGCCCGTCCACCATTCCATTGCAACACGTCCATCGGTCTGTCAAAACCGTCCGTTTGTCGACCCGTCTCGTCAATGATTCCCATCCTCCCCTGTCCGTCCCCCTGTCTGCTCACCGATCCCCGGAAACCCCTTCTCTCGTTCCGCGTGTCAGTGGTGCGAGTGCGGGACATGCTGACGGACGAGGAGGGCCTCTCCTTCTTCGCTCGGCAAGATAACCTCTTCTCGGAGGCCGTCATTGCACAGCTGCTGGAGGCTCACATTCATCCGGGCCAGGTGAGGCCTCGGCTCGTCCTGCTTTTTACTCTTCGTGAACTGGCTGTGCTGGGAGCTTTGCCGTCCCGGTTGATATCGCCGAGCGTATTAATCGGGCGCCACTGTGGCGAGATGTTGACTGCCTCGCCTGGTATACAGGAGGTCATGGGTTTCATCCCGACCCTGATGCCTGCTGTATGTTTGTAGTTTGCATACCTTTCTCTCCCCATGGTCGTGTGGATTTTTCTCCAGGTCCTCCGGTTTTTCTCCTTCACATTTAGAATCAACGTGCGTTTAGAGTATTTGGCTGCTATACATTTACACGTGATAAGCCACTTCGTTGAACTATAATTTGAGGCCAGGCCGCTTCTGCAAAAGTAGATAATATAGCTCAGTGGACCTTACCTGGTTAAAATAAACATAGTTTGTGAGATACGTACCGTCTGCTTCACGTTGGACGTTACAGATCCTGTGACGTAATTGTGAGCATAGAAGGGCGTGTGTGCGGGTGCGATAGTCAACATCTTTCGCCATGCAGTATTTCAAATATTACTCAATTGTCAGACCAAAATCCACATGAACTCACACAGCCTGCCGGAGGCTATACTGGGGGACCTTTGTCATTGTGATGTGTGCCCCCCCTGCCCCCCTCGCATGTACCAGGTGCTGGCCAACCTGACGGCGGCAGGCATGCGCGCGGGCGTGTGCGACCCGGAGCTGCTGAGCCACGCACTGGTGCTCCCCGACCCGGCTGTGCAGCCCGAAGCCCAGCGCCAGCTGTGCAACCTGACCGAGACGCAGACGCGGGGCTTGCTCACCGCCTTCGTCGCCAGGCTTGACCGCTCCAAGCTCATGCAGGTGAGGTTGGGGAGGGGGGGGCCTCTACGGGCAAAGTCTTATCTAACATCCGTGGGATTAAATAATATAATGGCACAGAGAGTAAATGAATCCACATTTCGCAGAACAGATGTGTGCCCGCCCAGCAGATGTAATTAAATCTCGTGCCATGTGCATCTGCGTTTGTTGCAAAATCGGCGCTTGATTTAACATGAAAGCGATGCGTGCGTGAACTTCGAACGATATTCCGGACGCTGTTGTTGTCGCCGCTCGGTAACATTTGTTCCCTCAGCCCCGACTCATCGCGCCAGTTTGACACCATCTGCTTTTGTTTTTCTATTGCACGGCTCTTGACCAGCGGCGGTTTTGTCATTCAGGTGATGATGCCTGGTGTGGATCCCAAAACCTTGGACGTGGTGGGGACAATGGTGGGAAACCTCCAAACGGTCACCAGGCTCATGAAAGAGGTGCAAAACAAATTCCGCATGCCACTACAGCACCGCCTATCCCCTGCTTTTGTTTCTTTAACTCTAATGCTGAGCCCATTGCCCGTCGTCAGTGAGTGGCTGAGTGAGGGAAGGAGTGAGCGAGTGATTTGGCTGTCGTAAATTCCAATGGTGTTCTAGAGGGAAGGAGACACATCTGAGTTGTGCAGGCGATTGTGAATGAGCGATTGATGTAAATTGCAATGAGGTTGCTGGAAGGGCAAGGATATTGACATTTGGGGCATTTATAGTCAGGTCAGTGCTTAAAACAAAAATTATCTGAAGAGCAACATTTTACATTTTTGGCCTTCAAAAGTGGTTGGAAATCTTTCAGTTTGAAACACCTTAACTTTGGCCAATCAGTGTTTGAGTCTGTACATACAGAAGGGCCCCGACTCCAAATACGGCATCAGATATTTGTTAACTCAGCTCTTAGGGTACATTCTTGAACGGTGTGATGCTAAAGCTGTGATAGAGTGGGCGAAAATTGCTTTCACTTAGAAGTAAATAAAAATAAATTCGTGTAATAGGTGGGCACAATGTTCGTGTTTACCAATGATATGTATTTGTGTATATTGAACCTCTTTCACACCAAACGTAGCCAACCGTGCTAAATGGAGGTATGGGGAAGGACAACATATGAAGAAGTTCTAAGAAAAAATATTTTTCAACCGAGATGATTCAATAGAGATGATGATTGTTCTTGCTTTTCGTTAAGTAAGCCATTGCCATTGTTGCCAGACCACCTTAACCAGGACTATTTCTTACTGTACAGTTGGCAAGGTAACTGAGGAACCGCAGGAGGCCGTGGGTTGGATCCTGACCCTGACGCCTGCTGTATTTGGAGTTAATTGATTGGGTGCATGGGGGGGCGGTGGTCGGTCGGTCAGGGCGGATACGGGTGCGGTGGGATATGCAACATTGCATCGTGCGTGCGCGCAGTGACGCCTGTTCTCTCTATGTGGGCGGTTTTTCGCGCAGACCTTTGAGGAGCTTCAGGACGACTCGGACGGAGGTTCGTCGGCCCCCAACGGCACGATGGGGCTGATGCGCGGCTTCCGCTCGGTGTCGCGGCTCGTGTGCGGCTACCCCGAGGAGGGCCTCATCACCATCCGCTCCATGAACCCCTACGAGGAGAACAACTTCAAATCCTTCCTGAGCAGCAACATGTCCGAAGAGAAGGCCTACGTCTACGACAACTCCACAAGTGAGTTGGACGTAGTCACCATTCTGCCGTCGACGTTGTCGCGATTATCGTCATCATCATCGTTAGGCGTCTGATAAGTGTACACCCCAGCGGTTCGATGGATTGTCACCATAGGCCGAGATGAGATTCAAAGCTCTCTGTTGGATGTTTGGACCAATATTCGTGCATGAGTGTCTGGATTCATGTGGGAGGAAACCAGAGTATCTGGATAAAATCCACCCTGCGTACTGGGTGGAGAGGGGGGTAGAGGAATTCAATCCACAGACAGACGCAATCCAGTGAGGGTACCAAATCTAACCACGGGCTGTGCCCACAGCTGTTCTGCCATCTCCAGGCATCTCATGGCGTTTACATCCGTGAGATGAGACCGAGAAACCCATCCAAGCACTAACAAGGCCGAACCCTACCTTAGCTTCTGAAACCTGATGAGACCAGCCGTGAACAGAATGGTTGGGCCCTATTGCTCTTGGGTGAAAATGCCGCCCCCCAAACGTCCGCTTGATACAATCGGCGACGCAAATATGTGATTTTTAGTTTTGATGTCCGGTTGGCAACACTTGGTCTGTGCTCTCCATTTGATTGGGTCAAAAGTGGGCAAAGTTTTGCTCAATCCTGGCCAGCTGACTCAAAAACCTAACAAACTAAACTAACTTAACTAAGCAACTCTTCCCGTGTGTGACGCCCTTGCCCTCAACAGCTGCGTACTGCAACAACATGATCCAGAGGATGGAATCAAACCTGGCCACGCGCTTCATGTGGAACACTGTCAAGCCGCTGTTCATGGGAAAGATCCTCTTCTCTCCCAACACGCCCGCGGTGCAGCGCATCGTGCGAGAGGTGCGATTCATCGATTTCACTGGAGAACCGCTATCTGTTTTTCTTCAACTAAACTATGAGCTATGGTGGCATCAACTGCGATTGCAAGTCAATTATCATAGATATACATTTGTCCACCACTCCTCCTGGTAAAGCCAGATAATGGCAAGAGACAAACAAATACATACTTGTACATCGTCTTTGCACAAGAATTCTCTGTCTCGATTGGCTGTCGCCTGGTTATAGATACAGTCCGTATATGAAACTAAACTATTAAAACTATTCTTATTTAACCAGGTAAGACCCACTGAGCTGTATAGATTTTTTTTTTAAAGCGACCTAGGTTTCACAAATGATAGCTCGAACATAGTGGCTTATAACGTGGGAATTTATATCAGCCAAATACTTGAAATGCATGTTGATTCTAAATGTGGAGGGAAAAACTGGAGGACCCGGAGAATAATCCACGCGACCACGGGAAGAACATGCAAACTCCAAATATGCAGGCGTCAGGGTCGAGATCGAATCCACAACCTCCTGTATACCAGGTGAGGTAGTTAACATCTCGCCACATTAGAGCCCCAGTTACCTTTACAACTGTACGGTAAGAATTAGTCCCGGTCAAGGTGGTCTGGCAACAATGTTAACGAATTTATTAACGAAAAGGAATAACCAACTATGCACTTTTAAATCATCTACATTGAAAACTCATTTGTTTAGAACTGCTCTTTGAACGACTTTCACTGTCTTCTGCCTTGAATTTTCCCTCGTTGCTTCTGATAATTGAAGTTGTCTTTAATTTTAGATATTCACCACATCTCTTGGTCTGATTCTTTTATCTCATATTTTCTTCAAAATTGGCCCAACTTAGATTGTGACAATCTATGTTGTCAAATCTAGCCTGGATCTATTATCTAACCTTGATTAATATCTGTAATTGTTTTATTCCTGCTCTCTTATACCTGTTAGAAATAGCATATTTTTTACACAGTTTGCGTTGCGTTGTATTGTCAGGCCAATGACACGTTTGTGAAGATGGGTATGCTGGGAAATGTGTTCGAGGCCTGGCGGGCGGTAAAGCCTCAACTCTGGGAGTTCATGCAGAACAGCCAGGAGATTAACGGCTTGAAGGTGAGTTACAGCAACAACAATAATAATCATAATCACTACAGCAGTATCATCATCATAACCATCATCAGCCATGATCAATCCACTGCTGGATAAAGGCCTCCTCAAATCAAGCACAGTAATATAACAAATGTAAAATTATCCCGTCTCTTCCCCTCATCTCCTCCTCCCCTTCCCTCATCCTCTCCCCGTCTGTGAGCGCAGGACCTGCTGCGGACCCCAGAGGTGGCCTCCGTGCTGGATGCCGCTCTCAACGGCACGGGCTGGAGCGTCGACAGCCTCCTCTCCTTCCTCAGCGCGCAGGTCGGCGGCATGCCGGGCATCGCCACGCACCTCCTCCAGCAGAACTGGCAGGTCCTCCTCAACGACACCGACGCCGTGCTGGAGACCGCCACCCAGTTCCTCGAGGTGGGTGCCATCTTGGTTCAGGGCGGGCGCCATCTTGGTTCACGGCGGGCACCATCTTGGCACATATGGGCACTATGGCAACCAAGCCGAACACCAGGCAGTTTTGGCCCCACTCGCATGCCTTCATCTCCTCACCTCCTCCTCACCTCTCCTGCTTCCCCCCTTGGCAGTGCATGAACCTGGACAAGTTCGAGGGGCAGCCGGACGAGGAGCAGCTGGTGTCGCGAGCACTGGAGCTGTTGGATGAGAACGAGTTCTGGGCCGGGATCGTCTTCATGGACCTGGACCCCAACTCCGAGGAGCTGCCCGCGCACGTCCGCTACAAGATCCGCATGGACATCGACAGCGTGCAACGGACCAACAAGATCAAAGACAGGTCAGGAGCGAGCAGCAAGGCTATGACGGCGGGGTGCGCGGATATGATATACGGCTCGTAACTGACTTTATACGATACAAATAATGACCTTGTAAGTGACTTTATACGATACAAATAATGACCTTGTAAACGTACTGCTGTGTGCAAGTACGCAAAATGTATTTTTCTCTGCATTCTCCCACGGTGCTAATTAAACATTTCCAAAGACAAACACGTTGTGGAAAACGTTGCATCATCCGCACGTATCGTGATTTTGTCCCAACTATTAAAAAATATTCTTATTTTACCAGGTAAGGTATACTAAGCTACATAGCTCTTTTTGAGAAGCGACCTGGCCACAAATGATAGCTCAACAAAGTCGCTTATCACGTGGAAATTTACAGTGGCCAAATCCCCTAACCTTAGCAGGATGCTGCATTGGGGATGTTTGCCCAACTCCAAGCAATATGCCAAACATCACAACCACCACTTGACCCTTTAGACACGCTGATCTCTGCCATGACCTTTCCTCTGGGTGCGTGCTTGGGTGACGATGAGCAGGTACTGGGACCCGGGTCCCAGAGCCGACCCCTTCGACGACCTCCGCTACATCTGGGGCGGTTTTGCGTACCTCCAGGACTCCGTGGAGCAGGGGATTATCCGCGCCCAGACCAACGGGAGCCTCTCCGTGGGCGTCTACGTGCAGCAGATGCCGTACCCCTGCTACGTGGACGACATGTAAGCCGTGTCTCCGCGTTTCCTGCGTTGTAGTGCGCACCCCGCGTTGTACCGCGCATACACAAAGCTCCGCACGCAGCGAAAGCATAAGAATGCATTTTTTTACTCGATTCATCGATGCGTCGTTAAACACGTGTGAGGTATGAAAAATAAAATAGTTTTTATCCTTTTTGGCAATAAAACAGGTGTTTAAACAGATGTTCAAACACCAAATAGATACCTTTTGTAAGTAATCATACTTTGATACTGGAAAAAAGGTCCCATGATATAGTGTGTGAGGTGTTCGTGGTGCAGCGTGCTGTCGACATTGTGTTTAAGTGGAGTACACCACCAACGCCCAATCTGATATAAGGAAGGTGTCACGGTTTTTAAAATCAGGTTAAATATTATTTTGTAATTAGTGTATACACTTTTTACCATTTTGTGTATGTCAAATTTTAATTCTGTAACGTTACGTTTACTTGTGGAGCGCTCTGTGACGATTGTATCATTGAATATTTGCACTGCTTTTGTGCTCTTCGCCTTTTGGTGTTCTCTGAGACAAAGCCATGAATGAGGCTGCAGCTCTGGTGTAGACCGATCAGTTCCAAGTACAATGCGCAACACTATTATGATCAAAGCACGTTTGTTTGCATGTTGTACTACAAGCATGTGTGGTTAATGCAAATGTATATTTGGCGTTTGAACATCTCAACACCTCCTCTATTCTTGCCGGAAAGGGTAAAGCCTATTCTCTATTCATTATCTACACAGGGGTATTCGCCAGACCTGCTTGTCTGACGTTTCTGCGCACACGCCGGGAGATTCTTCAGGATTACTGATGTTTTGTTGTGGATAAATATTGAACTTCTTTTGCAACCTACTTAGCCAGCCGTGCTAATTGGAGATGTGGGTGAAGGACACAAAACTAAACACAAAAAGCAGTTCTAATAACTGACTCCTCTCTTTCCAACCCTGTCTCTCCCCCCACCCACTCCCCACCCGACTCGTCGCGGCTTCACTCCAACAGCTTCCTGCGCATCATGAACCGCTCGCTGCCCATGTTCCTCACGCTGGCGTGGATCTACTCGGTGGCCATGATCCTGAAGGAGGTGGTGCACGAGAAGGAGGCGCGGCTCAAGGAGACGATGCGCATCATGGGCCTCAGCACCAGCATGCTGTGGCTCAGCTGGTTCATCAGCATCCTCATCCCGCTGCTCATCAGCGCCGTGCTGCTCACCGTGCTGCTCAAGGTCAGGGGTCGTCACGCGTGCGTCCGTGCCGCCCCGTTGACCAGTAAATGCCCCCCCACCGCCCCCTTCTTAAACCTGCCCACTTATCCACCTGCCCACCCAGTTCTCTGCAGCACTGACTACACAGTCATAGTTTACATGGTCATGATTTACGCAGTCATGGATTGCACAGTTATGGATTACACAACCACAGTTTGCTAATCCACACATCCCGCCCGTGTGCCCGCCGATGCACGTGTACACATTCGTGTGTACATGTGTGTGTATGTGCATGTGTGTGCGCGCGCGCGCGCGGTTAGTGCACTGCGCTACTAACCCAGAAAACCCGAGTTCGACTCCCGCTCACGGCCAACACCAGCGATGATTATCTGGACCGGTCCTGAACCTCCCCTAGCTCGCCTCAAATGAGTACCCTGGTGCGTTGTGTAGTGAACATCGCCGGGCATGGTGCTGGCTCGTGGGCCGTGCCACCAGCCTTCATAGGTGCTACTCGCTAACAGCACTTTCCACAACAGTCTTGTAAGGCTACACGGGGGATCTTTGTCTTTACGTGCGCGAGCAGATGGGGAACATCCTGTACTACAGCGACCCCACGATCGTGTACCTCTACCTGTGCGTGTTCGCCATCGCCACGGTCATGCAGTGCTTCCTCATCAGCACGCTCTTCTCGCGTGCCAACCTGGCAGCCGCCACGGGTGGCATCGTCTACTTCTCTTTCTACTTGCCCTACGTGCTCTGCGTCGCTTGGCAGAATCAGATCTCCTACTCCGTCAAGATCTCCACGGTAGGTGCCCGTGTCTGCAACCTGCGGCGTGCCTCGGGCGTAAGGTCCCCCCACCCCCACCTCTTCCATGCCGTCCGGCCAGCCGCGGAAGAGTAGGCCGAAAATAATCTCCCACACGTCTTCTCCTACGGGTCTGCATCAGTCGAACGGACCTTGATGTGTATTGTAGAATGTTGATCGTTTACCCAGGGAAGCTCGACCTGAGTCTCGTGACTTTTTTTCAGGAGGGTCCTGCCAAGTTTTTGCAGTTTTGGGGGGGTGCCGATTTGCTGCAATCTCAATTGAGTCATTTTGCGAGTAATTATTTTCTTTGTTTTACCGTAAGAATGTGCGAGTGCCTCGTTTGTGTGAGTGGCTTCTCCTTTGGAGCGGCAGCGGGAGGCCACGTACGACAAAAGTGCGGTCAAAAACGATGGTGTTGTTGTCGTCGACAGAGCATCTTCTCCACGGTGGCCTTCAGCTTCGGCTCGGAGTTCTTCTCCCTCTACGAGGAGCAGGGCGTCGGCATGCAGTGGGAGAACGTCTTCTCCAGCCCCGTGGAGGGCGAAGACTACACCTTCATCTCCTCCATATTCATGATGCTGTTCGACGCCTTTATCTACGGCCTCCTCACAGTCTACATCGAGAACGTGTTCCCCGGTACGGGGGGCCTGCCCTTGCCTAGTGGAGCCTGTCCCACCCTGCCACGTTTTAATGTTTTATTCCTCCCCAATCAGCGTTTTCCCGATCTTGCTCCCGGCGTTATGCCATGATGCTTAGTTTCTGCGGAGCATCCAATCGCATCTCATGTATTTGCAAGTGGCTCATCACGTTTTTCCAGTTGATTGGTTCCTGACACGTCCATCACCTCGCCAAAGGACATTTTCTCGTTAAATAATTTTTTATCGTCTAAATTTTTACAAATTTTAAACATTTTCTGCAACTGGCATGGATTATAATACGTGTGAGGGAAACATCTGGCGAAAAGAGAGGGGCGTCAGTCAATGGAAAACTCTTGGGAGCCCGATGGAGATTCATAGCTGAGCATCAGTGGACGCCACAGTGGCAAGATGTTAACTACCTTGCCTGGCATGTGGGAGGTCGTGGGTTTGATCCAGACTCTGACGCCTGTACATTTGGAGTTTGTGTTCTCTCCCCGTGGTCGCATGGACTTTTCTCCGGGTCATCCAGTTTTTTACTCTACATTTAGAAACGTGCGTTTAGAGTTTTCGGGCTGCTCTAAATTTCCACACGATAAGCCACTTTGTTGAGCTAACATTTGTGGTCAGGTCGCTTCTGAAAAAGAGCTACATAGCTCAGTGGGCCTTACCTGGTAAAATAAAAAATATTATTAGTTTTTAGTCTATCTGATACTGATGCCATTGCTGCTGTTGCTGCTGCCGCCACCGCCGCTACCGTTGTCGTGAACGGTTGTTTGGTTTTGCTCGTTATAAAGTGTCTGTGTTTCCCCCTGGCACATTCTCAGGCCAGTACGGAGTCCCCAAGCCGTGGTACTTCCCCTGCACCCGTGCCTACTGGCGCGGCGACACCATGGAGAAGGAGCTGTACGAGACGATCGCTCAGAAACAACCGCAGGGTACGATCGCGCCCGTGCACTCTTCCGTCTCACTTCCGCTCGCGCGTTGACGCGTCCGTCTTGTCTTCTCTCTGGCCGGTCTGTCTCGTCGCAGTATTCACTCGTGTTCCTGTGCTTCCGTCCGTCAGTCTTGAGTGCGCTTCAGTCTGTTTTTTTCGATAGATTTTCCTTTTTCCGGCACCTCCGATTAGCACGGTTGGCTACGTATGGTGCGAAAGAAGTTGGCTACGTACGACGGTGCGAAATAAGTTCAACATACATATATACAGATGCCTAACGAGTAGCCTTTCGCGACCAATGATACGGAATTGATAAACGCTCCAGCATTACTGGCGCGCGAACTGAAGCAAATATGAAACACCACACCAGAAAGGCCCGCAAGGCTGATGGACAAAACATATTTTTTTATTTTTGAAAAGAAACTGACTTTTATACGTGAGACAGTAATACAGATTAGAGAAGACAGTCACAGGCAGAAGAGAGGTGGGAAAGCCTTAACCCTTTTCTACTCCGATGACGTACGTGTACGTCAGAAGTTTCTCTTCCAATTCCTTTTGATGACTTCCAATTAGCACGGGTTGACTACATACAGTGCGAAATAAGTTCAACATACATGCAGTACATGCAGCCAGCAGGGACGATCGGCGGAGCCTTCGACATTGGGAACAGCACAAGAGCGGCAGCAACCATCGTAGGTGACCCCCGCCGTTGACTGCCCCCTGTTTTATTCACCCTGCAGTGGACAACATTTTCGTGGAGGACGAGCCGGGCGACCTGCCCGTGGGCGTCTCCATCCAGGGCCTGGTGAAGATCTACAATGCGGGCAAGAAGCTCGCCGTCGACGGCCTGAGCCTCAACTTCTACCAGGGCCAGATCACCTCCTTCCTGGGCCACAACGGGGCCGGCAAGACCACCACCATGTACGTCATGCCGGCCGGCACACCGCCACCACGTCACATCATGCCACCCTCCCCCCACGCCTCCACGACCACTCCCTGCCGCGGTGGCGACAGGTTAACTACCTCGCCTGGTGTACAGGAGAGGTCGTGGGTTTTATCCCAACCCCTGATGCCTGCTGTATATTTGGAGTTTGCGTGTCTGTCACTCCCTGTGGTCGCGTGGATTTTTCTCCGGGTCCTCCGGTTTTTCCCTCCTCATTTAAAAACATGCGTTTAGAGTATTTGGATCCTGCTATACATTTCCTCGTGATAAGCCACATAGTTGAGCTATTATTTGTGACCAGGTAACTTCTGAAAAAGAGCTATGTAGCTCAGTGGGTCTTACCTGGTAAATTAAAAAAATTGTTTAAATGATTTTAGGGCAGTTGTCCAGGGCCGCAAAGCTGTGGGAGGGCGCTGACAATTGTGTGAGGGCTCAGAAAACGAGCGGAGATAGGAGACACAGATACGAGGTAAACCACATCTGCTTTTTTCACGTTGGATAAAGTTCCATTTGTTCAGTCGAAACTTGTTTGAAAAATCAATAGGTTGGATAAAACTGCACAGTAGCACTAACCTTATTCTTTCTCACGGAGGGAGTAAATGTTTATCTGGCATGTTCCGTCGTGGAAAACAACAAGTTATTCAGCTTGTACAAGTACATTTTCACTCAAGCAAGCCGAGTTGTAGCCAAATCACCCAGTCTCATTAGATATCGGAAGCTAAGCTGCGTTTTAGCCTGGATAGTGCTTGAGTGGGCGACCACCATGCATGCCAAGTTGCTATTGGCTGCTGCTGTTGATGCTGCTGCTGCCGGGCTGCGTTGTGGGCAGCAGAGGGCAGTGCGGCAAAATCCGTTGTTCTACCGCACTTGGCTACCTGCCTTCTCAAAACCACGCTGATAATTATCGGCAGTCAAGTCCGGTTGAACGACCCACACAACCTGCACGCACGCCGCTGGGGAGGAGGCCCTCATCCAGCAGTGGACTAACAAAATGCCCACGCGTGTCTGTATTTTGTCCGTGCTGTCGTCAGGTCGATCCTGACCGGGCTGTTCCCTCCAACGGCCGGCACGGCGTACATCCTCGGCAGAGACATCCGGACGGACATCGATAAAATCCGCAAGAACCTGGGCGTGTGCCCCCAGTACAACGTGCTCTTCGACCAGTGAGTTCACGCCCCATTCGTTTCACCGGAACATGCCCGATCATGTCAGGTCTGGGAAGCTAAGAAGATTAAAGCTTGGAGAGTGTTCATCATTGCGTAAAAACGGGATTTATAGGCTGCTCACGGCAGTGCCGGATTAAGCTAGTGCGGGGCCTGTAGCATATGTTATAAAGGGGCCCTAATTTAAAAAAGACACTTAAATAATTAAAACACAAAATTTTAACTTGCATAGTAAAGTATTTGCATTTTTTCATTTGCTATACAGCGAGATAATACGACAAATCACTAACCTTAAATACCCAGTCGTTCATAAAAATTGAAGGCAGTATAGTACTATAGTAATAGAGTAAGTGCAGAATCACTGAACCGGAATTGATAGCTTGAAAGCATTTAGTGCGGGGCCCTTGAAAGTACGGGGCCCATAGCAAATGTAGCTTGTGCTACTAGGATAATCCGGCACTGGCTCACGGTTACGCCGTGGTGACGTGCGGTGAAATGAACCCACGCAACCCGGGCACGGTGTGGCGGAGGCTCTCATCCAGCAGCGGATTGACAACTGGGCCCTAGATCCAGGCTAGATTTGACAACATAGATTATCACGATGTAAGTTTGGTCTATTTTGAGGAAAATAGGAGGTAAGAGAATCAGACCAAGAGATGTGGTAAAGATCTAAACTTAAAGACGACTTCAATTATCAGAAGCAACGAGGGTGATTCACGGCAGAAGACAGTGAAAGTAGTTCAAAGAGCAGTTCTAAACAAATGAGTTTTCAATGTAGATGATTTAAAAGTGCATAGTTCATTGTTCTGGCTTTTCGTTAATAAAGCCGTGACCATTGTTGCCAGACCACCTTGACCAGGACTATTTTTTACCATGCAGTTGGAAAGGTAACCGGGGTTCGAAAGTGGTTCAATGTTAACTACTTCGCCTGGTATACAGGAGGTCGTAGGTTCGACCCCAACCCTGATGCCTGTATATTTAGAGTTGGCATGCCTCTCTCTCCCAGAGTCCTTGGCTTCTAAAAAAGAGCTACATAGCTCAGTGGGCCTTACCTGGTCAAATACAAAATAGTTTAGTTTAATGAGCAACTCTAAGAATTACACATTTTACATAGCAGGGTGGGTAGGGGAAGTGCTGCTGCTCCCTGTTCTGTGGATCGGAGGTCATGTCGAGGTATTCCAGAAGCTGCTGCACATTTTCCGCTACCGCGGGTCATTCTCTCTGCTCTGAAAGATTTCCCAGCAGATTATTGTCCTCGTGGTGCATGTACGTAAGTTTCTTGAACTTCTTTCGCACCGTATGTAGCCAACCGTGCTCATCGGAGGTGCGGGGGAAGGGCAACATAAAAAGCAGTTCTAAAGAAAGGAGTTTTCAATCTGGATTTAAAAGTGCATAGCTCCACCAGTAGCACAATCGAGAGTTCAGTTTCTTTTAACAGTATCTTATTTATCGTTTTACGGATTTGATTCACTCGAGTGGTGCTTGCCACTCCTCTCTCTGCCGACAGATTGACGGTGGAGGAGCACATCTGGTTTTATGCTCGGCTGAAGGGTCGCTCCGAGCAAGAAGCGAAGCAGGAGATCGAGCAGATGATCCAGGACGTGGACCTTGCCCACAAGAGAAGCGACATCTCCAAGAGCCTCTCGGGTGAGCAGACGCACAGCGCAAAGGTCACACGATGTCTCTGTGAAACTCCCAGCCTGCTGGGCTGACCGATGGGCCTATAGCGGATGGACGTGACAACGCAGGGGGCCACTGACCCGTCCGTACGGGTTTTCAGGGGTCGTGTTACTGCGCCAATGTGATTTTTTGGGTCGTGCTGTTTTTTGCACGACGTTCCCTGACGTTTTAGGTTCATAACAACAGCCGTGTGAATAGAGACCCGCTCGTTCCCCACGGGGTTCCCTCCAGCAGGGGAGGCCCTTCCCGCGATCGCAGCATCGCTCGCCCCACTGCGATTGTGGTGTCCGATCCCTCGACCGTGTCAGCGCGGTGTGAGACGTGGACGTTCACGACGCTCCTTTGCCCACCGGCAGGCGGCATGCAGAGGAAGCTGTCCATCGGCATCGCGTTCGTGGGCGGCTCCAAGGTCGTGTTCCTGGACGAGCCCACGGCCGGCGTCGACCCCTACGCCCGCCGCGGCATCTGGAACCTCCTGCTCAAGTACCGGCACGGTACAGCGCTCCCGCTCCACGCACACACCGGCAAAGATCCCCCGTGTAGCCTTGAACAGGCTGTTGGGGAAAGTGCTGTTAGCGAGCACCTATGAAGCCTGGCACGGCACACGAGGGGGTGGGTGGCCAGCACCATGCCTGCCGCGGCATTTGGAATCCCTCTGCATCTCCACCATGTCTCCCCTGAGTTCTTCCTCTCGTCTCATATTTTACCTGCATACACCATGTCTCCCACATGTCTCCCCAGCGTCTCCCTCGCGTCTACCCCATGTCTTCCCTGTGTCTCCCCCACGTCTCCCCCACGTCTCTCCTGTGTCCCCCCCACATCTCCCCATTGTCTTGATATCTCTCCACGTCTCTCCTGTGTGTGTCCCCCCCCCCGTCCATGCTCCCTATACCCCCCCCCCACCACCGCCGTGCTCCCCTCCATCCCCTGGCCACACGCAGGCCGCACCATCATCCTGTCCACGCACCACATGGACGAGGCGGACCTCCTGGGCGACCGCATCGCCATCATCTCCCACGGCCGCCTGCGCTGCTGCGGCTCGTCGCTCTTCCTGAAGAACGCCTTCGGCGCCGGCTACTACCTCACCATGGTGAAGCGCAGCGGCAGCGGCGGGAGCAACTCGAGCTGCCTGGCCGGGCTGGCGCGCTTCGAGGCTGACAGCAGCTTCACGGAGCGCACGCGCAGCCTGCTCATGCAGGTGTGGCACGGCAGGCAGGCCCCCGATGTACGCGCACCGTGACACGCGGTTTCCACTGCCGCCTGCCGCCCCCCACCCCACCCCCTCCTCCCCAACGCCACCTTTCTCTCCGCTGCCGGCAGCCGCCGCCGCTTTGACACTTCGCTTGCGCTGCGGGGACAAGAGTGGTACGGGGTCGCGGGCGCGATGGGCACAATTTGCTGGAGGTTGTGACACGTATACGTTTTAAACAAGTTTTTACAGCAGTAGCTTCCCTGGGTTCCACCGATAGTCAGTTGTCTGTGTTTTTATTTTATATTTTGAGTCGTTTTTTTGTACTGTATTGTGATTGGGTTTTTACTGGTGTGTCAGTGTTTTATTTTTACAAGATTTCTTTACATCTGTTATACAGTGCTTCGAGAAAAGGCTCTTTGCAAAACGGAGTTTCTTTTTTATTGTTATCTAATTCGAGTGCCGCCGGTTGGTTCACGTCCTGGGAATGTGGAGTTTCACCTCTTTGGCGAGGGCCCGCCCTTGAAGCTGCCAAATGCTAGCTAGAGTGAGGAGATGCTGTGTTGAGGTGTGGGTTTTTTTCGAATTGTTAAGTTTTAAGATAATGCATTAGTAAGTTTTATTTCGATTTAAAGCTTTCGTGACTGCAGGGATTCATCTTCTTGGTTCTTTCGTTAAAGTCACGTAGAAGGGAAGTAATAAAATAATAAAAATAATTTTATTATGTTTTATTTTTATTATAAAAATAATTTTATTATGTTTTATTTTTATTCTTTTATTACTTCCCTTCTACGTGACTTTACCGAAAGAACCAAGAAGAGTAAGTTTTATGTTTAGAGCTTTCCTCTACTATGTGGACCAGAGATACTTTACAGTAGTTCTGTCATAACTACTTCCAGGCGCTATTTTTTATGGTCGAGTAACACCCACGATCCGCATGGCGTGGGGTGGCCATCATCCATCAGTAGATTGAGAATGCACTTGACGTCTGCATGATACCGTTTCTGTAATGGTTAAATGCATTGTGCTCTTGTGTCGTATGAGCAATATCATGAAGAAGCCATGAGAGATATTGCTGCACTTTCTTACCGGCCTGATGGAGAGAGAGAGAGAGAGGCCACGGGAGAGTGAACGGGGCTCGCTCCGTTTCCTTTAATCGTTTTCATTGCCACGTTTGTCAATCTCCACTCGATGCAGGATGATCGCCACTCAGCGAGCAGCTCAGACGAAGGATTCGGAAGCGATGAATCCAACCCCGACTCGATCGCAGGTTAGTACAGAGCCGTCCTTCTTCTTGAATTATGCCCACTTGTGGCGGGGGGGGGGGGGGTCTGCATTCCCTCTTCTTCTGACCATGAATTCCTTTCCTGGGACCGTCAGATCCCCCATCCACTGCGCAGCCCTTCACATCCTGACTCGACACTTCGAACCGCCTCTTTTGTAAGGTGGCACAACAAACATAATTGTCTGTAATGGATTGCCACAGCTCCCAGCAGTGGATAGAGCATGGCTGATGATCATGGCTGATGATCATGACTATGATGACTGCGGTGCGTAGACACAAATGAGACTGATGGTGGAGTTGCCATTGTACGTTCCACCCAGAGGCGCGCTCTGTCTAAACGTTCAACGCCATTCACGAATACAGGCCGCTGCACATCCAGTTGCTTCGGTTTTCTTTACAATTACAGTAACTTCAATTCACATTTTGTCATTAACTATCATATTATCATCATCATCATCCATGATCAATCCACTTTTTGGTAAAGGCCTCCCCTTGCCATTGGCATCTCTCAGAGTCCTGTGATGCAACATTTTACCCAGCATCTGTAACTTCATAATCACCACCATCATCAGCTCCGTCATTGTCCTTTTTAATTCCAATGCAGTTCAAGTGGCCAATCACTCAAATTCAGAACCCGTTTATCACCTTTGTGCTTGTAGAATAATTTCAACACACGTGCTCCACACTGCCAATCACAAGTTTTAAAACTCGCGTTTTTAGTGGCACTGCTTCCCTTTAAGCGACGTGACTTGGATCTCCGGTGGTGATGGTGGTGTTGCCGTGCGGTGTGCAGACGTGAGCTCGGTGACGCGGCTGTTGCAGCAACACTTGCCGGACGCCCGGCTCATCGAGAACTTTGGGCAGGAGCTGACCTACTTGCTCCCCTCCCATGGCGCCAAGGACGGCAGCTTCGCGCTGCTCTTCAAGGAGCTGGACGAGAAGCTGGCGGAGCTCGGCGTCTCGAGCTACGGCGTCTCGGACACCACGCTCGAGGAGGTTGGAACGAGCGCGCGCACGCACTTGCAGACGCACGCACGTACAAAGACAAAGATCCCCCGTGTAGCCTGAACAGACTGTTGGAGCAAGTGCTGATAGCTAGCGCCTAATGAAGACTGGCACGGCACACGAGGGGGTGGGTGGCCAACACCACGCCTGGCTGCCTTTGTCTCCCCAGTGGCGATGTTTATACACCAGGTACTCATTTGAGGCTGAGTCGACCTAGTAGAGTGCCAAGACCAGTCCAGATAATCGTCACTGGTGTTGATCGTGAGCGGGAATCAAACTCGGGTCACCGGGTTCATAGCACACCGTGCTAGCCGCTAGACTACCGCTCCCCACACACGAACAGTCATACACATACATACACATACAGACCAAAAACAATACACGCCATTTGCCACAAAGTGACGGTGACGTCACCACGGTGCCTGTGCCAGGCCAAGTGCACTTTGACGCCACATGAAGTGTCGAAGGCTCGCTGCTGGCAGGAGGTCATGGGACAAACCCAGGTCCCATGGGTTGTACTGAATGATGCACCAGCTGTGCCCCACGTGGAATATATACAGACACGCACACACACACACAAGTACAGACACGTGCACATGTACAGACACCTAAAAATACACACGCACGCACATGTACATACTTGCGCACGCACACGCACATATATATACAGACACACACACATACGAGAAGCTGGCGGAGCTGGTCATCAGCAGGTACGGTGTCTCCCCAACGCCACGCTGTCATGTTGTACAAATTCGACTGTATCTCAAGACACTCCTGAGAAACAGTGGGCATATTTATTTAATAGAAAGCGAGGAAGAGGCGGTCAGTCATAGGCAGAGGAGGGGAGGAATGTCTTACGATCTGGACTTGAACAGGGGCAGGGAATCGGCAGCACGGATGGCGGGGGAAGGGAATATCAGACATTGGGGGCCAGCAAAGGAGAATGAGTGACCTTACAGATGCACCACACCGCTTGCGCTCCTGTCTGCCACCTCGCTGCGTGTTCCACACGAGTACGCGCGCGTTCAAGTGGTGCGTCACTCACCCACGACCCTTTGTGTCTTTCCCAATCTTGCAGATCTTCCTGAAAGTAGCCGAGGAGCCTGCCACCAACAGTCACGCAAACAGTGAGTCGCAACAAAGCCTTTGCCGCGCCTTTCGCGGAAATTCCAGAGCAGTCCAGCAACGAGCACGCGCACAGCTCATGTGACCTCCGCCGTTTCGACCGAGCTGGGGTTAAGGTCGTTATCTGTGGGACCCTTCTTGGCAGTACTCTATCAAAAGATTACACTCAAAATAAGGGTCCCATAGATAAAACAGCTTAACCCGAGCTATCAATGCCTTGGCGTTTGGATCGTCCTTGTGTTGTTCGCCTCTTGGCGTCCTTTTAGTTGATAGCACCGGTGAGACGATGTATGTATGTTGAACTTCTTTTGCACCGTATGCAGCCAACCGTGCTCATTGGACGTGCGGGGGAAGGACAACAAACTAAACACGATAGTCAGTTCTAAAGAAATAAGTTTTCAACCTAGTTTGATAAAGGAGGCTGTCTTTGGTGTAGGCAAATCATAATACATAATCAAAGCGTATTTTGTTTGTGTGTTTTAACAAAAGTAATGCTGACTCAATGCCTTGCAACGGATGTTTTATTCAGCATTTAAACATTTAAAACACCTGCTGTAAAGCATTTATTATGGTTATGGTCGTGTCGTGGTTTCACTTCAGACGGGGAGATTCCGAGGAAGAGACACAGGAGGATACGTTTCTCCGGATGTCATCTGACGACCCACGCCGAGCCCGAAGTGGACATGGAACTGGCCGAGAGGAACGTGTTTCAAGGTGCTTTGCGCTCCCCTCGCCTGTTGGCTCACACAAGCCTCTCGGGTTTAGGCGAGAGAATCAATTCTCCGCCGTCTTTGTCCAAATAAAAACTGCTCGCGATTTTCTTCAATTCGGGGAAGCCACGTGGAGACGCGGGGCTCTCCCCGGTAACACTTTTACCCAGTGCCCGCTCGCTCATCGGTGCTGCGTTCCGCCTTGTGGCACACAGGGACAGCTGCCAGCCAGGGTGTTCCCCTGCCGCAGGGCGCCCCGAGGTGTACTACCGTGGGAGGCGTGGTATTGATATGGAGTGTTGATGATGATGAAGATGAGTATTTGGCTGCTATAAATGTCCACGTGATGACGAGCCACTTCGTTGAGCTATCATTTGTGGCTAGGTCGCTTCTGAAAAAGAGCTACGTAGCTTGGTGGGCCTTACCTGGTAAAGTAAAACATAGTTTATAGTTTTTTTTATTAGAAATCCAACTATCGGGCGAATTTTTAATGTATGTTTGTATATATGTTCAACTTCTTTCGCACCTTACTTAGCTAAACACACGTAAAAATGTGCTGGAATGCGCGGTGAAACGGAAATACAAACTATGCAGTTCAAACGACTGTCTAATAATAAGTAGAATTCAACATTTAATCTGGGTGACACCGTGGTGGATGTCTACTTAGATATTGCTTTTGACTGATAACGCTGAGCTGTTACGTTATGTGTGTGTGCACGTTGTGTGTGTGTGTACGTTGTGTGTGTGTGTACGTTGTGTATGTGTTCTCTGTGTGTATGTACGTTGTGTGTGTACGCGTTGTGTGATTGTGCATTGTGTGTGTACGTTGTGTGTGTGCGCGTTGTGTGTGTGCACGTTGTGTGTGTGCACGTTGTGTGTGTGCGCGTTGTGTGATTGTGCGTTGTGTGTGTGAAATTAACGTTATGGTGTGCTGTGCATTTCAACTACTGCCCCTTTTTGTAAACACATGCATGCCTAAAGGATACAGAATCCCAGAGCTCTGGAAGAAAGGTATATCGAGTTCATTCTTAAAGCCTTCTTTGGAATTACCTCTTCGTGGCCTATCGCTGACTTTGATTTGAAAAAATGTGTTGTGTGTTTTTTAAATTAAATATTTTAGCAAAAAATATCCACGAATTTCTACAATACCATTCATTGGCTGAAATCTATAAATCGGCTACGTCTCGGGTGCAGTCGTGTCGAATGCTTTTGTTGCACGCTGCTGTTGTTGTGTGCTGGGTTGTGTTGTAGCGGGGGTTGCCGCAAACATGTTTACACGACGTATATAAATGTCGTACGATATGAGAGCCACGGTAATTTGTATCGTCTGTTTTTGCAACGATCCTTACAGCGTGATTATTTTTAGCCGATTTAGCCTTCCTTAAACGTTTTATTGCATTGACAAAATAGCAAACTCGGTAACTAAAGTTGTGAATGTATGGCTGTTATACGTTCAATCAATGCTTTAAAAATATATATTTCCAGAATGATTGAGGGCATGGCGATTATATGACTTTCAGTGGTGGTGTATTAACCATAAATACCATGTGCCACCTGCTTCGCAGCGGACATTAACTATTATTTTTGTAGTTCATTGAATTTTACTATAACTGACAACATCGGTCCATTTTAAGTGTAACTGAGTGCAATGATTACAACTGCTTACGTCAGGCTCATGGAAGTAAAGCCAAGTACAAAAAAAACTATACAAATGTGAAATGTAAATAACCAAGTTTGGGGAAATTGATAGCATGATGATCGTCATATCGTCAATTTTTAAATCCTATCGCAAAGATGATCGCGCAGCAACCCTGGTTGTGACCCCTGATGTGCTTTACAAAATGATGAATGGCAATGATTTAAAAATAACCTGTGGGGATATAATTAATTAATGATTAATCCTCTCCACGAGTTCATGAATTGTCTCGGCTGGAAATTGCTACTCCATTTGAAAATTAATCATTTGAAAAAAAATCCCGCATCACCCTCTTGCTGGTTTGAATCTATACTCGATGAAGAGCTGTTTAAATACACGAATCAGTCGATTCCTGCATGCCAATGCAATTGAATGCCATTGTGTGTTGACAAACCCGAATTTTGCTGGGAGCCCATTCATTTCTCTGACATTTGACACTGCTATGGCACTTTTACCGTCACCACCCCCACATCCACCGTTCGCAGTTGGCAACCGACGTAAAGTCGATGTTTTATTGGTTATATTTCGGAAAAAATATTTGATCATCTCCCTTATATTTAAAAAGCCCTTGACACAAGCATCGGCTTGACTCATACATTTAATACGTGTCTCTCAATTAACGAACGGTGTTAAGTTGAGTGCCAGAAACAGTAAATATACGTATTTACAACCTGTACATGCAGGTTGCATTTGTAAGAATTATAGTACTTGCAAAAAAGGTGAATTCTAAACAGGCAAGGGGCACGATTGTGTTTCCATTCGCTCTTCCCATCATGCCTTGCATGTCACACGGCATCACCACACCTGAGTCAAAAAAAAGCAGTAATAGCAGCAGAGCCTTGCTTTTACTTGTTTTGGTTTTTCATAATATTTTTTTCCCGCCCCCCTTCCACCCCAGCAGAGCTGGGAGAGTTGGAGAAGCTGAATGAGCTCGATGGGAAGGGCACGCAGCAAATCAGCGGCATACAGCTCATCCTGCTGCAGTTCAAGGCCCTCTTCATCAAGCGCTTCCACCATGCCCGTCGCAGCCGCAAGGGATTCGTCGCCCAGGTAAGGCCTCAGATTCCAGGTCCAGGTCTCCCCTGCAAAATACACTTTAGCCTCAGGGGGCTATCACCATCTTATTCTTCTTCATCCCCTGCCAATCTTGGACCATTGGGGTAAGGTCCTCTTCTTCCTTATAGGTGGGGGGTGGGGGGGCTCTCCAGAGTTTGCACTGATGGACACCCTTCCACTAGCAGTGAGCAAGCAACTAATACCCGACCCTGACGCCTGTATATTTGGAGTTTGCATGTTTTCTCTCCCCGTGGTTGCGTGGATTTTTCTCCGGGTCGTTTGGTTTTTTTCCACCACATTTAGAAACATGCATTTGGAGTATTTGGCTGCTATAAATTCCCACATGATAAGCCACTTCATTGAGCTATCATTTGTGGCCAGGTCGCTCCTGAAAAATAGTTATGTAGCTCAGTTGGCCTTACCTTGTAAAATAAATAATAGTTTAGTTTAAACTACAGGGCTGCACGTTTGAAGGACCACTTTGTGTAAGGTCAACATTAGCATTTGTATGGAGATTCCAGCGTCTGCGATAGGAATGTGGAATTTCCACCACTGACTTGTAATACTACGGTCCCCTGATTGAGGTGAACACCACCTCGCAGGGGGATGCACTCTGACTTGGTGTGTAGGCTTGACGGGTGATTGGTTCTGCGTTCTCAATTTATTTTTCAGATCATCTTGCCGGCTGTGTTCGTTTGCTTGGCACTGGTCTTCAGCCTCATCATCCCTCCGTTCGGAAAGTACCCAATGCTTCAGCTGCAGCCCTGGATGTACGGAGAGCAGTACACGTTCCTGAGGTAGGCCTTTCCCTCCTATCAGCGTCTACAGAGGTCGGGCAGCAGCCGTGGCCGTGTGGATTACGCGTTCGCCGCTGGTTGCAAGCGGTTCGCTCTTCGAGCCCAGTGGCCTAGCCCCCTGGTTAATAACGCTGTGGTGTAACAACCATAATACCATGCCACTGCCTGCTTCGCAGCAAGCATTAAAAATCCCCAAAAAGAGTTAGACCATGCATGCCCGCATCACGATCCAAGTTTTTGCTACTTGAAAATTGCTTGGAAAGTGACGCCATCACATGTATCCCTCTATTTAAAACCAAAACAGGAGGAGGATTTATCCACAACTCTGACTGTCGCCTGATGAGACTCGTTGTACATTCCGGCCAAACGTCATACTTGAATTGTAAATGTTGTGGGTTTACTCTCAAACACACCGGTGTACTATACTAGTAACGAATTGGCATGTTTTGTTTACGTGATAAACATTACTAATTGGCTGTGTCGGGTGGTGGCGGGTTTAACGACACGTATATTTACGTGATCTAACCCAAAAAATCTCTACTATGGATAATATTGGTCGCGAAAGCCTGCGTGTTGAAAGCCCCATGACTGTGAAACTCCTGCAAATGTCACTCGTCTGGGAAACGTAGCACCTCCGTCAGAGCCTTGCGCGATAACAAACAATTTCCAAATGTGCTCATGATTTGTTTAGATTTTGTGAAAATTGTTCTTCGGGGGGGGGGGGGGGGGGGTTAAAATTGTATTTTATCGTTGTTAATCACTATCACCTCTCTCAATCCTCACCCCCAATCCAATTGTATTCTCATCTCTGGACCTGTTACCAACCTTTTAAATGAAAGTCACTAATCATAATGTTGTGTTGCATTATATTCTTTCGTTAGTGATCGGATAATTTGATAGTACATTTAATCTAATACTTCACCATCATGACTTGTATTTGCAGCACATACTTGCATGCTTTTTTTACTTTCAATAAATGGGAAATCTAATTTTTTTTATGAGACAATAATGTCCAAAAAGTAGAGAGTACAAGGTTTCAAATTGTCAGAAAGCGTAGCGGACTGACAACATCCAAGGGCGGCACGGGTTCAACGATCGTGCTTGGCTAGTGGTGGCCTTGTGCTCACTTTCGGATATCGCCTAAATAAAAACGAAATGACAACGGGTTCACGGAGTTTGCGTCAGTCTGAGCCTCTCAACGCCGCGTATCGCATGGTGGCCCAAGTGCTCGGTGTGTTAATCGCCCTCACGGGGCTTTGTGCGTGCGTGACGTTGCAGTAATGATGCTCCAGAGAACGTGAAAACGAACTCCCTGTACGACGCGCTGCTCAACAAACCGGGCTTCGGCACGCGCTGCATGAACGGAGAATCCATCCCGTGAGTTGCATGTCGAACCTTCGTTTATTTTTGCCGGTGGAGAATTCTCACGCACACGCCTGTTGCTGAATGTACGACAACCTGCACTGGCGTCTCCTCCATTGGCTGCCGGTCTGGTTTTGAGTTGTGGTCAATAATTTTCTCCTCACCCTACAAGGCCCTCAATGATGGTTTTGCAGTGTGGCCTGTTGTGTGTGCTGAGGTTACGTCTCTGTAACGATGATGGGCGACCAGGTCTTTTCTCGTGTAGGCCTCAGGCTTCCACTGGATGCTCGTTCCGTTGACTCCTCACTTGCTTCATTCAAATTGTGCCTTGAGATGCAACTCACTTATGAGGGCTTTTGCTAATTCGTGTTAGTTTTGGGGTTGGATTTTATTGGCGTGAACTTGTGTGTATGTGTGTTTTATATAGTGCCTTGTGACCTCTGGCTGAAATGCGCTTTAGAAGTGTAAACTATTATTATTACTATTGTAAGAGTGAGGCTGACGATAGGCAAGTGAACTGGAGCGAATCGGCGAGTGCCTGATCGTCAACCAGCCTAACCAGCTACCTAAACAACGAGGCGGGAACCGGGTTGCTCCTCCACTAGCCGACATGTCAACGGTATTCCAACTTCACGTGTGCTCTGTACGCCGTAGGAACGCCGCCTGCATGGAGACGAAATCCGAGTGGGTCCAGCCACCGATGTCTCCGGCCATGGCCCAGACCTTGCAGTCGCGGAACTGGAGCATGGAGGAGCCATCGCCGGAGTGCCGATGCAGCGGAGAGGGGCGCCGAGTCATCCTGCCCGACTGCCCCGAAGGGGCTGGGGGGCCGCCCCCCATGCAGGTACCTAACCGCGGCCCGGTACGCGGGAGGTCGTGGGTTTGATCCCGACCCCTGACTTTTTATATATATTTGGGGTTTGCATGTCTCTATCTCTGCCGGTCGTCGTGTGGATTTTTCTCCGGATCCTACGGTTTTTCCCTCCACATTTAGAATCAACATCACGCGTTTAGAGTATTTAGCCGCTATACATTTCCACATGATGAGCCACTTCGTTAAATTGTAAATATATATTTAGATTTACCACTGTGGAGGTGCTTTTCGTTACATTTTCTCAAAACGTTCAGAAAATCGGTTGCGCCGATGCCTAAAAGCGGCTCGTAACATTTCCACTAGGTGGGGCTGTTGTGAGTGACCCCTGAAAATATGGCGTTCTAATTAAGAAAAACCTCGTCATGTTATTGGCCTTCCCGTGAAAGTGATATAACTGTCTTATCTACCAACGGTAGGCATTTATAAACAATACGAAACAAAACAAAAAATCACTCAAATGCTGGCCCCATGACCCTCAAGTGCACACTACACAACCCCTTTGACACTTCATGGGACCTCCCTTGCCATGATTCCTTACAAAAGGTTTCAGTTTGGTGTTTTAACATCTTAACACCTGTTCTAGTGCCAGAAAGAGTAAAACATATTCTTATACCCTTTGACACTGCCTTCTAGAGTGTGTAGGCCGTGACCTGCTATATTTGCACAGTGCAACCTCGCGTTGTGACATAGTAATTACAGCCATGGGCGCCTTTTTCACCGCCCAGAATGGGTCTCAAAGGGTGTGGCTAAAATGCGAAGCTAATCACAATGAATGAAGGGAAATCTCTCACTCGGACACCTTCACAGCCACCCTGAGACCTCCACGAGGCACAAATCAGACTGTGTTGCAGAGGTTTCTAATGTGAACATCTTAAAATGTTATATTCATTAGACAATTCACGTTAAAATAATCATTATATTTAAGTAAATGTAAACACAATCAAACAATTTATAGAAAAGTATTTTTTATTAGAAAAATAATTTCTCATCTCCAGCTGCTTGGTGGGGCGATGCCCAACGCCCCTAGTGGATGAACCGCGCCTGCCTAAAGGCATTTGCATGGAAATCAAAGCCCCATCTCGCGTGTTTAACATGACCACTTAATTATTGTTGGTCTTGAGATGCGGCTGCATCTATGGACATCGTACAAATCCCAGCCGTGTTGTTGCGTCTGAAACACTTCACCTGTCTCCTGTTGTGCTGTTATCTGCTGTTGTTGTGTTGTTGTTCAACCTCCACCTTGTTTGTTGCAGAGAGTGCAGAACACCACGGACACCCTGGAGGACTTGTCTGGGCGAAACATCTCCGACTACCTCGTCAAGACCTACCCACAGGCCATCCGCAAGAGGTGCCACACGTTTGTGTCCTCTGTACTCAGTCTTAATTCTAATAATTATAATAGTTAGTACATTTGGTATTAATGCCTTTGCTATAGCACGAGACTATCACAAAGGCACTACTTTTCACAGGTGGGAATAGCGTGTCATCAGAGGGCAATGTTATAGCGTTATTTACCAATTTAGTCATTTGTAAGTGATTTTTCTAGAATGTATATCATGTATGTATTTGGACCGTGACAACGACACATAGGGCCGACTCTTTTTCAAATAACGTCACTGGGATCTTCGAACGTCCACGGTGGAGTAGACGAAACGTTTTTTTTTTGTTCACCAGAATTCTCGGTTTTAATTCAACATCTCATCACAGAAGAAACCTCGCAATGGAATGGCAATGGTCGAAGGATCATCATTATTATTATTATCATTCATCCACATTCATGTTTTGTTTCAGGTTACATTTTGTTAAGAGGTGGACAGTAGATAGCAGCAAAGTGAACAGATTTCTGGACGGAATATTGTAAAATATCTATATATATATATATATATGTGTGTGTGTGTGTGTGTCCCCTCACATTCCTGGGTTGTGTCCGGGTATTTCAGTTTCTTCCCACATGTTCAAACAGTGAGGAAACGGCCAAACATTCCAGTCAGCATCCCTATTCATAAATTTGGAGACTCGACGAGAGGCAGTTATGGATAAGTGAAATGCATTTCAGGAATATGTTATTTGTGACTGTTTTATTTATTTCTATTAAAAATATATATTTTATGCACATTTACAGTCTGAAGCACAAGTACTGGGTGAATGAAATCAGGTATGTTACATAATGCCTGCTCACACAAACCTAAAACAATGAAATGTGCACTGATATATGTACGAATATTATTCTTGAAATGACCACTGTGAAATAATAAAGTACAAACATAATTTATAAAATCATATACTAAATCACCACTTGATAGGTTTATGACTTGCCATTTCTGTGTTAACACTTCATGTTTATTGTTTAGTCTGTTTTATATTTTGTATTGTTTTTTCCCCTCAGATATGGGGGCCTGTCTGTTGGCAAGAAGAAATTATCCAATTCTGCCTCCCCCAAAGACATGGACATCGTCTTCACGAATGTCAAGAGGGTCTTCCACATTGAGGTAATAATAATCATAAGAAGACACATTTTATTCAGGTCTGACATTAGTGGGTAGGCATGATAGGAAATATAATGATGGTGACATCAACCGCGATTGCAAGTCAATTATCATAGATACACATTTTGAGTCACCCCTCCTGGTAAAGGCAGATAATGGCAAGAGACAAACACATACTTGCACATCGTCTTTGCACAAGAGGCCTCTGTCTCAATTACTTGTCACCTGGTTATAGATACAGTTCATATATAAAACTAAACTTTAAAAAATATTATTTTACCAGGTAAGGCCCACTGAGCCCATATAGCTCTTTTTTAGAAGCGACTTGGCCACAAATGAGTGCTCACCGAAGTGGCTTATTATGTGGAAATATATTGCAGCCAAATACTATAAAGGCACGTTTTTAGATGTGGTGGAAATAATCGGAGGACCCAGAACAAAATCCACATGACCACGGGGAAAACATGCCATCTCCAAATATACAGGCATCATGGTTGGGATCGAACCCACAACCTCCTGTGTACCAAGCGAGGTAGTTAATGTCTCACCACTGTGGCACGTAGAGCCCAGTTGTCCATCCGCTGCTGGATGAGAGCCTCCGCCACACGATGACCGAGTTGCGTGGGTTCATTTTACTGCACGTCACCACAATGTAGCCGTTTGCAGCCTATCAATACAATTTTTACGCATTTATAGTCATTCATCTAAACACTCTCTAGGCTTTAACCTTATTAGAGACCTGACGGGATGGGGCATGTTTCAGGTGGCTGCGTCATAGGCACATGTATTTTTGCATGCGTACATATGTATTTGTTTATGAGCAGCAGTTAGCATGCTGCGCTACAAATCTGGCGACCCGAGTTCGATTCCCTCAGCCTCAAATGAGTACCTCGTGTGGTGTGTAAATATCACCACTAGGGAGACAAAGACGGCTGGGCGTGGTGTTGGCCACCCACTCTCTCGTGTGCCGTGCCGGCCTTCATAGGTGTCTTGCTAACAGCACTTGCCCCAACAGTCTGTTAAGGCTATATGGGGATCTTTGTCTTTGTTTGTTTGTTAACAAATTGTGTGCTATGTTGTTAATGTTTTCAGAACAAGGCTGTTGATGTACTGTACAGTGGCGTCAAAGACATGGTGTCCTTCCTTGGGCCAAAGGAAACTATCAAGGTCAGTTCACCATGGATACGGTCCAACGTAGTCTGAAACGGCAGACCTGGATTTGATGGCGGCCATTTTAAAATGAAAACAAAATGTCGCTGAGCTCCTCTTGATCATGGTCAGTTTGGTTTTATTCCTCAGCAAGGAATGAATGCAGACCACAGCAAAAACAAGAAGTGTAGCCAATATGCACAACAAATGAGAATAAAATAAATCGGAAGCCATACTACTTGAGACTGCTCTGCTTTTTTGATCCACTCCATTTGAGTTATTCGTACCATGTTGGACAATAATAAGCGTTTAATTTAGTTTCAAATTGCTTCTTTTTGTGGGTTAATTAATAATGTGTCCGTTTCACAACCTTCTTACCAAAAGACCAAATGTCAGTTCAGTCATTCTTAATATCTGCATTTCTTATATTATAATAAAAATCTCAATCACTCGAGTCCGAGGGGAAACAGAGTCACGTGTACAGTTTGTTACTTATGGTACGTAATGTCACCTCGTAAAGAATTCTGCAAATTGCACTGACCCCCTATATTGTGTGTGGCAGTAAAAAAAAACGTATTTACCTCCTGTTGTTTGCACCGTGTTTGTGCGATCTCTCAGGTTTGGTTCAACAACAAGGGCTGGCACGCCATCGTGGCCTTCATGAACATGGCCAACAACGCGGTGCTGCGCTCGAGCCTGCCAGCGGGCACCGACCCCTCAGACTACGGCATCACGGCCTACAACCACCCGCTGAACCTCACCAAGGAGCAGCTGTCGGAGGTCATGCTGTACGTAGCTCCGTCGCTGTAAATTACGCTTTTTGTGCAACGGGGTTGGGGGGAGGGGCGAGCGGGCAACAAATGCAGCGATGGCACTTCATAAGCTGGCTTGTGGGGCCAGGGGACCTGTGAGCGAAACGAGAAAAATGGAAGGAATATATCTCAACGACCCTGACCTGCTCATTATACCGATTATGGACTGCGTACACCTCCCTTCCTGCATCCGTCCCATGCTGCTCCACCTCCTTCCTCCGACCTGACCCCCCCCCCCCCCCACCGGTATAAGCTAAGTTAAGTGAACAACCAAATGGAAATATTGTGGGGGGGTTGTAGGTCATTGGTAACCAGCCGGAACTCATCAACTCACTAACACTTGAGAACGTAGAAAAGGCAATAATACAGGTGTTAAGATTTTAAACCACTAAATAGACATCTGTTACAAGGCATCAAGTCTACATTAACCACGCACACGTGTGGAAAAACGTGCAAATAAGCATGCTTTGACAATGTATGCATTGTCCTTAAAACTGATTGGCCTGCACCAGAGACTCCTTTCTGGTCTTGTCTCACCACCGGTGTTAGACCAGAGAACAACGCCAAAAGGTGAATGGCACAAGGACGGTCTTGTCAACTAGTATAAACCATCACGCAAACTCCGGTAATCCTCACAGCAGCAGCTTTTAAATAACCATTGAACAAAGACAGTCATTGCATCGCGCCCTTTCAGACGCGCTTCCGCGGCCGTCTGCAATGCTCTTCCTTCCGATATTAGGAAGCAACTGGAGCTGTACACGTTTAAATGTTGATTGAAAACTCATTTCTTTAGAACTGCTTTTTGTGTTTAGTTTGTTGACCTTCCAACAACATACATAAAACACGGATTCGAATTCAGGATCGCAGAGGTGAATGTTTGGTACTTAAAAACAGCATTATCCCGCCCTGAGCCACCTGACTCAAGAGCTGTTTCGTCTGAACGGGCCCCCGGAGCTCACAGTGTTGCCTGTACGTGCGCCACCTCTTTACCTGCTTCCAGGCTGACGACCTCGGTGGATGTGCTGGTATCCATCTGCGTGATCTTCGCCATGTCCTTCGTGCCGGCGAGCTTCGTGCTCTTCCTCATCCAGGAGCGCGTGAGCAAGGCCAAGCACCTGCAGTTCGTGAGCGGAGTGAACCCGACCATCTACTGGATCTCCAACTTCGCCTGGGATATGGTGAGTGGGGGGTGGTGGAGTTGGGGGGGCACTCATAATCCTGTATAATCTACTTTTTTCACATTTATAGAGCACCTTCACTCAAGGCGCTTTAACATAGGTAGCAAAACGGTGACACAAACTGAAATGATTTAGATGACAGGGGCGTGCTACAAGGGTCGAGGAATGCATGACAGCGATAGAGGGGTGCTTAGGGGATCACGAAAGAATAGGAGAGGGATGGGAAGGAGTGAAGGGGCGAGGAGAAGGAAGAGGAAGGGAATGGGCAATAGAGAAGAATTGAGGATTTAAGAGAGGAATGGAAGGATGTTAAGGCTGGCACTTCTCAATGTAGGAAAGGGAAGTTTATTCCAGTGAAAGGGGGGGTACTCATAAGTGGAACTTCTCTTGCACGTGCGGTTAACAAACCGCACGCAAGTTGCTGTAATATTTCCGTGATCCCTGCTGTCAGTGTTACTAGAATGGTGCAAGACTCGAATGTTATTGGCTCCCTCGATTGTTACCACTGCTCAGTGTGTGCAACGTTATGATGTATTCGCTGCTGTAACTTGAAAAAGTTTTCAGCAAGATCCTCCGCGGGGGTCACCCTTGTATGTATATATTTATATAACGCCTTCACTCAAGGTGGTTGACAGCTTACGACTGAATGTTTAAAACAACAAAGATTAAAATCAACCAATCGATTGATCTGTCGGGTGTCTCTTCCTCTCCGTAGCTGAACTACACAGTGCCGGCGACGCTCGTGGTGCTGATATTCCTGTGCTTCCAGCAACAGTCGTACACATCCGCTGCCAACCTGCCCGTGCTCATCACCCTGCTGCTGCTCTATGGGTGCGTGCCCTCCTTGAGTCCACCCCCGTCACTTACCAAATACAATTTGTATGTACTGTATGCGTGTTGAACTTTTTTCGCACCGTACCTAGCCAACCTCACTAATCGGAGGTGCGGGAGGATAACAAGCCAAACGCAAAAAGCAGTTCTGAATAAATTCGTTTTCAATCTAGATTTATAATTGCATAGCATCAGCGGCTTCCTAATATCAGATGGAAGAGCGTTTCAAACGGCCGCAGAAGCGCACCTGAAAGCGCGCAATGCTGTGATCATCTTTTTTCGATGGTTAGCCAAAAGCCGCTGCTGTGAGGATGAGCGGAGTTCACGTGATCATGGTTTATGTTCCTTGACAAGGTCAGCAAGGTTTTTTGAATCACTTTTGGTGAGCACTTTGTGACGTACAGGACAAGGACATGTTTTTGTTTGCATGTTCACCACATGTGTGGTTAATGCAGACATAATTCCTTGCAAAAGGTTTCTGTTTGGTGTTTGAACATCTTAACACCTGTTTTTTTGGCAAATAGGGTAAAACCTATTCGTATACTTTGATACTGGCAAGAAAGGTCCCATGTTGTACCTGCTCACCCCTATAAAATTTAAAAGTTTAGTGTTTGAATTGTTTAGAATGGCACTAAATTGGTTGACTATGCCTAATGAGCTGACTTAGCTGCTAACCTGGGTTGACTAGCATTAAAACTTGCATCACTGAGCCTAACTTGGGCTTTCTTGGCCCAACCTGGATTGGGTTTGGTAGGCAAATCCTGGGCTGACGATGCCCTGCCGGGTTGCCGAGGCTGCGGTTAAGCTGACCGTGTGGCGCTTCGTCCGTGTTTCCCCCTCCCCCCCTCGTTCGCTGCAGGTGGTCGATCACCCCGCTCATGTACCCGGCGTCGTTCATCTTCCGCGTGCCCAGCACGGCATACGTGGTGCTCACCTGCCTCAACCTCTTCATCGGCATCAACGGCAGCATCGCCACCTTCATCCTCGAGCTCTTCGAAGATGACCAGGTGAGTCCCTGTAAAAGATGGAGAACGTGAACGGCGTAAGCCGGTCGCCATTGTAGGCTATCGTCTTTGTCCTCCATTTTGTTTGTATTCCGCTGGTGCGTTATGAGGCGGTGAACATGACATTGCACGGTTGGCATTGTACGGTCACTGGTTGGCATTGTACGGTCACTGAAGCTATGCACTTTTAAATCTCGATTGAAAACTAATTTTTTTCGAACTGCTTTTTGTGTTTAGTTTGTTGTCCTTCCCCCGTACCTCCGATTAGCACGATTGGCTATGTACGGTGCAAAAGAAGTTCAACATACAGCAAACTTATATATTTTTTTTTTTATAACATTACCATTTTTTTATGTGATCTACCATGATCCGGAAGGCCATGTAAACACAATGTACAGACAGATGCTGACACCCATTGCACAATTGAAAGATGAAAGACTCTCCTGGCAGTAACTGTGGCTACGAACACCAAACCTTAGCCGTAACTTTGCACTGCCCCAAATATAAAAGCGGTGAATCTGCAATTCACCAACTCTCAAAGACAAAGCAATTGATTGGCTCTATAACTTAGAAATGCATCTCTAATAGTTGCTCTTGATTGGCCATACGAAATTTTCATCAACAGACAGATCAGTAATATTAATCGCAATCATAAGCCACATACATGCTGAGGCCCCTTACAATGTACAATCCTTCACATGTCTGTCCCGCTATTGTTCAGTACCTTGAGTCTACAATTTAAGTTACAACCAGGCACTATTCAATTAAAATGCTTTAAAAGTTACAGATTTTAGGAATTAAAAAAATGACAGCCAACACCACATTGTCAATGATTGTTAATCACATTAAACTTCTTTTTTCTTTAAAATCTTTCTCTTCTAAGCTACAAGTTATTTGAATCGCCCGTCACCTCCAAGTTGCTTTAGTGTGTTTTCTTAGATAAATCGCGTATTTAATTCTCCCGTCAATGATTTTGCAAAGTCCGATCTTTCTCTCCCGTTTATTCATTCGATGTGAGCTTGGCCGGCCTGACAAAGTTGTCTCAACTCCCCCTGTTGCAACAGAACCTCAAGAGGATCAACTCCGTTCTCAAGCAGATCTTCCTCATCTTCCCGCACTTCTGCCTTGGCCGTGGCCTCATGGACATGGTGAAGAACCAGGCCATGTCGGACGCATTTCAGCGATTCGGTAAGACAGTTGTTGAAAACCAAAACGTGAAAATTAGGTGTGGCCCTTGTGTGGGTAAAGAAGAAGGCTATTGAAGTGACTTCAGGCCTATTATTGCGACGTAATCTTCTGGCCATTTTGTGTCAGAGGGCGATGGACGGCTAGCCGCAGAGTTTTAAACGGAAATTTCTTCGGCCCGTCACATAATACTGTTAGGACAATCGGAGCATAAATTGGGACAAAAAATTGTAAACAAGAGAACAAAGTTTTTGTTTGCAAATGTAGATAATTCAGAAGGTGGTGGGTGGAGTCATTCCATGTGCATGAGCAACAGTGTCTTTACCGTTTAGTTTCACCTTATTCATCGTCATCCTCACTGCCAAAGAAGTCCTGTCTCAACCGTGGGCTCTTGCCTGGTAAAATAGAAGCAACTCCCCAACTCGGTGGTCGAATGTCACCCATTTACTTAGTTTTTTGTCAATGAACACCACAGGACATTCAGAAATCACAAGGTGCACTTTGTCCCACCAAAGGGCAACGTTCCCCTGCATAGCCTTTAAAATACTGTTGGGAAGGTGCTGTTAGCGAGCACCTATGAAGGCTGGCACGGCACACAAGGGGGTGGGTGGCCAACATCACGCCTGGCCACCTTTGCTTCCCTAAGTGTTTACACAAAGCACCAATTACTCGTTTGAGGCTAGAGGAGGCCTGGGACTGGTTCACCGGCAGACTAATAGCCACTTGCGGGTCAGTGCAGCATTCACCTTGTACCTATGTATGTTGAACTTCTTTCACACTGTACGTAGCCAACTTTGCTAATCGGTGGTGCGGTGTGCCACTTTGGGCACAGCTGCCATCAGGGAGTCTCCTAGGCGAAAACTACAGCTTGGCATTGCGATTGTTGAGATGGGATGTGACGACGCAAGGCACGCCGAGTTTGCCGAGGCATTTGCAAATCCTTGACAGTTTCTTGCACGCTGTCGCCCCCGCGCGTCACCGCAGGAGAGAATCGCTTTGTGGACCCGTTCAGCTGGGACATGGTCGGCAAGAACTTGTTTGCCATGGCCGTGGAGGGCATGGGCTTCTTTATAATCAACCTGCTGGTGCAGTACCGCTTTTTCTGCAAGCCTCGGTGAGTTGTTGCACCGCAGCCCTGGCCCACACAAAATATCACGCACCCCACGCAATGTCGCTTGACCGATCGACCGAACGACCGATTGACGGACGGGCGGATGGACCCCCGACTGTCTCGCAGGTCGCACCGTGGGAAGCTGCAGCCAGTTTCCGAGGAGGACGAAGATGTGGCACGCGAGAGGACTCGGTTGACCAACGACGAGGGAGGGAGCGATACGCTTGTCATCAGAAACCTCACCAAGGTGCCTGCAGGGTGTGACGCACGCTTTTAAGGGTTGTGCCGTATGGCTGTCGGATGCTTTCTTTATGGTTGTGCTGCAAAACTGTAAACTAAACTATCAAACTTTAAACCTTACCAGGTAAGGCCCGAGAGTTACGAAGCTCTTTTTAGGAAGCGATGTGTCCACAAATGATGGCTCAACAAAGTGGCTTATCGCATGGAAATTTATAGCAGCCAAATACTCTCAACGCGTCGACGCTGATTCTAAATGAGGAATGAAAAACCAGAGTGACCCGGAGAAATCCACGCAACCACAACAGCACACAGTACACCCTGACAACAGCACACAGTACACCCTGACAACAGCACACAGTACACCCTGACAACAGCACACAGTATAACCAGCAACAGCACACAGTACACCCTGACAACAGCACACAGTACACCCTGACAACAGCACACAGTACACCCTGACAACAGCACACAGTATAACCAGCAACAGCACACAGTACACCCTGACAACAGCACACAGTACACCCTGACAACAGCACGCAGTACAACCTGACAACAGCACACAGTACACCCTGACAACAGCACACAGTACAACCTGACAACAGCACACAGTACACCCTGACAACAGCACACAGTACACCATGACAACAGCACACAGTACACCCTGACAACAGCACGCAGTACATCCTGACAACAGCACGCAGTACAACCTGACAGCAGCACACAGTACACCCTGACAACAGCACGCAGTACAACCTGACAACAGCACACAGTACAACCTGAGAACAGCACACAGTACAACCTGACAACAGCACACAGTACACCCTGACAACAGCACACAGTACACCCTGACAACAGCACACAGTACACCCTGACAACAGCACGCAGTACAACCTGACAGCAGCACACAGTACACCCTGACAACAGCACGCAGTACAACCTGACAACAGCACGCAGTACAACCTGACAGCAGCACACAGTACATCCTGACAACAGCACACGTATAACCAGCAACAGCACGCAGTACAACCTGACAACAGCACACAGTACACCCTGACAACAGCACGCAGTACACCCTGACAACAGCACGTAGCAGCTCCCGCTTCCCGTAAGAGCCCGGAGTGACCTGCCGGAGCCTGGCACGCGAGCTGGCGTCACCCGATTGGCTCATCCCGACTTTTGTTTTCTCGCCGCAGGTTTACAATGGCAAAAAGAAGCCAGCGGTGGATCGCATCTGCGTTGGGATTCCTCCGGGAGAGGTGAGAGAGGGTTTCGTATAAATCCTCGTACCATGCCCGGGGGTTCCTATGGACCGTGGTTCCAGACGCTGTTGCCCACAGATTTATGCCATATGGCCCTGCATCCAAAACGAGGCTTAACACTATGAAACAGCCAGCAAGCGATTATTCATCCTTCTGCAGTCATCTCAGCCACACTAATTGGGGTACCACTTCTTTAACTGTTAGCACCTCTTACAGTGACAGACATGACTGAAGTATGTCTGTTGAGTGGTGACCGGCTGAGGGTATTTGAAATATCTATTTGACTGTCAATAGGGGAAAAACTTTCCCAATTCCTGCCTTCTACAGCAGGGTGGAAACAATTAAAGCATCAGATTAGTTGCTAAGTTGATGCTCGGTCACAACAGGCATCTGTAAAAAATAAAAAAATGGGAACAACTTTCAACCTGGTTGGACATTCCGTACCATATTCAGGGCAAGCCTTGACAAGTATGAGTGTGTGTGGTGTCGAATGAGGAGCGGTAGTGTAACAGTTTAGCACACTGCGCTATGAACTCGGTGATCCAGGTTCGATTCGCGCTCACGGTCGACACACATGACAATTATCTGAACTGGTCCTGAGCCTCCCCTAGGTCGGCTCAGCCTCAAATGAGTACCCGGTGCGGTGTGTAAAAATATCACCACTGAGGAGACACTGGCTGACGGGCGTGGTGCTGGCCACCCATCCCCTCGTGTGCCGTGATGGTCTTCATAGGTGCTGCTCGCTAACATTACTTGCCCTAAAATAATTTTAAGGCTATATGGGGAACTTTCTCTTTGTCCTTGGGGTTGAATGGAGACACTCAGTTGGATGGAGAGGAAGAGAAATTCTAGAGCAGGTTCAGGAGGAGAGAAGTCTGTCATTAGAACGATTCAGAGAGAGGTCGATGAAGGAAGTTCTGGGAGTGAAGGCTGCTGGGAAAGAGGCCAAGAGAGAGAGAGAGAGAGAGGTTCTGCTTAATGACTTTTAGGAAAGTAGTCCATACGGTGAAATGAAGAAGCTAAGGATGAGACAGAAGGATGGAGAGAGTTCGAGCCAGAGAAACCTCTGCCATCTGACAGAAGAGCAAAGAGAAACGGTGTTTGATTTTTGTTGCAGTGTTTTGGCCTGCTGGGAGTGAATGGGGCTGGAAAAACCACGACATTCAAGATGCTGACAGGAGACACGGACATCACGAGCGGGGACGCACTTCTTAACCGATACAGGTGAGACGAGCCAATTGCGGCTCCATTACGCACCTCCGTTGAGCACGGTTGGCTGTGTACGGTGCGAAAGAAGTTCAACGTGCTTTAATACATCAGAGCGGTCATAGGTCAGGCGAATCATGGTTGGATTGTCAACGGGCATGTTACATGGGTACCTGTACAGCCCCTTTTGCCAATCCACTGATGGATGAGGGCCTTGCAGGTTGTAAGGGTTATGTGATAATAACATGAATTGCACTGATCTGTGCGGGTTGGTGAAGGCAGGAAACACTGGCGTAGGCACATAGACGTACAGTAAGCCCCTCGTTTAATGCTGTAGTAGACGCATTCCTGGCAAGTGCCGCGTTTAAGCAAAAACCGCATTAAGCGAGGAATTACTGCTTACTGAATCACATTTGCACAGTAAAACTATCCCGCAGTCATTCCATGGCGGGACAAAGATTTGAAATGACGATACGCCACCGCGTGCTGTCTTTAGATGTCCTTCCCCGTACCTCCGATTAGCACGATTGGCTACGTACGGTGCAAAAGAAGTTCAATGTACATGCATACATACATACACGGTACTGTATCATTCCGCAAACTTTATCATCCACTGAGCCGCATAGCTCAAGAAAGTAGTTCGTCGTCAACCGCTTAAAAACCGTGCGTTCCGTGTTGTGCAAAAAGTGTGCCCTAATGGAAGAACCGGGTTATGGCGAAAACGCACTGTCGTGCGAACGCCGCGACGCGTGAAGCGAGAACTTGATGTTTGGAACAACCGTACATTCCGCAACACTGACCCGTACTGCCCACAGCTTAGCCCGACAACTTAGGCCACCTGGTAGGCACGGTGGCCACCCCTCCAAGCATTTTCCAGGCTCAATGCTGCTTAGCTTCCAAGATGTGACAAGGTCAGGTGAATTCCGAGGTAATTTAGTCGTGGGCATCAAATTGACAGAACCCACCACATAAGTTGCGTATTTATTAATGAACGACCACCACGAAATTCCCACTGTCTCCTCTGATCGTCCGCTTGTTTTCTTTCGTGTGCCAGCATCCTGACCCACAAGCGGGAGGTGCACCAGAACATGGGCTACTGCCCGCAGTTCGACGCCATCAACGACCTCATCACGGGACGGGAGCACCTGGAGTTCTACGCACGCCTGCGTGGGGTCCCCGAGAAGGAGGTGTCCAGGGTAGGTGCCGAGTGGCGACCCTCGGTGTTTCCCTACAGTGCCGCCTCCATTCCGTGCCATCTCCTTTCAGTGCCGCCCCCTTGCCGGGCCACTCTGGGTAGTCCCACCCCCTTTCAGTGCCGCCCCCTTGCAGTGCTACTCTGGGCAGTGCTGCCCTCTTTCAGGTGATTGAATGTTTTTTGTTTGTTTTTTGCTAACCCCAATCAGGTGGCAGCGTGGGGCATCCGTAAGCTCGGTTTGACCAAGTACGCGGATCGCGCAGCCGGAAACTACAGCGGTGGGAACAAGCGGAAGCTGTCGACAGCCATCGCCCTTGTGGGGTGTCCACCCATCGTTTTCCTGGTCAGCGTCAACCCCCACGCCCCCTCCTACCCCTCATACCCCCCACCTTAACGGCCATTTATTATCATCATAATCCTCGTTGTCATGATCACCACTCAATATTCACACCGCTCCCCCTGAGCCACTTGGCCACTCTCAAGGCTTCGTTTCAGCCGGGTCTGTCCGGGTCAGCGACATGGAAAATATTTCCGATCCTAGCACACCACATCCATAATAGAGGTTTTTTGGGTTAGATTGCGTAAATATATAAATGTGTCGTTAAAACACGCCACCACTCGACACAGCTAACTAGTAAGGGTTGTCACATAAACAGAACGTGCCAATCCATCACGAGTACAACACACCGGTGTGTTGGAGAGCCAAGCCACAACATTTACAGTTTAACAAGTAGGCTTTCGCGACAGTCAGCGATGGCGGTGGCGGTGGAAACGCGATGGGAAACGACGTCAATTTTAGCTTTTCAAAACGGCGTCAACGTCGCATCCGAAGGAACACGTCTCCGCACGTCGTGTAGGTTTCCACCCCGTCCACTGCGCGCACTGTTTGCCACTAACGAGCAACTCTTTCCTTTTTTTATTAACGAAAAAAAACAGCCAGAGAGAGCGGGGGGTAGGGATTGCGGATTTTGTGGGGGAGGTGGAGGATACGATTTAGTTTGGGGGGGGGGGGGCGCCAGTTACAAGCAGCGCAGAGGACACTAAGGCGGTCGCTATCCGCTTGGTTACAATTATTTATTTTTCTTTCATTTTCGATAGATTCTCTAATTAGTATTGGCCAGTAGTTTTTTATTTTATTTTTATTAATTTTAATTTCATTTTTTACCTACGTGACTTTACCGAAAGAACTAAGAGTATGAATCCTTGCAGTCACGAAAGCTTCAAATCTAGAATCAGTAGTAGCAAGTTTTGCACAGAACTTCAACATTATCAAATCAATTGAGTGTCCTTTTTGGCATGCGTGTTCTGCTACTGCTGACAGTTGTTTTGGGAGTATTTAATATTTCTCTGATGTTCTTTTAGTCTCGTGCTGATCATTCGTCCTGTTTGCCCAACATAACGCCACACGTGTAGTTAATCCTGTATACACCTTCTGTTGATAGCTTCGGTAATACATCTTTTGTACCAGATATTAAATTCTGTATTTCATGTATCGTGCCAAATCTGACTCGGATGTATTTTTTTCCAAACATCTGGCCAGTTTATCAGTTACTCCCACAATGTACGGTATTTTTATCGTTTTAATTCCTTGGGCAGTTTCAATGCTTTTAATTATTTGAGCCGTCAAATAATTAATTGGTGAGAAATCAAGCCAAGCCCAGGTTATGACTTTTAAAATATGTTAATGGGTTCCGAGTGATTTCCCTGACCCCTGACTCTTGCCTGGATGAAGACAACAGGGTGCATGGTGGCTAGATGTTAACTATCTCGCTTGGTATGCAGGAGGTTATGGGATCGATCCCGACCCTGATGCCTGTATATTTGGAGTTTGCATGGTCTCCCCGTGGTCGCCTGGATCTTTCTCCGGGTTCTCCGGTTTTTCCCCTCCAAATTAGAGAAACACACATTTCGAGTATTTGGCTGCTATACATTTCCACATGATAAGCCACTTTGTTGAGCTATCATTTGTAATAACCAGGTTTCTTCTGAAAAAGAGCCATCTACCTCAGTGGACCTTTACCTGGTACAATAAAAAGAACAGTTCAGTTTAATAGAGGGTGACTGTAAGCTGCTCTGTCTGTGCAGGACGAGCCGACCACCGGGATGGACCCGAAGGCACGGCGTTTCCTGTGGGACTGCATCCTCAGCATCATCAAGGAGGGGCGGTGCGTGCTGCTCACCTCACACAGGTACAGCCCGCTCACTTCGCATGTGAATACCCGCTCGTTGACTCGCTCACTCAGCCACTCACTCACCCGCTCGCTCACCAACTCAGGCAACTACCCACTCACCCACTCCTTACACACTCAATCACTCACCCAACCACCCATTCAATCACTCACCCAACCACCCACTCACTCACTCACACAACCACCCACTGACTCACCCAACCACCCACCCCCACTCATTCACTTACCCAACTACTCACCCATTGAATCACTCAGCCAATCGCCCTCCCACGCACTCACCCACCCAATTATCTACCCACTCACCCACTCAATCAGTCACACAATTACCCACTCACTCACCCACCCACCCGCTCACCCATTCGCTCACCCATGTGCCCGTGTGCAGCATGGAGGAGTGTGAGGCGCTATGCACGCGCATGTCCATCATGGTGAACGGAAGATTCCAGTGCCTGGGCAGCGTGCAGCATCTCAAGAACAAGTGAGTGGGCGCTGCATGTGACAACACACTGAGACACGCACAGAAACAACAACCTCCGTTCACCACTAAGTAGTAGTGACGTCACCACGGCAGTGACAAAGACACACACCAACACTCACAGCACCGTCTGGTTTCCCTGGTAACGGCACTTGGCCGTGGTGGTGACGCTGCAGGTTTGGCAACGGGTACACCGTGACACAACGTGTGGCCACAAAGAAAAAGATCCCCCATATAACCTTCACAGATTGTTGAGGAAAGTGCTGTTAGTACACCTATGAAGGCCGGCACGGCACACGAGGGGGTGGGTGGCCAGAACCATGCCCGGCCGCCTTTGTCTCCCGAGTGATAATGTCTATACAGTGCACCAGGAACTCATTTGAGGCAGAGTCGACCTAGGGGTGGCCCAGGACCAGTTGAGATATTCGTCACCGGTGTTGGCCATGAGCAGGAATCGAACTCATGTTGGCCATGAGCGCACTAACCGCCGTGCCACCGCACCGCGCAGACTCACATACACGCACACACAAAGACATGGATCCCCCATGTAGCCTTAACAGACTGTTGGGGCAAGTGCTGTTAGCGAGCACCTATGAAAGCCGGCACGGTACACGAGGGAATGGGTGTCTAACACCACGCACTCACAGCACCGTCTGGTTTCCTTGATAACGTCGCTGGGTGGGGGTGGTTGTTCCGGTGGAGGTTTGGCGACGGCTACACGGTGACGCTGAGCATAGCCACACTCACACACTCACACACAGTCACACTCACACACTCACACACAGTCACACTCACACAGTCACACTCACACACTCACTCACTCACAGCACCGTCTGGTTTCCCTGATAACGTGGCTGGGTGGCGGCGGTGGTGGTTTCGCCGCAGGTTTGGCGACGGCTACACGGTGACGCTGCGCGTGGCCGGCTCCCCGCCGGTGCTGCCGCCCGTCGAGGAGTTCATCGACTCGGCGTTCCCCGGCAGCCTCCTCAAGGAGCGCCACCACAACATGCTGCAGTACCAGCTGCCCTCCGCCGAGTCCTCGCTCGCCAAGATCTTCAACCTGCTGGCGCTGCGCAAGGAGGAGCTCAACGTCGAGGACTACTCCGTCTCCCAGACCACGCTCGACCAGGTCAGGACGTCTGCTGGCACGACGTTAAGTTTGGAGGCCCACCCGGGGTGTTGGGGCCCGGAGAGTCCATACGCGGCGTTGGTGCAGTTGAGCGAAGTTACGGGCAGATCACCCGCAATGTGCCCGATCGCAATCAGATCTTCGGTAGCCAAGCAGAGATCGAACCTGGACAGCACTTTGATGGGTGACCCCCAAGGCGTGAAACAGGAGTGGTTAGGCATCGTGGGCAGCAGAGAGGGGGATGTGTAGCAACATCCCTTGCTGTACTCTACTCCCCCCCCAACTTTTCTCATCCCCTCCCGACCTAATAGTAAACAAACAATAACTTTCAGCCCCCTGTCAATCCACAACTGGATGTAGGCCTCCCCCTCACCGTGTTGTACACTGGGATTGTTTGACCATACTTCGCTGCCACTGATTAGTGCTGCCTGGTGAGGGGAGGATGAACCAGAGCCGGTTCAGATATGGCTCGCCATCAGGTGACGGGTGGAGACTACCTGAGTAGATCAGCTCGGCCTGAAATGAGTACCTTGTGTGCGGTGTGTAAACATCAGCACTGGGGGGGGATGAAGGCAGCTGAGCGTGGTGCTGGCCACCCACTCCCTTTGTGTGCCACGCCGGCATTTATAGCTGTTGCTCGCTGACACCGCTAGCCCCAACAGTCTGTTAAAAGCTATACGGGGGATCTTAATGGTTATGTAAATGTGGACGGGGGATTACAGAGTGGGGGGGTGTTCTGCTTGAGCCCGCCAGAAATTTGGTGGCTTTGTTCGCTGACCCCTGCCTTGCTGCTTGTCGTTTGTCACAGGTGTTCATCAATTTTGCGAAGCACCAAAGCGACGAGGATCACAACAGCATCATCCAGACGAGCGTTGTCTGAGCGGCGCTGCGTGGAAAGAGACTGCCAACTCAAATTCCAGTCTTGGATGAAGATGAAAAAAGTTTGAAAAAAAAAGTTTATATATTAAAAAAAACTGGTAACCTGCAGAATCAATGCAATGTATGTTGAGAGTAACTGTGCAATTAATGCAACGTATTTTCCAAAAAAAGAGTAGGTTTGCACTTGTTCACGCACCGTATATTAACGCGATTTTCTTGAAAGCCACATTGTTAGTTTTAGTAAGACTTTTTGACGAGTTTGCGACGCACGTTGTTTAAAAGGATAGCATAGTCGCATGCCTGGGGTTTTGCATCTTTACGCCTTCCACAATAATAAATTGTGAGGGCTTTTTTTTCCATTACATATTTAACAACACAATTTGATTATTATTATAAATTTTATACTTAAAAAAAATACCCCAACATTTAACTTACTATTACTGTGCTTCAGTATTGGCACCAAAGTGTGAAACGCCATTTTGCTTTTTGGTGGACACCATCCCCAAAGTTGGGTTTATTTTCATTTGTCCGTCGTTCCAGGTATTTTGCTAAACGCTTTCGAAGGTGATGGGCATGTTGGTATTTTACTGTGCACAATCTGGGGACCATTGATAAAACTGCAGATGTCAACTCGTGATTATGGACCGAGGCTCCCGTTGTTCTTCCTGTAAGAGATCGAAAACAAAACCAAGCGGCTTCCTTTGTGGATCGCCCATTGTCGGCTTGATCGAAGTTTTGCTAAGGGGGTGTTTACTTGAAAAATCCTGAATTAGTTTCTTTTTTATACAACAGGGCACCATGTAACGTAAGCAGCAGCTGGTCTGCTTCAAGGTTGCAAATTATTATGTCATATGTGGACATCTGATCAAAACTGAAATCAGGACTTCTTTGTAATAAAAAAAAATACCCAAAGTGTTTTTGTTTTTAAAACACCCTCCACCCTGAGCAAACACTGTCGACGTTACGTTGAAAGAACAGCAACGGCTACTTTTAATACATTTCCATTGCGCTCAACTGTGCGTTTTCTTTTGGATTAATGTTTGCAGAAACTCTTCGATTTCTTGCACGGTCATTTTTTTTGTTTGGTATTCCCCCCCAAAACGATTCTTTAATTGATGGATATCACGAACAACTGGAAACTCCGCAGCATAATCAAGTGCGAGGCGTCCTTTTTGTTTTTTTATAATCTGTGGTATTGCTTTGCGCGTTGAAAAAAAATCAATGCAAAGAAAATTTTTGCACATGGTCAGTTTTTTTGGTTTAAACAAACAAAAAAATTCATTGTGCTGCGTTTTTTTTTTGGTGCTTTGGTAAATTGTAAATTGTATGCTCTTAACGTTTTTGGCTGTTTTAATTTTAAATAACCGAAACCAAGCGTATGAATAGTATTTCATATCTGTGCGCACTATCAGTGCCGAACATAATTTATCGCTGTGTTAACAATTCTTAAGGATTTTTACGATTGGTGAATCAGGAAATAATTGTTCTGATTTATATAAATGTGGGTGTATGCACGTACGGATTTTGTACGCATCCTGCACTCAAATATAATACACTCTCTAGTTTGGCCAAATTGTTTATGCCACAATGCCTGGAGTGTTTTGTAAAGTGAACTCAATTGCAACGAGCTTTACGAGTCTTAACCATTAAATTCAAGTTCAAGTTCATTTATTAGGTATAGCCCTGTGAGCCATTGGGCTCTTGAATGCAACCTAAACGATAAGAAAGTACTTCCAAAGATTGCCATTCAGAAAAAAATATAAATTATGCACCGGTTATAAACTCGTCGATGAACAACATCACGGGGACTCGCTGCTGTATTTGCGTCAAATTTTTTCATTGGAACATACTCTTTGGTTATTTCGATAAAGTCATTGGAACATCCACCGGAAAGTGTTGAAGGTTGTTTTACAAAGACCCTGTGGTTGAAATTTCAAACTGTAGTCATTAAGGGAATCTAAAATGTCCCAGCAGGTCTAAGGCACTTAAACTATCCATTTTATAACATCTGTCCCATATTATAACGTACGGCCATTACACAATCCAGTGCGGTATGGTCTCCCAACACTGTCGGTCACAGGGGTTGTTTGATCACACTTCACCATGCTGGTCCACTGCTTGTTGGTTAAGTTCCCATGGACTGGTCCGGATATCCCCTTTGTCGTCGTTGCTAATAGTGGCCAGGTCATCGGGTTCATAGCACAGTGCAATCACTGCGTCACCTCTCCACCCCCCTAGCGTATTATATGTTACATTTCAGCAAAGTGGTTATGTCATCCTGTTACATGGATGATTTTTGTTTCTGAAAATACATGTTTCCATCATCCGAATCTCAGCTCTCATTCAATTTAGAAATCTTCAGGAAAGAACACCCTTCTTCAAATGTTCACACTTTGTAGTATCTTTGCTCTGTTGGAGCAATATTAATACAATGTTAACAAGAAGCAAACCCCATTGCGCAAAGATAATTACACAGTCATTATTGCCTTCATAACCCCCGATTGTATATGATGGCATATTGCAGTCACCAGCCGCTAATGTGCAGAGGACTTGAATCGACTTGAATCCTGGACGAAATTTGGGTTCAACTTCTGATGAAGCCTGTGGAAATGTCCAACCACATTGCTGCTGTCTAACCGAGAGTGACTGCTATACGCTTTTGGATTTCATGGGTGTCAGGACAAACCCGTCTTTATTTAGATATGGCTAAGTGACACCCACTCAAATGTTCGCCACTGAACAGTGCGCTCACGCACACACACGATCAACACACACACATTCACACAGTCATCACACAGCATGTGAACAGCACAGTTACGCCACACTCGACACTCTTACAGTCAGCACGCTCACTAACAGTCAGCAGACACACATTAAGAGTCAGCAGACACACATTAAGAGTCAGCACACACAGTCATACAGTCAGCACACAGCACACATGCGTGTTAGGGAACCCCCAACTTCCAAGGTGTCTGTTGTAACCATGCTATGCATACACACAGCGAGAGATGGCCATTTACGGCATTGTTTACCATTCTATCCTGTGTTTTCATGCCACAGAAATAAGACTTACACAGTTGTTATCCAGAGGGTGGCTTTGGAAGTATTGCGACGGATTACACACACTGTATTAGCGGCTTGCCATCAGGTACATTGATTGGTCAATATTGTCATTTTCATTTGCACTGTCATTTTCGCCACTTATAAAACATACAACTGACAACCACTTTGAGTGGTGATTTCTCATGTTTAACTTTTCGCTTTCAATTAACATGTTAGTTTATTCGAGTGACAATTTGGTAATTATCGACTTGTGATTTCTTTTTTTTCTTAATTCCTGTGTATTGTAGAATTACTGTAATGTGAATAAAATTTGGTGTTTTTGTTAAATGTAATGGGTTGTCGGTGTTTTTATTATCAATATTCCAAGAGTTGTTTCCATTTCACGTGACCGCAATTCCCATAGACCTGCCTGCTTTAGTATTTTATTTCGCAGGTTTTAAATTACGGAAGGGTTTGCATGTTACTCAATATATATTAGATAACCACTGTATTCAGGTGTCCATTAAAAATATTGGTGGGCCATCAGAAAGGGTTTTCAACATTTCATCATCAGAATGGCCCACGATTTAAACGAGTCGTGTAGTGTACAACTCAAGCCATCCACTCTCTGGCCTCTATTCATGTGCTTTAAAGAAACGCGCTTGCCCGACACGTTATCTATTATACACGTATAGTACTTCCTTTGAAGGATGTGTTCAGTTTATTTTAGCTTTTATTCTGGAAAAATATACAGTACGAAACTTTTTTTTCCCAAAGTAACAGGATTGTAAACGTACCCCCTCAATATTAATAATATAAATATATTCTGCTGCACTACACAAAGGGATGAATGTTATGCCAATGTGGCCAGAAGTTATACGGTAATAAATTAAATTATGTCAGCCCTCTTCCAATCCACTGCTGGATGAAGACATCCCCACATTATAGGAATTCATCCATACAGGCTATGATCAGCCTGTCAAGCTAACATGAGTTAACCAGGGGAGAACAGAGTCCAAGATTAGTCTCATTTGCAAGATTTGGACTTGCTCACCAACATCTCAAAAGCAAACTAAAAGCGCAAACCGCAATGACGCAAGTAACGGTCACAGCAAAAGCAAGTCACGCGAGAAGTTGAAACTCGCAAACAAATCAACGTTAAATAATACATTAGTCGGCTCGGGCACATTGTTATACCCGTGCTGATCATTGTACAATTAATGTACAGAACCATGAAGCGTGGCTATTGTACCAAGAGCACTGCCACTTCGCTACGAACCCGGCCACCCGAGTTAGATTCCAGCGCCAGTGACGGATTATCTGAACCCAGTCGTGGGCATCCCCCAGGTCGTATTCAGACTCAAATGAGTACAGTACACGTGTAGTGTGTGTAAACTATCACCACTTGGGAGACAAAGTTGGCCCGATGTGTGCCGTGCCGGCCTTTTATAGGTGCTACACGCTAAAACAGCACTTGTTCCCAATAATCCCTTAAGTTTATGGGACCTTTTAACTGTACTAATCAAAATGATTAAACTATAAAAATAGGGTTTTACCCATTCTGCCAATAAAACAGTTATGTTAAGATGTTCAAGCACCAAACAGATACCTTTCGCAAGGCATCCGAGTCTGCGTTAAACCACACGTACTTGTGGCAAAAACGTGCAACACAAACGTGATGATGATGATGATATTTTAATTGTCTTTTAAACTGTTGCGGCTTCCCTGTTGTGTTGGCTGCCGCAGTCGCCCCCCCCCCTCTGTGGGCGTGTCTGTGTCTGTGGGCGTGTCTGTGTCTGGGGGCGTGTCTGTGTCTGGGGGCGTGTCTGTGGGCGTGTCTGTGTCTGTGGGCGTGTCTGTGGGCGTGTCTGTGTTTGGGGGCGTGTCTGTGGGGGTGTCTGTGGGCGTGTCTGTGTCTGGGGGCGTGTCTGTGGGCGTGTCTGGGGGCGTGTCTGTGGGCGTGTCTGTGTCTGGGGGCGTGTCTGTGGGGGTGTCTGTGGGCGTGTCTGTGTCTGGGGGCGTGTCTGTGGGCGTGTCTGTGTCTGGGGGCGTGTCTGTGGGGGTGTCTGTGGGCGTGTCTGTGTCTGGGGCGTGTCTGTGTCTGGGGGCGTGTCTGTGGGCGTGTCTGTGTCTGTGGGCGTGTCTGTGGGCGTGTCTGTGTCTGGGGGCGTGTCTGTGGGGGTGTCTGTGGGCGTGTCTGTGTCTGTGGGCGTGTCTGTGGGCGTGTCTGGGGGCGTGTCTGTGGGCGTGTCTGTGTCTGGGGGCGTGTCTGTGGGGGTGTCTGTGGGCGTGTCTGTGTCTGGGGCGTGTCTGTGAGCGTGTCTGTGTCTGGGGGCGTGTCTGTGGGGGTGTCTGTGGGCGTGTCTGTGTCTGGGGGCGTGTCTGTGGGCGTGTCTGGGGGCGTGTCTGTGGGCGTGTCTGTGTCTGGGGGCGTGTCTGTGGGGGTGTCTGTGGGCGTGTCTGTGTCTGGGGGCGTGTCTGTGGGCGTGTCTGTGGGCGTGTCTGTGGGCGTGTCTGTGTCTGGGGCGTGTCTGTGGGGTGTCTGTGGGCGTGTCTGTGTCTGGGGGCGTGTCTGTGGGCGTGTCTGGGGGCGTGTCTGTGGGCGTGTCTGTGTCTGGGGGCGTGTCTGTGGGGGTGTCTGTGGGCGTGTCTGTGTCTGGGGGCGTGTCTGTGGGCGTGTCTGGGGGCGTGTCTGTGGGCGTGTCTGTGTCTGGGGGCGTGTCTGTGGGGGTGTCTGTGGGCGTGTCTGTGTCTGGGGGCGTGTCTGTGGGCGTGTCTGTGTCTGGGGGCGTGTCTGTGTCTGGGGGCGTGTCTGTGGGCGTGTCTGGGGGCGTGTCTGTGGGCGTGTCTGTGTCTGGGGGCGTGTCTGTGGGGGTGTCTGTGGGCGTGTCTGTGTCTGGGGGCGTGTCTGTGGGCGTGTCTGTGTCTGGGGGCGTGTCAGTGGGCGTGTCTGTGTCTGGGGGCGTGTCTGGGGGGGTGTCTGTGGGCGTGTCTGTGTCTGTGTCTGTGGGCGTGTCTGTGTCTGGGGGCGTGGTCAGGACGTGGGAGTATAAAAGGAGAAGTCGCGCGGCCTGGGGCCTGCGGTCGTTCTCTTTCATTATGGTGAGTGATGGGGATGATGATGATGATGACGACGGTGGTGGTGCTGATGGTGCTGATGGTGGTAGTGTTAGTGGTGATGATGATGGTGAGTAATGGTGGTGGTGGTGATGATGATGGTGCTGATGCTGCTGATGGTGGTGATGATGCTGTTGATGGTGGTAATGATGATGATGGTGGTAGTGGTGCACACGCAGGCAGGCTACCACTGTATGTACTAAGTCGGCAAGTCCGTGGCTCTGAAATTTGACATCGCGGAGAGCCGCCACCCTACAGCGACTTGAGATCGTTACTGAGTTGAATCATTTTAAATCTTAAGCTCGTCATTAAATGTTAGACGTGTGTGGTTGCAGCGATATCAGTACCGCAGTGACCCGTCTCTTGCTGCAACGGATTGCACAATTAAGTGTCCCTGCTGGATGACGAGTGTCTGTGCCAAGGCCGCGTCGCTCACGGAGGGCGGTGGGTTCCGCCGTCCGCGTAACTTCACCGCCACGCCCGCGGCGTCGTTCGTGCGAGTTCGTCAGAAGCTTGATGGTGATGATGATGATCGCCGTGGCCGGGAGTCGAACTTATTTGTCGGTGGTCTTGGTTCTTTCGGTAAAGTCACGTAGAAGGGAAATAATAAAATGATAAAAATATAAAACAATTCTCATGACGTTTCGACTGCAACACACAAGCAAGCATCACCAGGTGTGAAATCCACAGCAAGAATTTGTTATTGTTTATATTTTTATTTTATTATTTCCCGTCTACGTGACTTTACCGAAAGAACCAAAAATATGAATCCCTGTAGCTTTAAATAAAAAAGTTACATCGCTTGTTAATGACATTAACTGCTTTAAAGTTAATCGCATCATGAACCTTCTAAACACCCCATGTTAGAATCGCCCGGAATGTGCCCACGATCACGGAATCTGCATGTCTACTGGAGGAATCCGATGAGCTACAAAGCTCTATTTCCCCACAGACGACGTCCTCTCGTTTTCGCAGATGTCTCGGAAGCTAAGCAGGCGTTGAGCCCGCAACGTTGTTTGGGGATGGGCAACCACCACGCATAACAGGTGTTATAGGCTGCTCTGGCGCTACATTGCAGTGAAGCAATATCGAGTATTGCAGTCTCTGTGCTGAAAGCTCTATTCAAGCCACCTCTGTCTTTACCAGGCCTGCGTGCTGAAGTATGATGGTCGTATAACTTGCGCCGTCATGTCTTTCTATCAGTTGCTTTATTATTTGCTACATTTTTTAAATTAAAAAATTCAATATTTCCGTGTGGAAAAAAACTAATTGATTAAAGGTTTCCGAGTTTGTTAAATATCTATGTATTGTAAAGTGTGTTATTAGACTCACTTTTGAGGGCGTTCTTAAAGGAGCACATCTTGCTAACGCAGAAAAAAATATTGAACCAAGGGAAATTGGTGAAGGTGGATCGGGATCGAAGTGGTGGCGGAGGCAAGGTGCGAGCATGATGGAAAGTGCTTTTGGAAATTTGATCTTTCGCAAGAAATGAAAAGCAACGTAACGATGTGCCTAAAACGTTGAGTTGCGCCATTTATTCGCTTTGCCATTTATCAGAAACGTGAACCACTTGATAAAGTAAATCCGAAAAGAATGCAAAGAAGCATGGTAAGGTGGTGCATGCTTGGGAAATACACAGATGGAATAGGGAAAACGCCTGCATCAGAGCCAAAATATTTGTACTGGAGGAATCTGATGAGCGATAAAGCTCTTTTATCACAGATGTCCAATAGGGCCGGGTAAGAACGTTACAACAAAAACATGATAGTAGTGCATTCCCTGTCGAGAAAAGTGTAAGTGGTTAGGTTATGGAAGGAGTGATGGCTTAATGGGCAATCTTGGTGACAATATTGCAGCAGTCGAAGGGGAAAACGCACCCCCAGACTCCTCAAGAATGACCACACCACAAACGTGGAGCAACGAAATCTGCTCCTGTGCAGGATCGAGAAGCGGAATGGCTCATGTGTGCGTTTTTGCTAGAATATAGTAAATAGTTTTACAATGGCTATGTGTGGCCTGGTTAAAAATGACGATTTCATGATAAATGTTACAATGGGAGTAAAGTAAAACAGTAATGCAGTGTTTGTAGTCTTTTACATATTAACCACTGCGATAATGATGGATCATGCAACTGCGACTTCCATTTAGTGTCAACACCAGCGATTCTTTATCCATTACTGATTGGTTGGCGCCTGGGATACCCCGTTTCCACGCACAACAGAGCCACACAGTTGAGATTCCCTGTCCGGTTTTTTCCACCGCATAGCCCCCCGAGCTTGTACCTCCTGGTCACACCACGTTAATGTCGTGTGACCTCAGCATTGCACATGTTCCAGTGTAGGACTGATGCAACAGCACGGCAGAAATTATTAACCGCATCTCTCCCCCTCTGCTTGTCCCAGAGCTAGATTCAAATGTGTGACGGCTAGCCGTTTCACGATTTTATTCTGGCTCTGCTCTGCCAACAGCTGAGGACCCATTAACTGAGGGCCCCGCGATGGCGTGGCCCTGATGGGCCAGCGGGGAAAAAAGGGGGTAACGTTGTTGATGGAGTTGCCATCTGTTGTAGCCCCGTTAGAACGTATTCTGGCAACAGGTCAACTTGCAGCAGGTCTACCCAGGCGAGGAAGAAAAATTCTACTTGATTAAACCACATTTCAACATTTCCAACCAAGGTAGCATTAATATATGATTATTTTCTTTCACGGATTATCAGTGTTTTTGTTGAGCATTTTAAACTATAAATAACTGATGGCCCATCAGTTATTTCACATTCACACACTTATTGAATGCAGGTGCTTATATTACGTGACGTGAAAATCTTTGATAAAGTGTTTGGTGTTCCCAATGGGTTTGTATAATTCTACTTTTTAAATAATTTGGTTTCTTGTTTATGAAGTAAAATGTATGAATTATTATTATGGTGAGGTGGCAGGATGGTGATTTGTGCATCGCGCTATAAACCTAGAGACCTGATGAGTTTGATTCCTGGGCACGGATAACATCGATGGTGAGTGTCTGAACTGGTCCTGATCAAATCGCCTAGACAGACACAATGTCACCAGATCTCGGAAGAGAAGCAGTGTTGAGCCTGGATCGTGCTTGGATGGGCAACCACCAGGCACTACGGTTTGTCATAGATGCCTGTGGAGGTATGTCGTGGGCAGCAGAGGCCAGTTGCATCAAAATCTGTTCTTGGAATATACTTCTACGCTACCCTCCTGCCTTGATGAACTCAAACTTACCACCGTGGTGACGTATGGTCAAACAACTCATTACTGCCACAGCATTGGTAGGCCTTCATCTATAAGTGTATTGACAAAGGACTGAATAATATTGCAGCCCGATGTGATTTTTGAATGTGCCGCGTGTTTTTTGGCGAGATGACCAACTTTTCGTTGCGCACGGTGATCACGCTTCTTCATCGACTGAATATTATTGGAAATATGAACGGAACCATTTTCCTCAACTCGAGTAACCTGCCACGTGAGGTGCTTCTGGAGTGTGCCATTTGGTGCACAGCTGACAAACATGGCCATCAGTCCGGCAATACAATTTAGCGGACTGCACAGATCTTTCGACGGTATCCCAGTCCTCATCTCAAGGGTGGATGAAAGTGGTCCATAAATTCAAACACTCCCTTGCTGAAGAAATATACTTCTTCATAACAGTTTGCTTCAGAGTGGTGGCTGGTGTGCTGAAGCAATTTGTATTGTATGGTGCTTTGTGCTCTTTTCAAAATCAATTCCCTTGCAAATTGCCCTTTAATCAGCTTACTGCATTCATGTGTGCATGGCCGTTCTTTGCTGGGCCAAAGCAGGACACGTGGCGCATATATTTCAAGCATTAGATTTCACTGTTTACAGCCATGACCCAATTTATTGTTTAAAAAAGTAATCGGCAGTTGTCTGTCCTTGACCAAGTATATTTAATAATGTGTGGCAAGATTGAGCCTGGATGTGCAAATCGGTCATCTGCTAACTTGCCAAACAGTTTATTTCTCTCAGGAACGCTCAGGATAATTGTTCACACACCCCGCAGACTGAGTGAGGAACCCGGTGACGTGAATTGGCCATACAGGAATTGTTTTTGTCGCTCCAGCGTTAACATGGTTATTTCTTACAAATTGTGCTGCTTGTTGGTAATGTCTGAAATTACCTTTTAAAGTACAGTACTCGCCATATTCTTAATTAATTGTCTTTTTATGACATAAAAGAATATCGATTATCCAGCGGCTTTGGTAGGGATGGGGGCATCGGATTTCCAAAAACGCCAGATAATCACTAATCATTTAAAGTAACTTATTTTGCACATTCTTACATGACATTGTTTTTAGGTGTTATGTTTTTTAGTGTTTAAAATGTGTTTTACTATTTGAAATTGGCATAAAAAAATTCAAATGGGCAAAAATTAATATCCTACTTTCAACAGTTACTGTATTTACTGTACTATACTTAACACTCCAAGACTGCATGGGGTGATTAATATACCTTCAGTATTTTTAATTATAATGTACTATATATAATATTTAACACCGAATCAAGCATAGCTACTTTTTTGTCGCAGTGCCAATCGCCGGACTGGTTTCAGGCTTCGGAGCAGTTTCGCCAGATCGTATCGCGACCACCGGATAATGTTGGAAGCCAGATAATCGATGGCCAACTGTAGATAGGGGGGGGGGGGTACTTTTTGCCAGTAAGCCCTCCTTGAGAAACGGGGAGATTTATGTTTTGAGAACATGTGGCCGGGCCTTGAAAAATGCCCTTTGAGTTGTGCCTTTCGGTATCAATAGGCCCGTCCATGTACCATGTGTATCTTATGCGAGAGGACATCCACCACAGAGGTGGAGTGGTGAAATCTCGTGTGTAGGTCTGATTGATGGATTTTTGTATTGCAGTGACCATGAGACCTACACCGCTGCGTTACACTACATTGCGGAGCAAACGGAAATACAAAACGCGTTCCTTCGGAGTGGGCAGGTAGAAACTTGGTTGGACAGCGCATTCGTGCACGACAGACAAATAATCCCTGGTGGGCAGTGTGGAAGCTGTTGTTCCTACCTGTGTAAGTGTAGTGTGTCGTGTCGTGTATAGTGTAGTGTGTCGGTTAAACGTTGAGTTTTATAAGGGCACCACGGGGTGACCAGCCCCACCCCATCCCCAGCCCCACCCTCCTCACCCAGCCCCTCTCCACCCAGCCCCAACTGAATCACCTTAATGCTGGGAATGTTGAAAGAAACACGAGGCAAAAAGATCCGCTTTTTAAATCCTTTATATTAAGTTCACTTGCTTGCGCGCTTACGACCGTGCAAATCTTTCGGTCGTTTTTTTAACCCACTTCCCGTGATCCAATCGAGCTGACATTTTGCACACAGACTCGTTGTGCGTGACAATTTATTTTCGTGAAAATTTTTTTCCAAAATGTTACACTTTTTACGAAAAAATTTATTATATTTAATTACCAATTGCTTAATGGTGGCAGGCAATCATCTGACCCATAGGTGGCAGCCATCTCAAGCCAGAGGACGAGAGGACTCTAGCCGCCACGCATATAATGGATTTATAGTGAAAAACTTTGTTTTTACGGGTTAATTTTTTTCTTTTCAAGGCTTCCATTTTATGCAGGAGCCATCCTCCCCCAGTTCCATTTTGTAATTGAAACATCGCCCGTCTCCTCACGGCGGTGCCCCCCCCACCGCTCCCATTGGTCGCCCCCCCCCCCCCCCCGAGCAAATGGGAGGGCTTTGGTGGGGCGGGGCCATGCACGACAGACAGACAAATAATCCCTGGTGGTCAGTGTGGAACTGTTGTTCCTACCTGTAAAATAAGAGAAATGTACGCCCTGTTCTTCACCTGAGGACGGCTGCTTGCATTGTGGCCGAAACGTCGTGAGAATTGTATTTTATTATGTTTTATTTTATTATTTCCCTTCTACGTGACTTTACCGGAGGAACCAAGAAGATGTACGTGTTTTGTTTATATTTAGCGGTTGCTTTTATTTATTAAATACCGAATGCATCACATGTTCATGAGAGGTGGTGGTGGGTGGGGGGGGAAAGAGTCCTTCGTCCAGTAATGGCTTGATCATAGCTGACAATAATGACCGTATATAAATACTTTTTCTATGCGATAATTTGCTAGTGTGGTATTCTTTAAATTACTTGAAATTGCTTTTTGGCTTGCAAATTAACTCCAGGGCCGTGGTGATGTTTTGCAATGAACTTTGGCAACGGTGAAAACCTTGCACAATCATTGCCATCCCGCTAGCGTGTGTGTTTTTTTTCTGGCAGACTTTGTAGCCAACGACTTGCCATTGCTGCGCAGGATAAGATTCGCAGGTAGGGTTTGTTAATGACTTGAGAATTCGATGTGCCCTGAGCTTCAGAGTGAGAGGAGTAGCCACAACCTGTACTCTCCCTCACCTCCCACAGTTTCCCCACCCCTAGCCTAGTAGCCCATCTTGATACGCCAAAGTGTAAATCTGTTATTCTTGTACCAAAGTTGGATTTTCATTTGTGGGCACATTACAGTTGTATTAATAGATTTAAGCCTCATTTTATGCTAAAGCATTATCGTACTTAACACTATTTGTATAACACGCATATTTGAGTATCTAATGTTCAGTTTAAATTTTACAGAATGTTACAGTTGGCATAATTGAGTAAACGAGATTCTTGCATCAAAATGGATCATGGAAAGACATGGGATGTAAAAGTGAGCATGAGACGTGTGAGTGTTGGGTGTCTGTGTTTGGTGGTGTCAGGCGCGTCTGACGTGTGCGGTAGTGAGTGGCTGGCGAGGGTCGAGCGGTGAGGGTGGCAATGTGCCATCGTTTTAATATTGGCATTTGTGCGGAGCTTTGGGCAATCATCTGTTAGGTTCTAGACGATTCGTGGTTCTTTCAAGTTATCTTTGTCCTTTGCCGTTTTTATAATGGCAGTAAATTTGTATCGTCATTCGTGGAGGTTTTGGATGGTGTCTGTTCCAAAGGTTCGTGTGGAGTAAAGCCCCCCCCCCCCCCCATTGGCTCTGCCACCTCGGGTGTTTTGCGCAACACTGCAGTACACTGTGCATCGGTTCATTGCTGCTGAGTTAAGACTTTTGAGTGCCTTTTTTTAAAAACAAGCCACTTCGTGAATACCGTGTTGGTCATGGTGAAGTAATAGTTTAGTAACGTTGCATGTTGTGTGTGTGTTTTTAAGAGGAGCACTGTTTTGATTTTAAAAGAGAAATCAATATACAGTAAATATACAGCTGCATGAGCGGGCCTCCACGTGTCGTGGGGGTCCATTAGACCATACTTCACCACACTGGGCTGTGCGGGTTGGTGAAGGCGGCCAGCAAGATGCAAGAAGAATTTTGCTCCACTGTCCACAATGGAGCTCCAGCAGCCCATAGCAACCCGCTTTACTCACGCTGGTCACCTATGGTTGCATGCCAGATGATTTGGTAATGCGTGCTTTTTTTCTCTCATTATATTGGTATTTAAATGTAGAGTGATGCTTGTTTGCAGAAATATTGGTTCATTTTAATATTTGGTGAATATGTATTTAAATAGTGTTAACGTGGGAGTTTTTTCTTATATTACTCGGTGACGTCAAATTAACATTGCCCTTCATTCACTTGCGAGGTTGAGCAAAAGGGGTAAATGGGCGTACAAAAATTAAATATAAATAAATGTAATGAAGAAATGACTACCGCGCCTTATTAAAAGATTTAAACCATGCGTCGTCGCAGCATTGTGAAAGATCGCAGTGGCTTAAGGAGGCCTTCATCCAGCAGTCAAATGGCCATGGCTCACGATGGGGAAAGCCAACCAATTTGGACTTGCGTCGCTTAGCAATGTGGGTTTTTATATTAGGATTTTATGAAACAACACAAACATAGGCCCAGTAACAACGCCTTAGGTGACGGAAGAACCAAACGGGGACAAACTCGGGGGCCCTCTGACCCGACGCGACCACTCTATATGGGGGGGTGGGGCGGAATGTAACGGCGGGGGGGGGGGGTGTAGGGCGGAGGTTCTACATCTATCGATCTATCGCCTCTTTCGCACAACGGGTTTGCATCCGGGAACCAATATGCTTTTACCTGGGGGGGAAGGGGTGGTGAGGGAAGAAGGTGGGGAGTGGGGGTACATTTAACTTACGGAAGGTAGTCTCAGGCCCGCAGGGGAAACAAGAGTCAGGGGTTGGGGGGGGGGTGCTGGGGGCTGCCCTAAAATTGTAAAACCATAAGTGCAGTCGTTGTACGTCCACGTTCCCCCACCACCCACCCGAAAGTCTCCCTCGCCGGGACATGGGTTAATTACCCATCTCATTCGATCCCTGTCTCCCAAGCCACTCTTTCCTGGTTCATTCACTTCAGGTGTTGTGCCGAAGAGGACCACTTGGCATCACACTCATTCTTAGCAATGTGTTTGTAATGCATTCTGTGATCTTCAGCGGTGACAATTGTACCTGGTGTGGAAATGTAATGGCTGAAGGGGGAGCATGCTGAGAATTGCATTTACAGTTTTTGTAACAGGAACACTTTATTGATTTCCCCCCTGTGCTTCCTCCCCCTTTTTGTTTTCCATGTCTCCCCACTCAGGCCGAATCTGCGGATCCTTGGAAAGATGCGAAGAGCATGTATGAGTTCTCGGCGAAGGACATCGACGGGAATGAAGTGTCATTAGAAAAATACAAGTGCGGGCTTTTTAAAAATATTTTACACAATCCGTAAACGGCGTTCACAATAATTCTCAGACAATCCAAAGTTGATGACATTTGAGCGTGCAGTTTGTGTTGCTGTTGGGCATTTTCCACAGGGCTTCATTGATCAGTGGCGTGCCGAACATTTGGAAGAGTCAGAGCAATTATTTTAAAATCCGTTTGCCCTGACACTGCCCATCAGCTTCCATGTATACATGTTGAACTGCTTTCGCACCGTACGTAGCCAACTGCGAATCGGAGGTGCCGCTATTTAAATACTTCCGAAGACGTGCATGTTTGAAAGCGTTACATCGTCTGTTCATAAGCATGATTCTTTTTGTTTTATTTTCTGACACTGGCAGAGGGCCAAGTCTGGTCTTGCTTACAAATGCCATGGCTATTTTAATTGAATAATAGCTGAAGGTCACCTTGAGTTGCTGACTTTCATTATTGATTTTAAACAAACAAATATATGGCCTTTTTTTCAGGAACGCAGTCACCTGACCACTTTATTATAATATTCGTTGCATCTTTCGGTAAAGCCACGTAGATAGATTCAAATAAAATAACGTGACTTCACCAAAAGACCCCAAGAATATGAATTTTTGCAGTCACGAAAGCTTTAAGTTAAAACTTTATTATCAGTCGTAAGACTGCATCTTATCCTGTAAATAACCCACATAGTTTAATTGCAGTCACCCTCGTCATCTTTGAGTTGTGACAAAGTTACAGGCAAACAGCACACAGTGCTCATTTGGTATTTGTCATGAGTACTCTCTCTAGAAACAACAGCAGCACAAACCACAAGAAGGAAGTGCGCGCATATTTCGGTGGTTAACCATGCTGTGTAACTGGGACTGGTGTACGTGGGGAGCGGTTCGCGCGCTGCACTACGAACCTTACCTCCTGAGTTTGATTCCCGCTCATGGCCAACACCAGTGACGATTATCTGAACCATCTTGGGCCTCCCCTAGGTCGACTCCGCCTCAGAGGTACCTGATGCGGTAAGCATCACTGGGAAGAGGCAGGCAGCCGGGCTTGGTGCTGGCCTTCATAGGTGCTCGCTAACAGCACTTGACCCAACAGTATGTTAAGGCTATACGGAAGATCTTTGTTTTTGTGGGTGTGTGTGGCACAAGCGTTGTGGTGACATCACCGCTACTTCGTGGCGAATGGCGGTTGTGTTGGTTTTGTGGCTTGTGTGTGCGTGCTTCCTCTGCTGGGTGAAGAATTGGTTTGTGCTCTGCTCTGTAAATCCAGCACCATGATTAAAACTCCCGGCCCACAGCTAACATCAGCGGCAAAATAATCTTAACCGTTCCTCAGCCTTGTCGCATTTAACTCGGGCTTAAACAAAGTGGCCCGATGCAGTGTGGACCAGACCTGAGACCATTACAATTGTAATTTGTATAATCACATTGTCATTGTAATTTGAGTTGACAATACTGCCGTGATTGTTATTCTAATAGACTCCAGGTCTGGAATAGGTTTGTACACTGAGACAAAGGTGGCTGGGCACAGTCCCGGCCACAACCTGCTGCGCGATGCTGGCCTTCATAGGTGCTCTAACAGTCTATTAAGGCTTTAAGGGAAACTCCTTTTGTTCGGGTACTGGTGTACTATCTCGGCGACCTGGATTCCATTCCCAGCGATGCATGACTTCAGTGGCCGGTGGTGTCTGGACCTGTTTTGGAGTCTTAAATGCGTGCAAAGGAGAGACAAGGGTGGCCAGCTGTGGCGTTGGCCACGCAGTCTGCTCTCATGTGCTGTGTTGGCCTTGATAGTTGCTCACTAACAGCAGTTGCCCCCAACACTTTGTATGCGTATGTACAAATTATTTTCCACGTTGCCAGTGGGGCACAAGTAACAAAAAACACGACACACTTGTCAACAACGGCCTTAAAATATATATAATCGACCACGTTTTCGGCAATAGCCCTTAATGTGTCATGAACTACCATTCCCTGAAAGCTTGCCGATTATGTAATTGCTTTTTATTTTTTAAGGCAGTTGTTGAAGTTTTTAATTTCCTGTACAAAGCCATTTTATAATCCGCTTAGAGTTAAGGCTTCCGTGTCGTTTGTCGGGGTTGTTTGACTGGGTGGGTTGGTTGAAGGCAGGTGGGAATATAAAAGTACATTCCACAATCAGATTTTGCTGTAGCTGCCCACAACATAGCTACCCATCAAAGCGCTGTCGATGTTTATTCCTGTTTGGCCTCTGAGATATGTTGCTTGGTCATGATTTCAAGTGATTTGCTAATTTGGAAATTATTTATGGACCGCCCTAAATTTCGCAGCGACCAGTCCGGTTTATGTCCTAGTCTTGTTTGATTACCCTTAGAATTAAAGAAAAATATCTTAACGTTCCAAATTTATTTTTTGATTTCCCATCGCCTCCCCATGTTGTAACGGTTAGCGCGTTAGACTTGCAATCCAGAGTTTACCGGTTTAATACGATGCCTGGCCATGGCAGTTTAAACAATGGTACTAGCTTCTTAAAACCTTCGTGCCTCTGACCACCCCAGCAGTGCCAATGGGTACACCATGTCAGTGGATTTGGCAGGTTTGTGTGTGGCGGAGTAAAGTGTGGGTGTACACCTCACTAATACATTTGACAAGCGTGGAAGAGCAGACCAAATTACCCTCTCAACCTAATAAAATTTTAAGTGAAAAAGGCCTTTCCTCTAGCAGTGGTGAGAACAAGTAAATTGCAGGACCTACTCCTTTACCTACTTTTACCCCCCCCCCCCCCCCCCCACTTACAGAGACCACGTTTGCATCGTGGTGAACGTGGCGTCGAAGTGAGGGAAGACTGCCGTGAACTACACTCAGCTCGCTGCTCTGCACAAGCAGTACGCTGAGAGCCACGGCCTCCGCATCCTCGCCTTCCCCTGCAACCAGTTTGGCAAGCAGGTAGGGGTATGCCATTATACAGGAGTTCTATCCTGACCTGAATGCCTGTATATTTGCATGGGTCCTCCGGTTTTCCCTCCATATTTGGAACCAACACGTGTTTAGAGTTTGGCTGCTATACATTTCCACATGATAAGCCACTTCATTGAGCTATCATTTGTGGACTGCTCCCTTTTTGAAAAAGAGCTTTTTCTAGTTCAGTGAGCCTTACCTGGTAAAATAAAAATTTAAAGCATAGTAATTCTCTAGCTCCATTGCGAGCCCAAGCCGTGGCCTCCGCTCGGCTTTATGTATCATTGCAAGAGAATCTCGCAGTACTGGAAGGAGGGGGATAACTGCATATAAATGTATGTTCTTGAGTGTATGGTTGCTCAACTGACACTTAACGGGATTTTTTTATGCATGCATGTTTAACTTATTTCGCACCCTACGTAGCCAACCATGCCAATCAGTTGGCTATGGGAAGACTTGCTCATTTTCCAGAATGTCAGCTACTTTTAAAATGGGGATACAATCCCGGGAAAACACGACTGATGGAAGCCACCCTTGTGTTGTCACAAGTCAACACACTCCATTGGGTGGAACTACCAAGCAGTGAGCAGGTGGCTGTATGACGGCTGGTGGCTCATGGGGCTGTTAAAGCTGCAGACACTGATCCGCACGCGCTGACGTCCTGATTTCTAGGTCATGAACAGGAGAAGGCAGTGCCAGAATTTCCCAATTTTGTACTGTACAATGCTCCCAACATCCATGTTAAGCTGCAATGACCAACATGGTGAAGTATGGTCAAACAATTCCCACCAACGTGCATGGTGTGGGGGAGGCCCTCCTCCAGCAGTGGATTGATAACGGGCTGTACGTGTACACATGGCACTTATGAGCCAATGTTTTCTCGGTTAAGCAGGCAAACTCTGGGCTGGAGTCGTATATTTTTTTATCTCATCAGCAGTGTGGCCTGTTATGCACACGTTTGTTTTTCTAGACCAGGGGTTGGCAACCTGTGGCTCGAATTCACCACCGCAGTACATTGCGACTCTTGAAATATTGAGTTTTTTACCGAATAAAAAAAAAAGCTTTTCTTGTTATTTTAGTTGCCAACCCCTGTTCTCGATGTTGGAGGCCAGAGCACTCCTCTTGCACAGGTGGGGTGGGGGCTTGTTTCAGGTCTTTCTGTGTACGTGACGGACACCAGGAACCGGGCACGGACGCGGAGATAAAGGAGTTTGTGAAGAAGTACAATGTGGAGTTCGACATGTTCTCCAAAATCGACGTCAACTCTGACAGTGCGCACCCACTGTGGAAGTGGCTGAAGAGCCAGCCCAACGGCAGGGGCACCCTGTACAAGTGCGTCTCGCTTGCTGCTCTTTCACTTGCTTTGTCTGCAGCGTTGCCAACTGATTTTTTTTAAAGCCAAAATATTGATGAGCATACCGTGAAAAGTCACTCGCTCGGTGGATCTTCTAAAAATGCCACCAGACAAATTACATGGGCGGTGTCGCGGGTTCAGGGGTGGTGCATTTCGCCACTCGTTAGAGGTTCAGAGTTAAAATCGAGTAACCACCCTGGTTGCCACAGTGGCGAGATGTTAACTACCTCGCCTGGTATACAGGAGGTCGTGGGTTCGATCCCGACCCTGACGTCTGCTGTATATTTGGAGTTTGCATGCTCTTGACGTGGTCGTGTGGATTTTTATCCAGGTCCTCCAATTTTTCCCTCCACATTTTAGAATCGACGTGTGTTTAGAGAATTTGGCTGCTATTAATTTACACGTGATAAGCCACTTTGTTGAGCGATTTATTTGTGGCCAAATCGCTTCTGAAACAGAGCTATATAGCTGAGTCGTCCTTACCTGGTAAAATAAAAAGTTTGTTTTTAATACTCCGGGTGTAATTTTATGCGTGCTTCGCGTGAGACCTGAAAGAATCGCCTGATGTAATTCGCAAAAATAGGCCATTTGTGTGTGGGAAACAGGGGTACAAATTTGAAAATTGTCCCATTTACTCATTGGGGATTATGCATAGTAATCACCGCCTCTGCTGGCAGACTAATTCCCCAGGTCACTCTTGCAAATTAGACTATCCTGGTCTCTCCTGGGTTCTCACCTGGTTAAACAAATAGACTTGAAACATGACTTTAAATGTTGTCAGCTGATACGGGATCCTTGGTACATACCTGCAATCATATCCACAATATGCTTTACTGAGTATTGAACAATAATTTGATGCAGGATCCTGAACACATACTTGGTATTGCTTCTAAAATCCGTATAATGTCCTCAAAGTCTTTATTTACTCAGCCCATCTGCCTGTGAAATGATGTAGCTGCCAAATGTATTGCTCCTACAGATGAGAAACCACCTGCAATGCGCCTAAACCGGCTATAAAACACGGGAGTGATTTTCTGTTAACGCACAGTTTGCGCTTGTGTAAAAAACATTGTTTTGTTTGCGATTCATAATTTTAAATGAATTGCAATTCTATGAAAGTTAAAGTACAGCGATACTGACAGTAGGTGGCGCTGTGTGTACTATGTTTCTATACGATTTTTAAATGTTTACATTAACTTAACAGTTGCTAATTAACATCATTGGTGGTCTTTATGCAGTGGGGGAGAAATGTTGCTAACATTATAGCCATAATGATTTTATTAGGGTCCATTGTAATGTTATTTCTGTAAACATTGAAGTTTACATTTGATTTTCATTCCTTCTCAGTGCAATCAAGTGGAACTTTACCAAGGTATGTTGTCGGTCATACTTGTTGACGTATATTTCTAATAAAGCGTGACACATTGCTTATATTCATGGAAGGTATTGGTGTAAGGGTATGCGAGGTTGGAAACGACCCTTTCTGCGGCTGGGCATTTATAAACCCTGTATTTGTGCGAGTCGTAAACTCTGCTCGTCAAAATGTTTTGACCACCCTCGTTTATCAACTGAAGGTTGTTGGGGCTTATATTTTACATCCCGTGTGTTCGGTGGCCTTCCCCCCCCCCCCCCCCCCATCTCCATTCGTCCTCAAAAAATAAATGTCAATTCCTGGTGAAAGATTTATCATCAATTTCACATTTGGCATGTATGTACGTACGTTTAACTTCTTTCACACCGTACGTCGCCTAACGTGCGAATCGAAGGGCTTGCATCCTTTCTCGGGTCCAGTCTGTACGCTCATGTGATTTAATGATGTCGAACGACGCCTTGCAAAAATTCAAGATTGGTCAGTTCACAAACACACCTTTTATAAACGGTGTCCATGATGATAAACTGCTAAATTCTGTATCCTGTGCGTGTTTTCCAGTTTCTCATCGATAAGCATGGACAGGTGGTCAAGCGATACGGCCCAGTGGATGATCCCGTGGTAAGCATCTCTCCTTACTTTAGTGCGAATAATACTTGTTATGCTTCTTGATAGTTTTTTTTTTATATACAAAGTAAAGAGATCTAATTTTGCTTATATTTTGCACTGCTATTCAAATGTTATTAAAAAGAGCTACAAATGTTAACTTATTGCTTACTTTAGTGGTTCGTAGGGTTGTTTCCGTAAATAGAGTTGTAATGTTTCTGTCACGTGTCGACAATATCGGTTAAAAAAAACATTGCCTAGCACAGGGTGGCCAACCTGTGGCAGACCAAAAGCCAAAAAGTAGCCATGAGTTATGCACAGAGCCAAGTATATATATTGACAGTTTTCGCACAGCATAGGAGACATTAATTATTCTTTTGATACCGTGATAGTACGTTCTATGTTATGCCCCGTTTGATTGAGCCACGTGTGGTGGCTTGAGCCACATGCGACTCTTGAGATACCAGTTGGCCCACCGTTAGGTCTCGGGTGACTCCCAGGGCTCATGAACAACATATCCAGGTTTTTCCACGAGGTGGCAGATGTTGCACGAGATGAAACATGGCAACGCCCCTGCCACAATTGCTCATTTAGATGATTAGTGAGATGTTAATTACTGAGGCTAGCAAGGCCCTCCCTGCTTGCACGTAACAAAGAAGGCAACAGAACCCACTTGCAAAGGAAGCCACCAGTATTGAGTTGAGGTGTGCCTGTGCTGAATGTGTAAAATGGTTCATTATTTTAATGCATGTTCCTACACAAACTTCTTGTATTGCAGGGGATTGAGAAGGACTTCCTGCCCATTTTTTAGGCTTTTCTTTTAGGCCTTGCCAGATTCTCCCCTCCGACATTCCTACCCAAGCCCGGCAGAACCTTCTTCGTCTTGACTTTTGGCTGCTCATTCGCCAGCCTCGCCCACGTGCTTGGAGCCAATGAAGGGTGGCCCCACAAACCAGGAATCCTGGGAGGGCTGCCCTGAAAGAGAGCGGCGTGCAGTCCGCTCTATCCAGCAGGGGTGACGGCAGAGCGTGCGTGGTCATTGTCATGCGAAGGCCGGCAAAAAACCGGCTCTGTTGCTTTCTTTACAAAAAAAATGTGTTTCTGCTTTAGAAATGCTTGTCTGTGCTCATGGTAGGATTGAACTTTTGTGCTCTCTTTGAAACTCGATGGTTAATTGGCTTGTAATTTGCAGGCAATAAGGAAACGCTTTGTAAAAGAGGTAACTATTGGATTTCAACAAGCTTTGGGCTTCCGTTATTAGCGGCTGCCATGTGTAGTTTAGCGTTATCTTGCACAGATGTCGCGACACAATTAAGTTTCCTTAACGATGTTAGATACCAGGGCACCATTAGATTACAAGTGAATTCATATTGCCAAATCATTTCAACTTGAATAGAGTAAATTATTGGTTGTACAGTTGCTTTTTTTACTTTAAAATGGCTACTTAAATGTGCATGTTATTTATAAAACTGAATGAAAAATTCATGTTTATGCATGTTTGTTCAATTGGACAAAACATGATGTTGATGCTAAATCATAACTTGCACATGGTGTTTCTATCTATCCCAAAGTTGCGTGATTTTTCAAGACCGCAGTTGTATCAGTCATTAAGACAGATATTGTATGCGTTTTAATAGTTTGCCTATTCCACCACACAACATTGGCAGGGATTGTCACGTGCTTTTGGATCCCACAATGCCCTGTGGTCCTTGTACCATTTTGTTTGTAAATTTCACTGTGCCGTAAGAAATCACAAGTCTTAAACAATTGTTTGCTAGAACCAATAAAAATCAAAGTGTGGCCATTTCTGTTGCAATGTCATTTGTGTTTCCTCTGACCATTATTACCAGGAACACATCCTATCTTGTTCGAGCTTGGACATTGATTGTCTTAATGGGTGTCCATCTATAAACATCTAGCTTGCAAGAGCAACATCGTGGGAAACGGGCCAGTGCAGTAAAATCCATTTTTGTATTATACTCATGTGTTCTGCCTTGGAAAACCTGCAATAAACAGTGTGGAGTGTCATATACTATATATCGTACTGCATTAGAAAAAAGTTTGGCTGGCTGGCAACCGGTACCTGCTTTCCACAGCGTTGAGCGCAAATGCATCAGCAGTGTTTGTAATAAATTTAAATCTCCAATCAAACCAAATCATTCGGAAGGCACTTAATATTGTCACATCTAATGACGCTAAGTAAGGGTGAGTGGCTAGAGCAACTACTGTGTGAAAACCTTGGTGCAGACTCCAACGGGGCATCCAGTGTATTGTAGTTTGCTACCTGCCTTCATACCACACTTGGCATGTTCAACTACTGTATGGCCAAGTGTATCCCCCACACTGGGGAGGCCCACTCGTGGTAGAAACTCAATATTACTGTGGTAGGCGGCGAGTCTCCGTCGTGCAACCCCTCTTGGCAAGCAAATTGTTCGGTGCGAATACTTTCCACTGGCGGCCCCGAAGCCGTGATTGCAATTTCACGTAGCTATGGGGGGAAAACTTTGCCGACTTCAAACAAAGTGGTGCACATGTTATTGACCCAGGAGGGATTATGGGATTTTAACTCTAACCTTCCAATTGCGAGCCCCCATGTCTACCAGAGCTGGATAACTGCACATCATGGCTGCTCGTAACTAATTTACTGCCGAGTCCTAAGTGATCCCCAAATTGGATAGAGTACACTTATCCTGATGGTCAAAACATCCATAATGAGCCCACATCTACGCAATAGCCTTCATCCACCTGCATTGGCCAGCGTGGTTAAGTCTGGTAAAATGATACCCACGACCTCCAATGGTGTAGGATGGTGTCATCCAGCCGTTGATTGACGAAGGGACTACGTGTACGTTCTTTTCGCATGTGAAATGCATATACTTAAATGACGCATTATTTTGTACGGACGTATGTGGAACGTTTGCACCGCACGTAGCCAAACCGTGCTTATTCAATAAACGGCTCTAGAATGGGGAAAAAAGTGACTTAGAAACCCAACAATTGAGACTTTCAGGAGGGCTCTGCATTGGGACGTTTAGGAGAAATCCACGCGTATAAGGGGTTAGCACATGGCACACAAACCAAGTAAATCCATGTGGACGGAGAACCATTGTTGTACTGCCATCTCCTGGCCACTGCTTATCTTGCAACGTCATGCCCGGATCGGCTGGTATGCACTGGAAGTGGCCGCGTCCCATGTTAAAGGCTCGGCCACCCTTCGAAACTATTATATTCAAGTCCACCGATGTTGGTGCAGTATTTAACACCAGTGACAATTAAGTGATGGGCATTGCAGCCTTTATCCATACACAAAAGAGGGATCACTCCAGCTGAATGCATGATATACAAAAGCAGGTGGGATTGTTAATCATTATTTACATATTTTAACTTTTGTTGAGGGTTTGTTTAACACGTAGTCTTTCGCGACCAATATCCATAATAGAGTTTTTTTGGGTTAGATCGCGTAAATATAAACGTGTCGTTTAACCCGCCACCACCCGACACAGCCAATTAGTAAGGTTTGTCACGTGAACAAAAGATGTCACTTCGTTACCAGTTCACTCGTGTGTTAGTAAACCCACCCCTAGTACTCGAATTGTAAATATTGTCGGTTTACTGAACTAGTTGCAAATTGGCATCTTTTGTTTACACGACGTACTAATTGGCAGAGGTGGGACAAAGTGATTGTTATGCAAGTCCAAGTCGAGTCTGAAGTCATCAAATTCATGACTCGAGTCTGACTCGAGTCCAAGTCACATGACTCGAGTCCACACCTCTGCTAATTGGCTGTGGCGGGTTTAGCAACATTTAGATTTACGCGATCTAACCCAAAAAGATATCTGTTGAAGGTTTGTTTACACTTGACTATTGTGTATCCCACTCCCCCTGAGTTTTATATAGGCCACTCTTTTCAACAAGGTCACAACTACGGGGCAGACGAGTGTCAGTCCTCCATCTCGGCACATTCCGGGTGATTTGGGTCAGAGGCAAACCACGTGTCTGCTGGCAATCCGCTGATCACGCTGCATTCGCGTGTTTGAGTTAATCCCACCTTTGCCACACTGTGTGCTCCCGTATTGATGAGATAACAAGCCCGAAGGCACATTCCTTTTGAATAAAAAAAACGTCAAGAATGTAGACAACATCACTGGACGGACACGATATAAACCCACTTCATCTGTAGCCCATTTCATTGCGCCACAACACGATACCAGATTTTTTTTTTTGGGAAAGAAACGTAGAAAGGAACACGAAGGAAAACAATTGATGTGGGACAATTTTAGAAGCTTCACGAAACTCCTCGAGACGCACTGAACATCGCAAACGATGGAAAGCATCTGTCATGGACATCAAACTTCAGTTATGAGGATGACACAAGGTAGATAGATCAACAGACAAAAGCCTGCATGTTTTGAGAAAAAGTGAATGAATTAAAATAACAGAGAGAGGATGACGTCTACAACTATCTGCGATAATAGGGGTTTCCCCCTTTTTTCTAGCAATAAAACTTAAACCTTTTTTACAAGGACTAATGTCTGCATTAACCACAATACTTGCAGTCAAAATGCAAACAAAAACACTTTGATTTTGATTTAAAGCTTTCGTGACTCTGTCGCCTCGACGGACCTGGTTTTCACCTGAGGACGGCTGCTTGCGTTGTGGCCGAAACGTCGTGAGAATAATTTTATTATGTTTTATTTTTATTATTTTATTACTTCCCTTCTACGTGACTTTACCGAAAGAACCAAGAAGAAAAACACTTTGATAATATATGCATTGTCCTTGAAACTGATTGGTCCACACCAAGGGACGGCTTTATTTTGAGCCTCGGCCCAATTGGTGCTCGACCAGAAGACGCCAAAAGGCGTACAGCTCAAAGACAATGCACTATCAAAGTAATGAGGGCTCGGGGTGAGCATCTATAACATCAAAAGGGGAAAAACCCTATTATTATATTTTGGTACTGGCAAAGGAGGTCTAATGAACTATCTGCGAGAGAATATGTCTTATCTGTCTCACACTCAAAATTAATCTACACAGAAACATTTCTCCTTTGAGCTTATTTTACTGCATACACATGTTAGATTTATTCACTTAATCGGGGGGAATGCAAGTAAACCCTGAAATAAATACCTACCAAAACGAATGTCTTTCATGTCAAGTCAATACTAATTGATGGACTTTGTAGTGGTGTAAATACACCACATTTATCGTTCAGTTCGAAAGCATTCTCACAGAGATACAGGATGTGGCATATAGGTGACTTGCCCCAAAGAGGGAAGGACATGTCATCACAGGCAAGTAATGTGTGCCTCAACATTTCGCATTTGACATTTAGGGCCGCGATTATGAACTCATGGGGAAGTGCGTAAAAGCTTTTCAGGGGCAAGGCAGAGGCTGCGGGCATTTTGCGTCGACACAACACAGGAATACACAACGTAAAACTAATGCCTTACTGACACCACCAGGTTGACCAAATATGTGGACGTGTTGGTTGCTGTGGGAGTGCAACGATAACCAGTGGTAAAGCTCCAATCTCAGTCCCTCCTGTTCATGGCGTCGAGCATCAGTGTTAATTTTCTAGACCCAATCAAACAAGTATTTTATATATTGAAACATTAAATCAACTTGAATATCAAGGTGTTGTTTGTGAACATCTTCACCGCCACCAATAACTCAATCAACAGTCAATTAACCTTACCGAGTCCCCTGTCAGTCCATTAACATTCAAGTAATATGAATGTAACATATTCTTGGTTCTTTCGGTAAAGTCACGTATAAGGGAAATAATAAAATAATATTAATTTTTCCCTTCTACGTGACTTTACCGAAAGAACCAATAATATGAATCCCTGCAGTCACGAAAGTTTTAAATAAAAATAATGAATGTAATAGTTACATTTAATTATCAGTTTAACACGTAGGCTTTCGCGACCAATATCATCCATAAGAGGTTTTTTGGGTTAGATCGCGTAAATATATAAATGTGTCGTTAAAACCCGCCACCACCCGACACAGTCAACTCGTAAGGGTTGTCATGTAAACAGAACGTGGCCAATTCGTCATTAGTAAAGCACTAGTGTGTAGTGTAGTGTATAGTAGTGTAGTGTATAGTAGTGTAGTGTATATTGTAGTGTATAGTGTAGTATACTAGTACAGCACGCCGGTGTGTTGGAGAGCCAAGCCACAACATTTACAGTCCGAGTACGACGTTTCGCCAGTAATTACAACTAGCTTCATCAGGCGACAATTAATCGATTTCAAATCGAAATTTGAAACAATGCGATTAGCAAATAGCAAGGGCTGCGATTTTTTACGATTTGAAAAGTCATATTACCGTACTTTCTTATTGGAATAGTTTTATTTTGTAAGATTATAACTGTATTTATTTAACTTAACAATTGTTCGATGTTTTATTGTTCTATTTCAATTAAAACATTTTAACAAATACATGTTGGAAGCAATTCATATCTTTTAAGATTCTCATCCTTGCATTAGAATATATAGAGCAGTTCATATTTTGATGGTATAATGTGTTAATGCTCCATCACACGTTTTAAATCTACTACACAGTGAATATTGAACTGAAGCTTGACTTTAATTTTTTTAATCGCAAATCAAATCGCAATATCTGTCAGAAAAATCGAAAATTAGCTATTTTTCCCAAATCGTTCAGCCCTAGTTCCAATTCACTTGGAATTTAAAACGCCGCAGCAATCACAGGAACACGTGGCCGGCAAGAGGCGGCACAACTGCACGTGCGAGATCCATCACGGACAAAGAGCGTCGGGATTGCGCCTCCTGCCGACGACTTGGCAGTGGTGAGTTGCCGTCTTCACGTCGATTGTGGTCACGGAAGTGTTGAAACATACGGGAGAGAGAGGGGGAGGGAGGAGGCGACATTGTGTGTGCGGGTTTTTGTTCTACTCCGGGCAGGCGGGCAGGGTTTGTGATCGCCACGAGGGTTGGTGCCCTCTTGGGTTCGAGGAATTGTCTGCGTCCTGAAGGACAACCTGTGGGCCAAGGCTTTCGTTGTTGTTGTTGGTGGTGGTGGTTGTTGATGGTGGTGGTGGTTGCGTTGGGGCTATTCTCGTCTACTTACCAGCGGAGCGATCCCCACAGAGGAAGACCACGAAACTGAAGTTTGAATTCTCCAATTAAGTTCCGTGCAAAGGTAAAAAACAACTTTGTTACAGCACTGACAACAGCCCTCGGTAATCAACACGGAAACTTGCCTCGTACAAGAGGCGACGTTTCGGCCACTGGCCCTTGGACGTGGTGTGTTTATTATGTCTCGTGTCTCGTTCTGTGTTTGTTGTTGTTGTTGTGTTGGTGATGTGTATATGGAGCTCTGATCGCCCTTCCGTGGTTCATTGTGTGGCGGTGTTTGGAACTTTAAAGGAAAGAAAGTGGATTAGTTTGCGAATCGTTTCGCACGATTTGTCTGCGATTTTGTGAAACTCCTTTAACCTTTAACACTGTAACGTGAAACCTTCGTCTATGGTAAGAGGCTAAGAGCCACGCTTCAATGATTCTGATACATCACGGGGATTGTGTTGTATTATTGTGACCTTGCTACCCCCGTGTGTGTGTTTAGTTTGTTATCGCGGCCCCATCCTTGGGCTACTTTGTTGCTAATGTTCCCCATTCAACACACACTTGGAAGATGTGTGTACGAATACAACACTGAAACTTAGCCAACCTCGTCGTTGTGCGAGAAATATGAAAGTTGACGACTTACCTCTTACTACACTTTATGAAGCTTACCAAGTGTGTTGTAGTCAGTTAAGACTTCAACCACCGTCTCCTAACATTACATTGTGTAACAGCGAGTAATTATTTACAAGCGACTTGTGTTTAAGAGCTAAAGTGGAGGGGGATGCCTTCATCCAGCAGTGGATAAATGTTAAACATTGGGAGCGGTGGCGCTGTGGTTAGCGCACTGCGTTATTTATTGATTACTCCCCACTTGACCAGCGTGATGAAGTATGGTCAAACATGACCCACTCATCCAGCAGTGCATTGACAAAGCGCTGTAAATTACTTTAAACAATATAACCATGTGTTCTTTAAAATATGAAGTTAATTGCACATCTATATTTAGCATTGTATTCCTTTTTTAAACGCCCTTGTAAGTACCGTTTCGGAAGAGTTCAATTGTGAATACATCAACACCTGTTCTGACACTGACCAGCGTGGTGAAGTATGGTCAAATAACCTCCCATTTACCAAGGGCTGCTTTATGGACGACTTTTGTTGTGGTGAATCACGATACTGGGAGATCATCGGTACATCATCAATGTGATGACTTGTGCACGTGGACTTTGTCCATGAGACGTGGATAAACGGGGCCTCCTCATACGATGCCTTAATAAAACTGCGAACACAATGGGTTATTTGGTGGTGATACTCTGGTTTGCAAACCTCAAACAAGCAATTTAACAACTCTTTTTAAGCGAAAAGTATATATAGTAGTAGTAGAGGGTTTGGGCAATGACCCTCTTTCATTGCACTTTGTGTGCTCATGAAGAAGGCCCTTTTGGGTTGCCTAATGTTTGCATATTTTTTCCTAAAGGCAGTTGTTTGACGAATGTGATTAGTCTTTGGTTCTTTCGGAAAACTCACGTAGAAAGAAATTAAATAATAATAGAATAAGACGTTTCGATTGAAACACAGGCAACCAACATCAGGTACAAATGAATGCGAAAACAAACCTAGTAAACTTGGAAATGTAATGCAATACAACACAGAGAGTCGGTTAACATAACAGTCAACACCCTACCTGGTTGATTACGTTCTTCCAAAGATTTCTAAATTTGAGAGATACAAAACAGCGACACAGACAGACACACGTAGGCCTATGTGTGTGTCTCTCTCTGTGTCATCTCTCTCTACTTATGTGTCTGTCTGTGTGTCTCCGTGTCTATATTTTGTCTCTCTCTCAAATGTATCAATCTTTGGAATAATGTAATCAACCAGGTGGTGTTGACTTGTTGTGTTGGCCGACTCTGTGTTTGTATTGCATTATATTTCCAAGTTTACTATATTTTCTCTTTCATTCGTACCTGATGATGGTTGCTTGTGTTGCAATCGAAACGTCGTATTCTGTTATTTAATTTCTTTCTTCGTGACTTCACCCAAAGAACCAAATAATAATTCCTGCAGTCACGAAAGCTTCTAATCTAGTTTGAATGGTGAGTTAGATCGTATTAACACACAGGACCAACTCCTAAAGTCCATTCCAGTCGAACCTTTGCGTGACAATGGGGCTTTTGTTCTAAGCTGTTTATAGGAGACCTCCATTGTGTTACAAACCCATTCAAAATAAACTCCTTGAAGGCTCCGATGATGATGATCTTGTAAGAAGAGTTTACAGTTAGTTGATTGTCCAATCTATTTAATGGGTGAAGGCCACCCCCCTCCCCAAAGCGCCACGTGTTTCGTGGTCCAGATGTGTAACGAGTCCACCTTGGGTCGTGGACGAGTGAAACGATGTAGAGGTTGGTTGCAAGGTGAGCGATTCGCCGCTTCTGTGGCCGTCTGGAACGCTCTTCCTTCCGATATTTGGAAGCCACTGGGGTTATGCACTCCTAAATCATATAGATTGAAAAACGCTTTTAGAACTGCGTTTTAGTTTGTCCTTCTCCTGCACCTCCCGATTAGCACGGTTGGCTACGTATGGTGCGAAAGAAGTTCAGCATGCACGTGTAACACCGTGGACTGCATCATGCTGGTTGACACCTCGGCCGTCACATTGATGTGACCCAACCACAGCGGTACATTGTGCCATCATACAGTGTTCTCCCACATGGTCAGAAAACGGTGCCCAAGCTCCAGTCCAAGATAACCTTTTGTTTACAAAAATGTTACAACAACGTTCTGCTTCTCTACATGGTACACAAACCGTATTAAATGGGAAAGTCCCCAAGTCTCGCCGAACTTTCATGATGGTAGCTTTTGTGATTATGATAGGCCAATGTATTCGTTTAACGTCTGCCAAGCTGCAGGCACGTGATACGAAGTCCTGTGCTTGGCGTGGTAAACATACTCTATGGAAAGGCAATTTTTGGACTAGCCATTTAAGTATAAGGTATCTCAAAATAAACATTACAGTCCAGTGATGATAATGTATCGGAAAAATGGTGCCTATTTTTCGTGTAATAAACTTGTAACAAACCCAACAGGATGGAATTCTAATAGATTTTTCGTTTTTATATAAGGAAATATGGCTTTTGGCCCTTCAACCCACTTTGACGAGCTTGGCGAAACTATGGTCACTCCTGACATTCTTCCAGGAGTGACAGAGGACTTGTATCTAAACAAAAATGTCCCATGGCCTAGAAGTCCACGAGCAAAATGGAAGCTCAATTTGAGCTGATGTCCTTAAATTAATTTTAAAAAATTCTAGGTACGGTATGGGGCAATCTTTCCCAAAACTACAGTTTAGGGCCACTTGGTAAGCTGTGTGGTAAATTTCGTAGGCCTTTTGGTTTGTTTTGTAATCTGGTATTGTGAATGCAGGGTTGTAAACAAACATCAGAACAGATGGTCAAAATAACAATGAAGAATCCAAGCTTATTGCTTAAAAAATGTAGGGTAACAAAATCGGACAACATCACACTTTAATCAGGTGAATTATTCTAAGTTCTTGGGTGTAAATTTTGATTTAAAGCTTTCGTGACTGCAGGTATTCATATTCTTGGTTCTTTCGGTAAAGTCACGTAGAAGGGAAATAATAAAATAATATTAATTTAAACAATAACAATTCTCACTAATTGTTTATTCGTGTTGTGAGAATTGTTATTGTTTTATATTAATATTATTGTATTACTTCTTGGGTGTAATATCGTTTTATCTTACTGTATACAGTATTATTTTATTTTGTCAAAAACGGGATTGTAAACAACCCTAAATCTGCATTCAAATTAAAAGCTATGGCACACCCTGCTGTTTGAAACAATGGCTTTGGTTTGGTAATTTCAGCCGCCTCATGGATCCGTGCAGCTGCGTGTAGTATTTCGCGGATTTGCTGTTTTCCAGTGTTTGTTTTCCTCAGCACTCTATATTCCAGGAGCTTCGTTAGGAACTGAATTCAATTGTAAATAAAAAAAACTCATAAAGATAAATCCATCTCCCGAAGAAGCACCTATCCAGCACGTGGAGTGACCTTCAATTAGCACAGTTGGATACATACAGTGCTAAATATATTCTACATGCACATGATGCCTAACAACATGAGATACAACCTGACAACGCATCGAGACAGGCTCTGCAATGGTGTTGTTTTTCACGTGGTCGCTGTTTTCCCCCCTTGCCCTCTCCTTTTTAATGACCCCTAACCCTTGCTCCTGACCCCAAGCCCTTGCCAGATTCCTGCATAATGGGTGGCCTACGCATAGCAGACATGTTCACCCTCGTGACTTTGCTGACGCTGGTGGCATGTGGAGGCGTCTTCTCATACCCAGGAGGCCTAAAGCCAGGTAAGTCCCTCACCATTTAATTTGTTTAATTGTGTTTTTTTTACTGGGTGAGAAATGAATAGTACGTTTTTTTTTGTAAGTGATATCTGGCTCGCCAACTTGACAATCAGTTAAACACGTCGGCTTTCGCGTCCAATATCATCCATCTCCATAATCAGTTTTTTTGGGTTAGATCGCATGAATATATAAATGTGTCGTGAAACTTGCCACCACCCGACACAGACTAGTACTATTATTAATGTTTGTCACGTAAACAGAACATGCCAATTCGGTACTAGTACAGCACACTGGTGTGTGGGAGAGAAAAGCCACAACATAAGGACACATTTAAGCGATCTAACCCAAAAAAACCTGTCATGGTTGGCAATAATAATTTAAGTCAAAATACGACATTAAAAACATAATCTGAGCAGACAACCACTGCACAGGAGAAATACTGTGCACATGTATCAATATTAAATACATGTAAAAAAAACAACACATTCTTGTAACATAAGTTGGCTCTCTAAAATTAAAAATTAAATTGTAAGAAAATTAAGGTCGAGAAAACAATACCCAGAATTAAGGTACTCGTGTTTCAACCACGATTGTGTGACCATACTTCACCATGCTGGTCAGTGCAGGTTGGTGAAGGTGGAGTGTCTTGGATTGGGAGCATAGTCCAGGACTGTTTAGGCTGCACTTCATCTCTAAACCTATAAACCATTTTTTTTATTTTGCCAGGTAACTCCCACTGCTGACAATGTAGTCTTCTAGCAGTCTACACCGATTGTATACATGCCAGTGACTCATCCAAGCACGATTTATGCTTTTTTCTTCTTGGTTCTTTCGGTAAAGTCACGTAGACGGGAAATAATAAAATTAAAAAAATAAAACATAGTAAAATAATTCTCACGAAGTTTCGTCCACAACGCAAGCAGCCGTCCTCAGGTGAAGAACAGGTCTGTCGGGAAGACAGCTTCAACCGGCTTGGCCCCGGAGATCTGACCAAGATGGGGTTCATTCCGGGGGATTTGGTCTCGGGCTAGATGAGGAAATTATTAACAATAATAACTTTTTTGACAGTATCAAGATGATGATAAACATAAATAATAGGCTTTATCCTTTCTAGCAAGAATACAGGTGTTAAGATGTTCAAATACTAAATAGACACCTATTACAAGGCATGAGGTCTACATTAACCACAATCACGCGTGGTGAAACATGTAAACAGGCTTTGCAAATGCATGCATTAACTTTGAAACTGTGCTGTAAGGCGTACTTTCGTCTCGAAGGTGAGACAAGGCCATACATAAATTGTTATATTTGTGTTACAAGCACTTTAATGCGACTGGATCTCAAAGCACTTTACATATGCAGAGAAGTGATAACAATTACCAAATGGGGCAGTGGTAGAAAGGCGAAGGGAGATGGACAATAAAATAGTGGAGGTGAGCAATACAGCCATTTGCTTGCTATTACCATCTTGTTTGTGACAGGTCCTCGGCTTCCATATGACCTTTAAAATAAATAGGGTTGCCTTCGTTTGAAATAAGAGGGCACATTGTGCAATGCGCCCCCCCCGCCCCCATTGTAATCGATGTAGCTGTTGTAATAAACTGGCAGTGGTGTAGAAACTCTCTGAAAACACTACTGATAGCATTCACAAAGAGACTGCCTTGTTGATAAAAAAAAGTGTGCGTTTTGCCTTGCTAATGACTGATTCAGAAATTGATTTTCTATTTTCAAGCTCCTCCACCCAGAAGATGTGTCACTTCCCAAAGCACTAACTGATCACTGAATACATTGCAAATAACAAAGCACGGCCCGTTAATTACGATTGTGTATAACAATATATTCTGCCTGTTACTATGCTGTGCTGTATACACACAAGATTAAGTGTTTGTGAGTGCAAGTCTCGGCCCCATTGTTTTGCATACATTATAACCACACGCTTGTTTATGCAGTCGGAGGCGTTTGACGCAAGACAACCACATTCGCAAACAATCAGACCCACATTATACGTGTTTTTGTATGAGTAAGCGGTCTTTATATTGCAAATCCCTTTCGTGCTGATTTTGCATTTTGAATGCAAGCTGAACCTTTTTATCCCACAATCTCCAGAGCCCTAAACCTATCCACGTGTACCGAATTCTGGCCCAATCCACTGCTGGATGAGTGCCCCCTACCCCCCCCCCCCAAAGTGTGAGTCATGGTACTTGTTTGACCATAACTCCACCACTGGGCAGTGTGGGTCGGTGAAGACGGCATGCATAGACATGGGAGCAGAGAAGTCCAATACCATCATGTCTTTGTTTTTATGCACTGCCCTCTGCCCAGCATGTAGCCCCGACCGGCTTGATTTTTGCATTGGTGGTTGCCCACCAAAGCACTTTCTAAAGTGCAAACCTGCTTGGCTCTGAGATTGAACACATTCCAGGTGCTGAGGTCATAGACTCTCCACTTTTTTATGGCGTAAATTTCCTTCTTGATGCGTTACTGCTGCCAACATTTGCTTTTGCCGTAACGGCTCATTTTATAATGTGATGTTAATCTTATGTGCCATACAGAAGCTAAGGCTTTTGGCGTAGATAGTGGTGTATATATTCTTGGTTTAAGAGCACGTGCATGTCCTGCGTCGGTGTTTACACTTGCCCTGTAAACATCTCGCAAAATGTGTTGTTTTTGAAAGACTGGTACATTACACACAGCATCTGAAATTTATTATCGATAGATTCCAACAGCTGAATCCAGTCCAGGCTTTCAATTCTGCCCAAACAAAAGTTTCTGAGTAATAGATTACATTTATACGTGAATGTCTAAAAGAGACTTCTGATATTTTTGGAAGAACACCGCTGTAATCGTGTGCTTAGGAGACCAGGAGATTACGAATTGCACATTGTGATGAACACAAATCTGGATGGCAGTGGAGTAAACAGGTTGGTGACTTATGTAGATATTTTAGAATTATCCGTTCATAGAGTTCAATCATCTCTTGACATCCCCTCTGCATTAACAATGATGAATTGGCTCTGCCAATACAGGTCCTTGAGACTCAATGAGTATTCCCTGGATAAATAGCATTAGGATTGCAAACAGTTATTTTTTCTCTCCGGTTTGTCTCTCGAAGTTTTGGCAAACCCTTTTATGAATGTGTCCGGCTTTCAATTGGGTGAGTCCCAAACAACAAACACCGCTTTACAATTTGGTTCATTTTTGCATCATCTTTGAGAGTTATCGTGCCCCCTTGTTACAGGTGGACCGACCGATAGAGCTAACGTATAAAGCTTATTTGGGTGAAAAGCGTTAAAAAGGAGCAAGTTGGAAAATATTCATAAATCTGAATTACCCACATTTGATAAATTACTTAAGTGACTTAATTGGGAAGCTACGTGGCAACACTGCCTCTTACAAGCAGACTCGTGGCCATTTGCAGGCTGGTGCCGTGTATGCCTTGTGCCGCACAGGGACGGCTGTCACTGTCCCCTTGCTGGATTGCAACACGTTATTGGAGCGTTTGTAATGTGATGCAATGTGCTTTTGTGGCAGTTAAGTGCCCTATAATGTATGTATGAACTTCTTTCGCACCGTATGTAGCCAACTATGCTAATCGGGAGGTGCGGGGGACAATGTCAATCTTTATTCCGAAGCAGTGATGATGGCAGCGATGAAGTAGTGAGCTAACTTGTACGGAACCTGTGCAATCTTCGGTAGGAGATCAGCTTAAGCCGGCACTGCGTTTCATCGCCGTTGGGGATTGGGGCGGCCTTCCGCTGCCGCCCTACGTCACGCCGCTGGAGGTGGCCACGGCAAAGGGGATGACTCGCGTGGCCCAGACCATGGGTGCCGACTTCGTGCTGGCGCTTGGAGACAACTTCTACTTCACAGGCGTCCGCAGCGTCGATGATCCCCGCTTCTCGGCGAGTGCTTCGGGTGCCTAATGGCTCGGAACTGCGATTCCATTCAAGAATAAAACTACTTGTGTGGTGAAACTGTGTTCGTTGGCAGTGCTGCGCAAGTACAAATAGCACTCCAACGTGTCACACTTTTCTGTCAACAATGCCTTTAAAATAAAAAGTATATAATTGGCGAAGTTTTTGGGATATGGCTCTTCCAGTGCTGTGCAGATGTGCCATTGCCTCAAAAGTAGCCATTTTTAATGCTTTTTCTATTCGGGGAACGCATCATTTTTTCCCATCTTGTACTGTCTAGTTAGGGGTGCTGCCATGGTGTAATGGTTATAGCACCCTGGCTGCAGGTTCAATTCGATCTACAGGTAAAGCAGTTCAAATATTGGGCAAGTTTCTTAAACCCCCTTAATGCCTGTTCACCCAGCAATGTAAATGAACGGGTGCACCCGAGTCGATCGGCAGGCCATGTGTCTGTGGTGGGGTGAAGTGTGGGTACTCTCACCTTTTTCAAGACCTTTTTGCAGTGTGGACGATGAGGCCAAATACCCTGTAATAGGGGCTGTCTAGAGCTACCTCGAATGAAGGCCCTTCTGCCAGCATTTGCTTGCTCAAGAAATTGCAGGGCTGCATCTTAACCTTTTTACTGTCTCGTTTATATTCATGTAATTTATTTTCTGTCTCCATTTTAACGATGGCTCCATCACAGTGCGGCAACCGTGATGCACTAAAATAATTTTATAGCGGTTATCGCTACAATCACCGGCAATGGTTGATGGCCCATTTTCCCGCTGTATAAAAATGTAGTTGCCCTAATCTGGACCAAATCTAGTTTGCTGCCTATCCCCCCACCCGAGGCTGTATGGGATTCATTGGGGAGAGAATGTGGTGGTTGAGTTGGAGCATGGTGGATGATATCTGGAAGGGTGAAAGTTAAAATCTTCCGATTGGTTGCTTCTTGGGTAATCAAGTTATAGTTAAATTTGCTTTAACCATTGCCATACCAAATTGCAATAGTGGCTCTCGTAGGAAACACGATGCATGTGACCTATTTCGACAACTTCTCCTAAAATTGCATTGTAAAAAAAGTGCTTCGCCGCCATAATTTAGTGCTTCCATTGTCGGCAGATTTGTCCATTTTTGTCCCAAACAGGATAAACAACTTTTTCCACCAGCAAATAAATCGTGACGGTGCGCTGGTGTTAACATAAAAAAAAATCCATCCTCCAGGAAACCTTTGAGTCCGTGTACTCTGCGCCAGAGTTGCACATTCCTTGGTACGTCATCGCTGGCAACCACGACCACAAAGGCAACGTGTCGGCGCAGATCGCCTACTCTCATCGCTCCTCTCGCTGGTAATGCTGCTCCCCAAGTCCCTTGGGCACGTTTACAAATCCTTGGGTTGTTCCCCAGCACCTATTAAGCAGAACTCGGTCCTGTCTCTCCCACTTGTCAATACAGTCTCTTTATTCATGTAGACTTGAGAGAAAGAAGACAGGGTGCTTGAAAGAAGGGAGTTGAGAACGATAAGGTGGACATTGGGAATATCTTTAGAGAGAGAGGGGGGAGGAGGAGGAATGAAGGTGGAGGCTTGGCAAGAAGATGAAGTTAACCCTTTACTGTTCTGGAGAATGTGTACGTCAGCGTAACAGAACCAGAAGTAAAAAAAATATTTTATCGTTACCGAGGCTCCCACAAAGCCATGTGGAAGGGCCTGTCGCATGGTTTGGCACCAGCTATCATAGAGCGGTCTTGTCACTACAGTTCTTTGCGGTGAGTACAAGGTCTTAAAAACAGTGCTCTACCACCTCTAATATAAAATTAACGCTGAACGGCTTTGCACATTCCGAGATTCGGCGGTGAACGGGACTCGTCCTGAAACATGCAGTCGTCTCGGAAAGGGTTAAGAAGGGCTATGGAGAGCTGCTGCTGGTGCAGGGCAGAAAAAGGGGGAGAGGGAGATCGAGGGGGAGATGGAAGGTTGTGGTGACGATGTGGTAACAGCAGATGTGACATAAGAGAATTGGTACACGTGCCTTAGGGGAATTTCAGTTGTTCAAGTCGGTGTTTTTAAAATGTGCAACACGTGGGCAGTAAAACCCGCTTCGCTACCCGGCTACTTCCCACAAAAAAATCGACGCTCAAACCTGCTGCGTGTACCCTCCCCCGAGCCCCGTAGCATTGGCTGGCCTGGAAATGGGCCCAATCCTCCAAGTTGAAGGCTCAACCCTCCCCTCTTTTCTATGTTTTTATCATCAAGTCAAACATTGTCGGCGCAGAAGTTATCACAATTTAAGTAAGGGGTCACCGCTGCCTTTCCTCCGACACATAGGGGGAGAGAGAGCTGAAGAAGAATGCACGATGATACAAAACCAATAGCATTGAATTATTCTTGGCATTGAACGTTTGTTATGAAGCTTGTTTAACATTGTCTTGTCATACTGCCCCCCCACCCCCATGATGTTTTTAATGCCCCCTTTTGAAACTGAGGTATAATGGTCTAAGAGTTGCCCTCCTTTGGGATTCTGAACGACTGCAATTCTGTGCACAATGCACAAAATCCTTAACGTCGTCATCGTCGTGCAGGCACTTCCCGGACTTCTACTACGACGTGGTGCTGCCCATTCCAGGCTCCAATGCGAGCCTCACCCTGCTCATGATCGACACGATCACGATGTGCGGGAACACCGATGACTTTGGGCACGGGCAGCCTGAGGGTCCCGAAGACCTCGAGCTTTCCAACAGGCAGTTGCAGTGGCTCAAGGAGAAACTCAAGGCGGCCAAGTGAGTGGCTGCATAGATAGCGCTGCACGCCACGGCCCGTGTGTGTGTGTGTGTGTAGCGGTCGCATCATGGTTGGCGCATTACACTATGAGGGGAACCCAATGATCTGAGGGAAAATCAAGAAACGGAGGGGAAAAAACAAGAGCATGAAGCAGACATAACCGTCAAGCAGCGAAAGGGGAGCCTACCTTTTGATTAAAGTGGGGGCTGTTACTAAATGAGTTTACATAGCAGCACTAGGCTAATGCACAGCACTTGGTGAACACCATTAAATTAAAGAAAAATAATCACCTTGGAGTTATACATTTTCCATGTTTTCTACGTAGAAAGGCTGCGTCGTAAAGACAAAACTTGTGTAGCTGACCCTTGCACGAGACATGAACCATTGGCAGCAGCAGCCACGGTGAGACGCTGCAATAAATAATGGCCGACTGCATTATTTACAACAGGGTAAACAAAATGTCAAAATGTGGGAATCCGTAGCACGGCAGAGACACTCAACATTGTTTAAAACCACGAGTCTCGAAGGTGATCATTCTTGAGACTTTACAACGTATGTCTTACCTCTCCTGTGGTGAGTTACAAGTTGCGCCACCTTGCCCAACTAATGCGAGGGCACAGTTTCAACAATGAAGTTCTGGCCGTAGACTGTAAACATCCATTATGAACGAAACTTGGGTGTAAAGTTGTTGAAAGTAGGAATATACCCTCTTGATAACTGGTCATATTGATCAAAGGGGGTTGTGCAAAATGTAGTGAAGCCTTCCAGTGCAAAAAATGCAAATGCTTTTTGTTCTTACGGCTACCCAACCTAAACGTCTGGCGGGAAAGCACTGCGTAATCCATACGTGTGCACGATTTTTGTTTCCGAGCTCTGGTTTTATTTGCAATGTTTAAAGTCCCATGGTGGGGGATGATGTTTATGCCACCCAGGTCGGAGTTTGTGGTGGTCGCAGGGCATTTCCCCGTGTGGTCGGTGGCTGAACACGGCCCCACCCACTGTCTGGTCAAGCATCTCCACCCGCTGCTGCAGAAGTACCAGGCTACCGCTTACTTCTGTGGGCACGACCACAACCTGCAGGTGGGGCATACGGGCACCACCGCACTGCACGTTGCATGTGCTTTGCGTTGAGCCGCCCTGTATCAACAAACCAACGTGCCGAGGCCATCGTTGGTATCCGTGTATATACCCTTATGATCTGTGAACCCGATCCGCATACTGCAGGCAGGGGGGCGGCTTCGTGATTTGGTCCCGGGCAGTTGTGGCTTTTCCGCACGTGGCCTGTAATGAATAATTCTGCTGCTGTGGAGGTAGCAGCGAGGGTTGGTGGATAGCTGAACAGGGCGTCGAGGAGGTGCTGTACCCTGGCTTGCCAGGAGAAGGCGCGTGCAGCACTGGGCTAATATCTTACGTGTTGAACTTTCGCACAGTACATAGCCAACCGTGCTAATCGGAGGTCCTATGGGATTGAGTTATTCCCTCGCGTTGGTTTTCTCCTGGTGCCCTGATTTCCTCCCACGTGTATGAACACTCAGTAACTGGGTGATAACACCTTAATATAACTCCTCTAATGCAGGATCCTGAAAAAGACCTTGGACTGTGTGGTTTACCTGGATAAATGAGTATTATAACATGGTACATCCCTTTGATGAATAGATGAAACCCAGGTCCACAACCTGCTTGCTGTTCTCTGGTATGCTACTATCCATATCACCTCGCGGGTTGCTGTCGCACCTGATGGCTGCGTGATCCACTAACCCCAACTTCCCAAGTCCAAGTGTGTGCCGCCGCTACACTGCAGTAACTATACTGTGCGTGCGCTTTGCGAGTGTCTGACATGAATGATCTGTACTTGTCTAAAGCCTGAATCCCCATTGCTGATGTCTTGAGTGGTTGTTTGTGCCGGATCACCGCGTGGCTGCTGCCTTCCCACTCGCCTGTGGTTCCCCGCGCCTCCCGAGTTCCCTCTTGTCGAACGAGCGAATGCTATGCATGTTACATATTTTGAAATGTATTGTGGAGATAGCAACAATCAACTTTAAAGCTGGGCTATATGACTATTTTAGTCATCAGTTAGACTACTCAATTGGATAGCACGAAATTACTTGGGGGGATGGGGGGGGTGAAAAGTCTCCTGCATGGCACATGTGCTGCAAGATGCGAAGCGGTGGTCACGTCTGGCTATTTGTCTTTGCGTTTTGTTGTGATGCTGCCATGGTGAGTCAGGCTTAGCTCACTGGATACGCAATCCTTGGGCCGCTGGTACAAACTGCCAACGGTTAAACCAAGGGCAAGTTTTCTTAAATCCTCCCACCTCTGTCCACCTAGCAGTATAATTGTGTGTGTGGGGTACCTCCGACTTTTTCTAAAACATCCGGCCAGCATGGAAGAGTAGGTCAAATGCAATCTGGTGGGGGGTAAGGGGGTGGGTTCTGCAGAGGCCCTTCATCCAGTAGTGGCCATGAGCAAACAGTTCCAGGGCTTCACCTTAACCTTTTAACCCCCCCTTGCCCCCCACGTGCAGTACCTCCAGGAGACCGACTCGCCCATCGGCTACGTCTTGAGCGGCGCCGGCAATTTCATCGACGAGTCGCTGAAGCACATGGATGCGGTGCCCGAGGACTCCCTGCGCTTCCACTTCTCCGACTTTGAGTCCCTTGGAGGCTTCGTCCATGTGGAGGTGACGAAGGACATCATGACCCTGACGTACATTGAGAGCCTGGGAAAGTCTCTGTACCGTACTACCCTGCCCAAGCGCAAACGATTTTAAATTAGGGGGGTGGGGGGCATTTTCCACCATGGCCCTCTCTCAGGATTGGTGGGTTTCTACCATTTGCCGTTTTTCTACCTCAGCTGGACGTGGCCGTCGACCCTGTTTTTATAAATACCTCGGTTCCACTACGACCAAGCCATGGCAGGCCGTGCTGAAATGGCTCGGCATGGTTCAGGATTCAAGTTTTTTTTCCACCGTTTATACGAAGCCGTGGCGAACCTGATTCAAAATCTTATGCAGACTTCACAAAAACGTCCGAATCTGGCCTAAGGTTATGTAGGGCCAGAGGCAGACATAATGACGCTTCCATTGTTTGTGACATCAAGCAGTACGGCTCTGGTTCTGTGGTGGAAAAACAACTTCAGATGTCCTGAGCGGCTCTGGCTTTGCATGGACTCGGTGTAGCTCTGATGTACAGTGGAAAAGAGGTATAAACAGAGGGTTGTTTCGGGCACGGCAAAGATAGAAATGCCCTTGTGAAGAATTGCGGGGGGTTTTTTTGCATGGAATTTGGTAAAAATTTGCATGGCTTTTTATGGCTTCTTGAGTTTAGTAGTTTTTTTAGGGGCGTTGAGGATATTGCAGAGGATTAACGAGCGTATCATGCGACTGCCTAGTAACGTATGAGGATTGATTGATTTATGTGTTGGCAGAAAGAGCTGTCAAAAGGTAAAGATGTGGCCCTTCAACTTTTTAGTGCCACTGTGGGCGTCTTAACCTCCACTAGAGGGAGCTACCAGCATAAAAATAAGTTAACATTGGACAAATCGTTTAAATTTTCATACAGGAAGAAAATAGTTGACTATTTGGCAGGAAATAATGGTACGGATTTCCATTCTACTAACACATGACTGGCTTGTTTTTATGCAGTAAACTCTGTGCTGCTTAGCAAGAGTGGATGAGGCCTTGTGGCATTTTTCTTATCAGGCTAATTTTAACATTGTGCCCGTCAATGTATGGACGTGTGGTGGTTTTTACGCCAAAGATTTGATTGTGTGGTTTTCAGATTAGCCTTAATTTTTTGACAAATCTCTGTACGTGTGATCCTAAAAACTTGATTATTTTTTAACTGACGATTACTTTATTTAGCCTGGTTTTGTTGAACACTTGCACAAACAGCAATACATTGTGAATGTAAAACAACATACCGTGTTTCTTTGAAGACCATATACACTTTTTATGATTGTATTTGGTAGATAGTCATTTATAATTGCTGTACTCGCATCTCAATAATTCCAGATGCGATACAAACAAATGGATGATTACTTTAGGGGTTGTGTTTATTCATCAGTGCAAAGCATGTTTTTTTCTCCAGAATGTATAGAATGTGTAGTTATGGAAATGTTTTAAAATGGCAATTTTAAGTGAATAAATAAACATTACATTTTTTATTTAGTATAGTTTTAAAATTGTTTTTTAAACAGTCGAAAGTAATTTTGATTGATTCTTAGTCCTATTTAGCTATATCGAAATCATTTTGATTGTCATTATAACTTTGAAAGAATGTCTGTTTACACACTCGAAGCCATTTTAATTTAATAAATCAGTGTAATAGTTGGCTAAAGTGTGGCTGTCCGTTTTTATTCATGTATTTGTGAAACATAACCCAGTGATAATGCTGCAGTGTGTAATGCTTGGCACACTGAACTTGCAATTCAGAGGTTCACTGGCTCAATTTCTCGTCACAGCAATTAAAACAATGGTACAAGGTTTTTTTCCACCCGCCTGTCCACCGTCCACCTGGCAGTGTAAATGGGTACAGTAGTCGATCATCAGCCGGTCATGGTATGATGGGTTAGGTCGAGTGAGGGTATGATGGGGGTGCCACTGGTGGTGATGTTAACTACCTCACCTGGTATACAGGAGGTCGTAGTTTCATCCCGACCCTGACGCCTGTATATTTGGAGTTGTCATGTTCTGCCCGTGGTTGCGTGGATTTTTCTCCGGTCCCTCTGGGTTTTCCCCCTCCACATTGCATAAACATGCATGCTGAGTATTTGGCTGCTATACATGTTCACATGATAAGTCACTTGTTGAGTGATCAATTGTGGCCAGATCGCTTCTGAAAATTAGCTATTGAGCTCAGTGAAGCCTTACCTGGTAAAACATTTTTTATAGGTTTTGACAGTGTGTGCAATCCCACCTGATACAAGACACCCTGGCCATCCTGCAAGAGTAGGCCCTCAAATACCTTCTGACAAGTCTGCATGAGCAACGAATATTTATGGCTAAACTTTATTTTTACCCAGGGAAAACCTTGGAGTTATTCAAGATTCCTTTACAAGAAGTTGACGGTCCTGCTTGGTTTGGCAAAATCCTGTTTGTGTTTGTTCCACGTCACGATGCAGCGCTGTCGGTGAGAATTCCACACGGCAGTTTCTACATTCACTTCACAATGATGGTGGTACAGCGCAAGTGGGCCTGGTGGGTTAAAAACAATCGATTTAACCCTTCCGTTATGTATGAGCTTTTGAACCATATGGAACCCAATCCATACTAATCAGAAGTGTGGGAAAAGGACAACACAAAAAAAGCATTTCGAAAGGAATGAGCTTTCGATCTAAATTTCAAATTGGCTCTAGATGTGAAGATTTCGTGACTGCAAGGATTCATACTCTTAGGTTTTTTCGGTAAAGTCACATATTGGCTGGCTCCAGTGGCTTCCTAATAGTGGAAGGAAGAGCGTTCCAGACGATCAGCAGAAGTGCACCTGAAAGCACGCGATGCGTTGGCCGTCTTTGTTCAATGGCTAGCCGAAAGCCGCTGTGAGTGACTGGATTAAACCGGACTGTGTGATGATTTATGCTCCTTGACGAAATCGGCAAGGTATTGTGCTTCATCTGTGTCGAGCAGTGTGCAATGCAAGGCCGTAGCCATGGAGTCCAACATTGGGGGGGACCAAATCTTCCAGGGGGTCTGGGGTCTCCCCCCCCACAGAAAAAAAAATCTAAATTTGAGAACGAATTTCCTGCCTAAAATATAAAAAATGCACTAACACATAGGATGGACTTGATTTTTTACAATGATGTCTAATAGTGTATTGTATTGCATTGCTCTGTTTTTTTCTTTTTTACCTTTGTTTCATTGTATGTAATGGCAGAGATTAGGGATTAATAAAGTACAACCATAACCACAATAATATAAACAAATCTATTTTATAGCAATATATTGGAGGGTACATTTTTAGCATATTTGAATATATATTATAATAACGGCCTTGGTGCAATTGAGTGCGACCGTATTCGTATGTCACGTTCATCGTGGTTGCAGTGTGAAGAGAGGCCCACTTGCCGCTGTGCTGTGGGGAATGAGCTCTGTTGCACATTCAACTCAGTGGGAGTCCGAGGTCATGGTGAATATGTGAAACGGTCGGATATGTGACCATCTATAAAATAGGTGCACCGACGGGTTAAAGGACACAAAGCACAACCTGCTTTAGCCGTGGGGGAATGCTGGACTGGATGTCAGAATATACGCAAGGTTAAGAATACATTACTGAATGTGTACGACTTGTGAACGGCTATAAAAAATATATATATAAACCGTTAACCACGCACGTACTGCACTGGGTGTTGTTATTTCATGATTACAATTTAGCCAAGGAGAAGCCTCCATGAGTCTCAAGACTGTTTTTAAGAAGGTTCTGATAACTTTTTGCAACAGGTGGTGACGATTGCTGTGTAAGTAATTCGTGAGTATTTTTTTTCTCCAAATACACTCCAGCAAAATTGAACCGTGGCACGGGATCTTTAATGTCTGCTGTGAACCAGATGGCGTGTACTTTTACGGTTAATACTGCTGCAGTATTTACCAAGGCTGCCCCACCAGATTGAAACCTCGGCAAACAAGATGCCAACGCACTCCTCGCAATGCCATATCACGCCGTCTTTAATGGGTACGTGTGGTTAACTGGTCATGGCAAATACTCCTGCATGTGACGGACAGATATGCGACCGACTGTAATTCAATTCCTTCGCCTTAAGCCTCGGAGTCTCGAGCCATTTATAGGAAAAATTCCTGCTTTGAGATGGTCTGCAATTTCCTTGAGTATTTTGCATGTAGTTAAACATAGACGGATGTAGCACACAGCACAGATAAAGACAGAGATCCCCCGTATAGCCTTAACTAACTGTTGGGGCAAGTGCTGTTAGCGAGCACCGATGAAGGCCGGCACCACACGAGGGGGTGGGTGGCCAGTACCACGCCCGGCCGCCTTTGTCTCCCTTTGTCTCCCTAAGTGCTGAGTCGATCTCGGGGAGGCCCAGGATCGGTTCAGAAAATCGTCACTGGTGTTGGTCGAGAGCGTAGCGTGAACCACTACACTACCGCTCCCCGAGCCACATACACACACACAGCCACACAACAACAACAACCGCCATTCGCCACTAAGTGGCGGTGACGTCACCACGATGCTTGTGCCAGGCCAAGTGCACCTTGAGGCCACGTGAAGTGTCGAAAGCCTGCTGGCAGGAGGTCACGGGGCAGACCCAGGTGCCACGGGTCGACTGACCGAGATGACCGAGATGACTGGCTGATGCCCCACCTGTGCCCCCTACTGTACCAACTTGCTGTGCTTTAGCCACCCGGCGCTCCGCTCGTTGTTGTGAGCGTCGCTCCTCCGCCCTCCGTTGTTGTTGGAGGGCGACTGCCTCCAACTGCCCAGTAGCGTCCTTCACGAGCCTCCTCCACTGAGGCCGATCTTGACACCGCTGGTACCAGTCATCGGCAAGTCCACTCAGCTCCACGTCCTCCTGTACCACATCACTCCATCTCTTCTCTAGCCCGTGCCGCGCCCGTTTAGCCCCCTCGATCCGGCCGAACAAAAGCTGTTTAGGCATGCGGTGGCTGGGCATGCGGGCTACATGACCCAGCCAACGCAGCCTTGCCTGCCGGAGGAGCTCACTGATGGGACTTTGCCCAGATCTTTCAAGGATTTGTGAGCTCCTCACACAATCCAGCCTGGTTAAACCCAGGATGGATTGTAGGCAGGCCAGCCTAAATGTTTCCAACCGGCGAAGATGCTCCACTAGGGGGGTCCACGTTTCGCAAGCGTAGAGAAGGGAGGAAATGACCGTGGCCGAGAAGACCTGAAGCTTCGTGCGGAGCGACAGACCAGGTAGCTTCCACACAGCGTTACGCAACCGATGAAAAGATATTGCCGTTCGACTGATTCGGAGTGAGACCTCTGCTGATAAACTGGAGCCGGTCATAAGCATACTGCCGAGGTATGGGAAACTCTCCACTCTCTCCACAACTGCCCCATCACCAATTGGGAGTTGTGGGGGTGGAGTGTCCGATGGTACAAAATACCCAGGCAGGTGCTTAGTTTTGGTGGGGCTGATGGTAAGGCCCCACCTCTTAGTGGCACGCTCCAGTCTCAGCAGCAGCGTCTCCAACTCCTCTTCTGAATGAGCAGCTATTACCAAATCATCGGCATACATAACGTGGTTGACCAATAGGGAGCCATCCATTGATCGCACCCGGGCATCGATCAGCCTCCCATTATATCTGTACCAAATGGAAATTCCCCCGGTACAGCTATTGAAGGCTTCACGAACTACGCGGTCAAAATAGATGTTAAATAATGTGGGAGCCAGAGGACATCCCTGTCGCACCCTAAGGTGTACAGGGAAAGGCTCCGACTCCCGGCCACGTAGTTTTACCCGGGCCCGCTCACCATCATGAAGGTCCTTAATGATCGGGAGCAGAGGGTCAGGGACTCCGAAAGCACGAAGAACAACCCAGAGCCCAGTCCTACTGATGGTATCATAGGCCTTGACCAGGTCAATAAAGCAGAGATGTAGGTCTTTTTGGAATTCCCTACACCTCTGCTGTAGCAGACGGACAGAAAATATGGCATCTGTGCAGGACCGCCCTTTCCTGAAACCGCATTGGGGCTCCGCAAGGCTCTCCTCAGCGTGCCTAGCAAGGCGATGTTGAATAATCCTTGCCAGGACCTTACCCGGCACACTGAGGAGTGAGATGCCCCTGTAGTTGTTACAGTCAGTACGGTCCCCCTTCTTAAAGAGGGGGACCACCAGGGCATCCTTCCAGTCCTGCGGAACCCGTCCAGTGGTCCAGACTGTTGTTATGATGTCATATAGGGCAGTCTGTGCACAAACGCCACCCTCCACAGCCACACACACACACAGCCACACACACACACAGCCACACACACACACAGCCACACAAACACAGCCACACACACAGCCACACAAACACAGCCACACAAACACAGCCACACACACACAGCCACACACACATACACAGCCACACAAACACAGCCACACACACACAGGTAGGTCGGCAACCAACTTGTTGCAAACCGTCCATCTTGGTCCAACATGCCGCTGACGATTTGCCAGGAGTTCATAAATAACACATTGTGGAGACTAAGTTAATCTTAATCTGCAGACGATTCACGTGAATACATGTCGAGAGGGAGCCCTTTGTCTCTAAGTTTTTCAGTCGTGTTTTTTTGGAAACGACAGCGATGTAAAGTGGAATAAATGATCGTGGCTGGGTATGCAGCTTACCCAGTGCTGGCGAACGTGTCCCGATTTATCCCAACCGTGAACATTCTGTCAAACTAAACTTTTAGCGTTGCACACTGTAAAACCCAATAGCCTCTTTTATACATACAAACCCTTATATGTCCTGGCGCTTTAAAAAAAAAAACCTAAACACACTTCAGGGAGCCGCATTTTTTTTGCCCGGAGCTTATAAATAATTCGAGGTTTATCCTGATCGGACGATGAAGAAATAAATGTTTACGGGCACGCAGAGTGCGCCGTTGACAATTGTGGCGCAGTCCGAGGTGTTTATGGCGAGGACCGGCGTCGCAGCCCCATCCCAACCCAAAAAAATCGGATGCGAGATGGAGGAAAGAAGAAAAATCTCCGCAAGGTCACAGACGTACGACGCCCAATGATTTATTGTGAGAGCAGTGGAACATTGCTCTGCCCCCCCCCCGCTACCCCTCCCCTACCCAACCACTTTTAAAACCTAAAGCCAAATGACACAGTTTAGAAGATTGCGTGCTGTGGAGCGAGGGGAGCTAGCGAGCTCGCTCGCCAGGCCAGCCAGCCAGGCAGGGGTAAGGCGGCTCCTTCTCTGGCTTTCTAGACCCTCGGTCGTTTGGAGTTGGCCCTGAGGGTTTGCTGGAGGTCAGGTGAAGGTTTACATCACTGCTGTTGCTCGTGTCGGCTGTCCCAACTCTGGAGTTGGGGGTCGTGAGGTTGCTGTAGGTCAGGTGAAGGCTTGCATCACTGCTGTGGCTTTGTGTCGGCTGTCCCGAATCTCCCACTTGTTTCCACGTACACCCTGCGTAGGTTGCGTTGCGCAGGGCCACTTGGCAGTGATAACAAATCTCTGTTGCAAAGCTCGAGCCGGACGTGGCAGGAAAGGTCGTTGGGGCTAAGAGAGTGCCAAACTTTCATCCTCCTTCGATCTCATATTCAAGGTTAAACGCTCAGGGTAAGTACATTACATTATATTTTGTTTATGAAACTAAAACCATAGCAAAAATAGGATGATCATTTTGCGTAAAAAAAAACTTGTTGAAAGTGGTAATGGAGCAATTCCATGAAATATATTTTCGTGACAAGAAAAAGTATGGTTGTGTGTGTATTGTGTTGTTAAGATATATCTTATAAACGTTGCTAATGTGTCATTGATTCACTAACTACACCTTGGTACACTGGTTTGCTTGCATATACCACCACACTTTCCTTTTTAGGCTGTTTAGGGAAACATCAGTGATTCTTATTCTTCATAATACAAGTCAGCCAATTAGTAAGGGATTTGTCACGTAAACAAAACGCCAATTAGTTACTACTTCAGCCCACCGGTGTGTTGGAGAGTAAATCCACAACATTCACAATTTACGCTCCAACACAACGGCGGGCTGAAGTCGTCACAAATTGGTCTTTTGTTTACGTGACAAATCCCTTACTAATTGGTTGTGTCGGGTGGTGGAGGGTTACGATACATTTATGCTTATGCGATCTAACCCAGTTGCTTCTTGCTGTGGTTGTCCCACCTGATGACGGACGCTTGTGTTGCGCCCGAAACGTCGTGATTAAAGATAAGAAATAATATATATTTATTTTATTTGATACCTAGAGTATGAAGTATTGGTCGCGAAAGCCTACGTGTTAATTATAATTCTGTGGTTTAACGATTCGGAAAAGCCTCGGTGAGGCTCGTGAATTTTTCAAGCGGGCTTTGCGCCCGGACATTGTGTCACGAGTGATTTTCGTGTGGGTTTAAAGCAGAGCGGAGCCAGAGAAAACCTCGCTGCATTCGAGAGGACATCAACCCAGAGGGTCCACGGGGGTGGGTGCTCAACCTATTTGCTGTACTGCCATTTCCAGGCCACGGCATAGCCCCAACGGGTTTGGGAGATTTTGCGAAACTCACCGACTGGTGTCATGAAAGTGCTTGGGTGCAGCTGTGAGCCACCACACTAACACTCCATCTGATCGTTAACAGTAGCAGTATATACTACAATAAGACGTAAATTGTATTAAAATATGAGTGTATAATATTATTATATAATTCTTTATTAATTATAATCTACAGCCGTTTTTCAATCCACTGCTAGATGAAGGCCTCCCCCATGCTATATCAATCTTGGTGCTTGTTTGACTGCACCTGACTACACCATGTGGTCAGTATGGGTTGCTAAGAGCGGTGGGCATGTTAGTCCTAAGTTCAAATATCACTCGCTGCTGATGTTAGCCGTGGTCAAAATTCGCTCTCAGGTCACAAAGCGCAGTACACTTACCACCAAGCTCCAAACAGTATTTACCGGTATATTTTGGTTACAATTTAGATATATATGACAGATAACCGTAATCCAGGCTGCTTGCATTTAGACGCTATATAAATCCAACTTTTACATTCTGAAAATCCATAAATAATAAATGTTCATGCCACTCCCAGACGCCGTCGCGAGCAGAACCACAACACCTGTGGTTGGGTGGTGGGGGGACGGTGAAACCGGCCGTCGATGCGCCAGCACCTTCTGCAAGCGATGGAACCTTCATCTGGCGGGGCCACCGTTGTCGACCTCAACGGAACCACGACGACGCCACCACCATCGCTGCTCAACCGCTCGCGGTGCCGCACCGACGACTCGTACACCTACCCGGTCTACGCGGCGCTCTACAGCCTCATCGTGGCGCTCGGCCTGCCGGGCAACACCGTCGCCCTCTACGCGTTCACTCGCCGTATCCGGAGCAGAGGCGCCGCCGTGCGCTACTGCACCAACCTGGCGTGCTCCGACCTGCTCTACATCCTAACGTTGCCGCTGCAGATCGCGTACTACCTGCGCGACGGCGACTGGCCCTTCGGCGACGCGCTCTGCCGCCTGACCGTCTACACCTTCTGCGTCAACGTCCACTGCAGCATATTTTTCCTGACGGCCATCAGCGTCAATCGCTACATGTCGGTGGCGCGGCCCGTGCAGCACTGGGGCGGCCGAGGCGGGCGGGCCAAGCGGACGTGCGTGGCCATATGGGCCTTCACGGCGCTGTGCAGCCTCCCCGTCATGATCACGGGCACCCACGCGGAGGAGGGCGGCCGCGTGCGCTGCTGGGAGCACGAGAGCGGTGCCGTCCACAAGTTCGTCATGGGCTCGGCGGCGATGCTGGTCGGCTTCGTCGCACCCTTCGCCGTCATCGTCTTCTGCTACGTCACCGTCGTCCGCGTGCTCGCCGCGAGGCCGGTGGTGCGCGGCGGCGCCCGCCCAGGTGCATGGAGGACCAGCCGCAGGGTGTGGGCCCTCAGCCTCACCGTCGTCCTGCTCTTCCTGGTGCTCTTCCTGCCGTACCACATCGTGCGCACCACCTACCTGTTCGCCGAGCTGCGGGCGTCGCGGGGCAGCCGTGTCGCTTGCGAGCAGATCGCCGAGCTGAAGCCGTTCGTGGTGGCCACGGTGTGCATGGCGACCGCCAATGGCTGCTTCGACCCCGTCGTCTACTTCTTCTGCAGCAAGCACTTCCGCAGCTTCCTCTTCCGCCTGATGCCTGACCCCTTCCCTTGGCGGTGGAGGCGGCGGCGGCGCCAGGCCTCGCAGCGCCAGGCTGGGCATTGCCTCGACGGGCGCCCTCCGCCACGACGGATGTTTGCCGCTGTCCCGATGGACACCTCCGCGAAGGCCCCCGTCGAAGATACGGAGACCGAGGCTTCCGTGCAGGAGCCTGCAACCACGAGGCCGAGGGACGTCGAGGAGGTCCCCTTGGATGTGCTTGAGGACTGGCAGACAAAATGATGCTGTCTGCAGACAGTGAGCGCCCCCCCCGCCTAAGTAAATGTGTACAGATAGACAAAACAAACCGTCGTTACCAAGACAAGTTCAACAACTTTCCAAAGTGCCTCCAATGGAACATTCCTACCCTCCTCCTATGCCTATGTGAATGTACGCGTGCAGTCAATGAGGATCCCCGTCACTTTTTTTTCTGGATGAGGGCCTCTGTAAGACATGCACGCCCGTGTGGGTTGATTTCAGCACACTTCGGCACGCCGCTCATTGCATGGTTTGTCAAAGTGAGGAGCAATTAGGCAGGGCAGGAGTACAGCAAAAAGGATCTTTCTGTACTTTGGAATGTAAACACTACAGGGTGTCTGTCGAGACAAGGCATACGTGACACGTGGGGTCAACAATGATCAATTCCCCTTCAAGGTGTAGCCCTTTAATGTACACATCGATCACAGCTGCATTCCTGGGGTGATCGGGATTTTACTTTGGTGCCCCCCCCCTGCCCAGGATATGGAAGTCCCTCTTGGTGGCCACCCAATTGTGAAGCTCCCTATCGTTGGTGATCTAGATCTTGGACAGCGTCGATATCTTTAAATCCCTCACTAAGAAGACATTTTTAAAAACAGCTTTCCTCTAACCGGCACTGTTACTCCCCGGGTCTTGTTTTGCCACCAAGTTCCTTTACCATCATTGTCTTTTTCATGCCCGACGCATGGAGACGTTGTGAAAGGTGCTTGATGAGTGCTAATTATCCTAATAATTAATTAAATAGCACGAGCAAGTGTCTTCCGAGGTGGTCAGGTGGCTCAGGTCAGTGCGACGGGCTGACACCGCTGAGATCCTGGGTTTCGGATCCAGGCAGCTGCTCGTGATTAAGCCGGGTTCTGAAGTGTGGTTAGTTAACGGTGTCAGCCCGCTCACCAAATCACTAAGATTGTACAACAATAAAACATACTCATCACGTTGAATTCGGTTCTGTGAGTAATTTGGCTCTATTGCAGCTCCAAGAATATTTAAACTGAAACTAAACCAAGCTATTGTTATTTTACCAGATAAAATCGCCCACTGAGCTATGAAGCTCTGTTTTAGAAGCGACCTGGCCACAAATGATAGGTCAACAAGGTGGCTTGTCTTGTGGAAATGTACAGCAGCCAAATACTCTAAATGCATACTCATACTCTTTTGTTCTTTCGGTAAAGTCACGTAGGTATAAAATAAAATAAATTGCTTGTTTATAAATGTGGATGGAAAAACCAGAGGACCTGGAGAAAAATCCACACGACCACGAGGAGAACAAGCAAACTCTAATTTTTAGGCGTCGGGATCGAACCTATACGACCTCCTGTATACCAGACAAAGTAGTTAACATCTCGCCAATAACATTTCACTGTCACGCAACAGGCATTACCCCTCATTGCAGAGCATGTGGGAACGCACTGCTCTCGACTGTACGTAAGTCCGAACACTTGTTATCTAGTTATCGCGCGAACTCTTGCGAGTGCAGCCTCTCGCCGCGAGTGTGCACTGTGTGGACCAGGTCATTTAAAGGGATCTCAGAAGTAGTTATCTGATATCCGCACCCATGGGTTTCGCTGGCTGTGCGACAGATCCGAACGGTTTCTATTGTCTTATGGCACGATACCAATACTCTAGCACAATCAGAATGAAATAAAAATGCAACAAAAAAAATCTACATTTACATATATACATATTTTTTAAGTTAATGTCTCCCAAGGTGCCAGAATGCAATTACATCTTAGCGTGCGGTACGTGAGGGCACTGGACAATGACGCCAAGGGAAGATGGAGGAATTAGAGATTCGCTGTGTCGAGCAACGTTGCCCATCAGCACGAGTCCGCACATTAAATGACGTATCACGCACACATGTATTTTGATATTCTTATATTGTATACTCTCACGGTGGTAACCAAAGGGGGCGTCGATTCGACGCATAGCCAGCGAATAACGCTCATGTTTATAATGCGCAAGTTTGAATGGGGGTTGGGAGCGGTGGCAGAGTGGTCGTCGCGAATGCGGCTCACGAACCCGGCGACTTTGCATTCCATTCCCGGCAAAGGGTTGAACATCGGTGGCGATTGAAATCTGAACTGGTCCTGGGCCCCCTCGGCCCTTCACCAACTCACACTGAGCAGCGTGCCGAAGTATGGTCCGCGGATTGACGTAGGACCGTAAATTATTATTTTAGCTTGAATACTGGTGAAGGGAAATGTTTATTGCGGAAGACACCACAGGAATGACGAAGTGAAGTCTCCGAATAAAGTAACGTTCTTGTGGTCTAGCAGTCCGTGTATAGGGGCGAGGACGATTCGCATGTTTAATGTTTGTGCCAGAGCACAGTGCTGATATCATTGAGTGCCTGGGTTTGAATCCACGGTTCAGACCTGTGATTCAATTGGCTTCTCAAGTGTAGCGAATCGTACTATGTATTTTATGTATGTTGAACTTTGTTCGCACCATACGTAGCCAACCGTGATAATTTAATAGGAAGTGCGGGGGAAGGACAACAATCTAAACACGAAACGCAATTCTAAAGAAATGAGTTTTCAATCCAGATTGAAAATAATTGAAGAGCTTAGACCGGTCACCATTATCATCATACGCCATGATCAATCCACTGCTGGATGAAAGTTTACCCACGCCGTTGCCACCTCTCATTTGTTCTGCGATGCACCGATCCACGTGGCACCGGCAGACGAGCCGATCTCATCGCTCTGTCTCCTCGGTGGTCGTATACCATTCCTCGGTTGCCATTCCATCAGCAGTCTCGTCCGTCGGCCGGCATCCCTTCTAGGAATGTGTCCTGTAGGAGCCCACTTTATTTTGTTAACAGTTTGAATTAAATATTTAACCTGGATGTGTGTTCTCTAATCCACGTGCTCCTATTTCTTTCTCTTCCAATGCAATTTAACTTTTAACCTCATTCGGCTTTTGTTTGTCCAGAGGACTAACGAAAAAACATTGGTTTTAGCATGGCGTGCGAGAATTGCTCCTTATAAGGGTGCAAGGGTTTATTGTCCCAACGCTAAATACAAAAGGCCGATTTAAGTACTGAACTGTATCTTGACAGCGGAGTTAAGTGTCGAGTGTGCAGGCGGTGTAACTGCACTGGGGGGCCATGGGATGGCAGGCGGGGGGGGGGGGGGCTGGCGCCGGGCTACGAAGAGGGGAGAAATTGGACGGGGTTGAGTGGGGGGGGGGGAATTCATTGGTTGCACAAAGCCCATGTTATGCAGACTGTGTATGCCACCGTGTCTTGAGAAGTTGCTATGTATGTATGACGTTGAACTTCTTTCACACCGTATGCTGTGCTTCTCGTTGTGAGAGTGTTGTAAGGAGATTGGCTTTTTTCGTCTCATAACACGACGACGAAGATGGTGTTCATGGTGACAGATTCGGAATGTCATTCGGTATTTTTTATAATCTATACATATAAAATGGAAATTTGTGAATATGTGTTTGTTCGAAATATTTAGCATACTTCCCGACATGCAAAAAACGTTTAAATTTGGCATGTGGGTAGCTTCCAGACTGTACACAATGCAAAAAGTATAAAAATAGACTTTTGTATTTGGGGGGGGGGGGGGGAATGAGCATGAAGTGTGTGGCGTCAACCCGCATCATACAGAACTGGCGAGAATCGATATCTGGTGAGCGTTTGTGTTATCGATTAAACGGGAATAGGCCAATTCTAAAGAAATCTACAACCTTCGATTCCTTTACGCGAATTAAAGAATAGAATCTTGGCGCGTGAGCGTAATTTTACTTACATTTTTAATTAATGAGGTAATGATCTAAAGTTTTTTTTTTCATTTATACATGTTATGTTTTAAATTTTTGAGACGTTTTTAAAATATATTTTTCCCCCGGGCAACGCCGGGTACTTCCCGCTAGTACCATAATAATACTATAAATAAAAACTAGTGGACGTTGCAAACGAACCGCTTGCGTTAAACCAAAAAGCACATGGTGCCACGCATACTTGGCACTGATTAACAGCGGGAAGGAAGCGTGTTGAGGTCAATCTGGGTGGAAAATGCAGAAACGACGAATTTTCCACATTCACTTCGCGCCGAGCTGAGCAAGAATTACGTTTTGATCTGCGTGAGAAACAAACGCACAATTAACCTCTTACCTGCAGGCTGCCAAGAATGATTTGCCCGTGAGAAAACAAGGTAAGCACTGCTCTCATTGCACTGTGCATAGAATAAACGATCGACTTTGCCGGGCTGATTCACCGACAGCAAGATGCCTCGTGCTGCTGCTGCTGCCGCCGGGTGTGGCCAAACACGCGCGTTTCGTCGCGCTCGGCCAGGAGCCGGCAACCTTTCAGTTTTCAGTTTCATTTATTTGGTACTAGCGGAAGTACCCGGCTTTGCCCGGGTGAAAAATATATTTCTTAAAAACCTTACATATATATACTCACGCTCACCACTCACCCTCTCTGTCTCCACTCACCCTCACCCTAACCACTCACCCTCACTACTCACTAATCACCCTCACCACTCACCACTCATCCTCACTACTCACTAATCACCCTCACCACTCACCACTCATCCTCACAACTCACCTTCACCACTCACCTTCACCACTGACCCTCACCACTCACCCTCACCACTCATCCCCACCACTCACCCCTAACCACTCACCCTCACTACTCACCATCACCACTTACCCTCACCACTCACTGTTCACCACTCACCCTGACCACTCACCCTTACCACTCACCCTCACCACTCACCCTCACCACTCGCCCTCACCACCACCAATCACCCCTCACCACAAACCCTCACCACTCACCCTTACCACTCACCCTCACCACTAACCCTCACCGTCACCACTCACCCTTACTACTCACCACTCAACCTCACCACTCTTCATCACCACTCACCCTCACCACTCACCCCTCACCATCACCACTCACCCTCACCACTCACCACTCACTCTCACTAGTCACCATCACCACTCACCCTCACCATTCACCACTCACGCTCACCACTCACTCTCACCACTCGCCCTCACCACCACCAATCACCCCTCACCACCAACCCTCACCACTCACCCTCACCACTCACCCTCACCACTAACCTGCTATGATTACAGCAGTGCATACTGACTGTGGTGGTACATACTATGATTACAGCAGTGTTTACTGCTGTGGTGGTACCTATGATTACAGCAGTGCATACTGCTGTGTTGGTACCTGCTATGATTACAGCAGTGCATACTGCTGTGGTGGTATCTGCTATGATTACAGCAGTGCATACTGCTGTGGTGGTACCTGCTATGATGAAAGGAGTACATATTGTGGTGGTGGAACCTGCTATGACGACAGCAGTACATACCGAGTGTGGTGGTACCTGCGATGATGACATCAGTACATACTGTGGTGGTGGTGGTACCTGCTATGACGACAGCAGTACATACTGTGGTGGTACCTGCTATGATGACAGCAGTACATTCTGTGGTGGTGGTACCTGCTATGATTACAGCAGTGCATATTGACTGTACTCACCACTCACCCTCACCATTCACCACTCACAGCTCACCCTCACCACTCATCCTCACCACTCACACTCACCACTCACTACTCACCACTTACCCTCACCATTCACCCTCACAACTCACCACTCACCAATCACCACTCACCAATCACCACTCACTCTCACCATTCAACTCACCACTCACCCTCACCACTCATCCTAACCAATCACCACTCATCACTCACCCTCACCACTCTCCACTTACCCTCACCACTCAACCTCACCCTCACCACTCACCCTCACCACTCACCCTCACCACTCACGCTCACCACTCACCCTCACCACTCACTAATCACCACTCACAACCGCAAATCACCCTCACCACTCACCCTAACCACTCACCCTCACCACTCATTCTCACCATTCACCCTCACCACTCACCCTCACCCTCACAACAACCACTCACCATCACCGCTCACCACTCACCCTCACCACTCACCCTCAGCACTCACCATTCACCATCACCACTCACCCTCATCACTAACCCTCACCAATCTCCCTCACCACTCACCCTCACCACTCACCCTCACTACTCACCACTCATCCTCACCAATCACCACTGACCAATCACCACTCACCACTCACCTCTCTCCACTAACCTTAACCACTCACCCTCACCACTCACTCTCACCACTAACCACTCTCTCACCCCTCACCCTCACCACTCATCACTCACAACTCACCACTCACCACTCACGCTCACAACTCACCCTCACCACTCACCCTCACCACTCACTAATTACCACTCACAAAAGCCACTAACCCTCACCACTCACCCTAACCACTCACTCTCACCACTCACCCTCACAACAACCACTCACCCTCACCACTCATCCTCACCAATCACACCCTCACCAATCACCACTCACCCTCACTGCTCACCCTCACTGCTCACCCTCACCGCTCAGCACTCACCCTCACCACTCATCCTCACCACTCACGCTCACCACTCACCACTACCATTCACCCTCACCACTCACTAATCACCACTCACAACCACCACTCACCCTCACCACTCACCATAACCACTCACTCTCACCACTCACCACTCACCCTCACCACTCACCCTCACAACAACCACTCACCCTCACCGCTCACCACTCACCCTTACCACTCACCCTCACCAATCACCACTCACCCTCACTGCTCACCCTCACTGCTCATCGTCACCACTCACCCTCACCACTCAACCTCAGCACTCACCACTCACGCTCACCACTCACCCCTCACTAATTACCACTTACAACCACCACTCACCCTCACCACTCACCCTCACTACTCACCACTCATCCTCACCAATCACACCCTCACCAATCACCAATCACCCTCACCACTCACGCTCACCACTCACCCTCACCACTCACGCTCACAACTCACCACTCACTAATCACCACTCACAACCACCACTCACCCTCACAACTCACCCTCACCACTCACCCTCACCACTCACCCTCACAACAACCACTCACCCTCACCACTCATCCTCATCAATCACACCCTCACCAATCACTACTCACCATCACTGCTCACCCTCACCGCTCACCACTCACCCTCACGACTCACCACTCACGCTCATCTTCACCACTCACCCCACACTAATAACCACTCACAACCGCCACTCACCCTCACCACTCACCCTCACCACTCACCCTCACTAATCACCACTCATCCTCACTAATCACACCCTCACCAATCACCACTCACACTCACTGCTCACCCTCACTGCTCACCGTCACCGCTCACCCTCACCACTCAACCTCACCACTCACCGCTCACCACTCACCCCTCACTAATCACCACTCACAACCACCACTCACCCTCACCACTCACCCTCTACTCACCACTCATCCTCACCAATCACACCCTCACCAATCACTACTCACCCTCACCACTCACGCTCACCCTCACCACTCACGCTCACCACTCACTAATCACCACTCACAACCGCCACTCACCCTCACCACTCACCACTCACGCTCACCCTCACCACTCACCCCTAACTAATCACCACTCACAACCGCCACTCACCCTCACCACTCACCCTCACCACTCACCCTCACCACTCACCACTCACGCTCACCCTCACCACTCACCCCTAACTAATCACCACTCACAACCGCCACTCACCCTCACCACTCACCCTCACTAATCACCACTCATTCTCACCAATCACACCCTCACCAATCACCCTCAACACTCACCACTCACCCCCACCACTCATGCTCACCATTCACTACTCACACTCACCACACTCACCACTCACCACTCTCCCTCGCCACTCACTCTCACCACTCACCAGTCACGCTCACCACTCACGCCTCACCCTCACCACTCACCCCTAACTAATCACCACTCACAACCGCCACTCACCCTCACCACTCACCCTCACCACTCACCCTCACCACTCACCACTCACGCTCACCCTCACCACTCACCCCTAACTAATCACCACTCACAACCGCCACTCACCCTCACCACTCACCCTCACCACTCACCCTCACCACTCACCACTCACGCTCACCCTCACCACTCACCCCTAACTAATCACCACTCACAACCGCCACTCA